CGCTTCCGTCAGTGACAAAGTCAAGAATGTAGGTTTTGAGGCTATCGCAGCGGTGGTTATGAAGAGTACTAACTTCCGGGATATAATGCCATGTAGTCCGTTGAAAGCCAACTGGCGTTTCGGAGAAGCATGTCGTCTCCATCTCCGGGGTCGAATAATCCGAGCAAGTTTATGTCCCAGAAGATAATACTGTTCAAGATCAAGAATGTGGGCTCCATAACTTCACCTCCCCAAATTAATTAAGCTCTTTACCTTTACATCCAGACTTCTCAGAAGGGTCTTTTCTTGCAGCCATGGTTTGGAAGCTGGACGAGTCAGTGGGTAGAGTTATGCAGGCGCTGGACGAGAAAGGAATCCTGGACCGCACCATTGTGGTATTCGCGTCTGACAACGGAGCTGCCACCATTGGCATCCACCGCAACCATGGCTCAAACTGGCCACTCAAAGGGGTAAGGACACGAGAAGCATCCCTCTAGTACTTATGTTCACCTACCACCTCCATGGAACAAAGTCCTTCTCGAGAAGCTCATAGTTGCTCAGCTATTGGAAAATTTCTCCAAACTTATTTGGAATTAGACGGTTCATTACCCACTGCGCCACTGGACCATATCCTGAGCCAGATTAATCCACTCCAAATTCTCACAAAATATTTGACGAAGATCCATTCTACTTCCGAGGGGCCCGTACCCTTTAAGTGGTGGCGCGCTACGAACACCCACAGGACGACATCAAAGAACCTTCTTCTCAAGAATGACAAGGCGGCACATGTTCGGCCCCCGTCAAGAGAAGCAATAAGAAAGAGGATACGAACCTACTTGGTTTATAAATTCTAACAAAATCTTTACAAACCAATTACAAATTTTAATATATTAAGACGGCAGCTGTAGCTGTAAAAACTTTAGATTTTATATCCAGTCGTATATTATCAACATTATATGTATATGTTAACACTAAGAACATCCACTGTAATAGCAGCTTCCAACTGTACTGATGTCCCTCTGGTGATGGTCTCTAGGGACCGAAACACGTAAGGTCATGAAGAATTAAAATAAGAAAAACCTTCACCAGTCACACTGGACGGAACTGTTTAACTTTTTATAATTCTGTACTCATTTAAGTTTTCCCCTTATGATGGCTACATACCCCGCCAATCTGATTGACCTTGAAGAGTATAAACTGCATAACGGAGCAAGCTGTGGTAGCAGCGGCCTCCGTAGTCTAGAGGTAACGTTCCCACTTCATGATTCATAGTACGCGGGTTCAAATACCCGGCGGAGGTCGTCGAATTTTTAAGGGCGGAAAAATTCAGGGAACAAGTCCTCCGGGAGGGACTTTAAGCCGTGGGTCCCGTGTCGTAGCTTTACGGCACGTAAAAGAACCTCATATCTCCAAAGAAGGTCACTGAGCCAAATTAACGGATGTTTCCCGCCCAACAGCAGTCTCTAATACCTCTGGTAGATGGGGGAAGCATTATAGATACCTCTCAGCTAGTAGAGCCGGTCTCGCTGGCTGGGCGGGACTGATGGTAAGCACCAGTACCGGTAGGATATAGAGACTGGTAGAAATCATAGAGGGAAGCACAATGGACCAATACAGGTCTCAGTGCATGGGGAAACCCACCCTCTCCAATAACTAACTAACTAAACTGAGGTAGCGGTAACGCTCTAGAGTTGTACTCGAGAGAGGCTGAGTTGGAGAAACCGACTGAGCACCCGCTGTCCTGGCTTTCTTTCAGCTACCTGTTTGACGGTGGTTTTGTTCCTTGGCTTATTATTCGATACTGAGGATGGAGGCGACATTTTCCTCCGAAATATCTGTTGCTTTCTAACGGACTACATGACGTCATATCCCAGAAGACAGAACTCTTCGTAACCAACGCTGTGAGAATCTGAAATCCTACATGAAGTAGTAGAAAGTGGTGGGTTCTGTAAAGTTGAGGTACAGTAAAAAGTACAGCTGTCCCTGCGCTTAATTATAATTAAGCACCACACCATGAAAATGCATGGTGGAGCGGAGGTACAGCTTCACGCATACTTAACCTCGACACTTTATAAAACTGAGTGGTCAGCTTCATGCCCCGGCCACTTTACCTCCGAACAAATAACGCTCGATACCCACGGATAGAAGCCTGAGTGGACCCCTGAGATGATATGGAGGAGAACATGTCTTGTCGCTGCCTATAATCGAAACCGATTCCTCGGTCGTCAAGCCCGTAGAGTAGTCGCTATGCAGTGGACGTTTCCTTGAGTTGTGTAAAGTTGTGCCGTGTGTGGATGTTTTGCAGGTGAAGAGCACCGCCTGGGAGGGCAGCACCAGGACTGTGGCACTGCTGTGGAGCAAAGATCTTCAGAAGAAAAAGAGAGTGTCAAACCAGCTCATGCATATATCTGACTGGCTGCCAACCTTATACTCGGCTGCTGGTAATAGCTTTTCTTTTTGAATTCGGATTTACCTCTGGCCTCTATAGGTGCGTTAAAATTCAGGACACACTAGAAATGATGAAAATCATAATTCCACTTCTGACGTCAGTTGTCGCGAGAAGGTGTGCCTATAGACGGGGTTTTGATTGGAGACTGGATTTCTTGACCACTTACAGGTCGTAACTACAACTAACTATAACATTATCGCTAATATCCACACTTTAACAATCACTACAACATAGGCTAAGACTTCGCAGTCTGCTTTCCCTAGTCGTTTCCCGGTAACGGATCTTAACAATGAAGATGCTTTAGCTTCTGTGCTCGCGTCGTTACTGTCCGGCGAATATCCCACGACTGAACTAAACTGAGTCTGAGTCTGAGTCTTATGTTACGACCGACGGTCAGCCGGCCGTCCATCTTGGAATAAAGCGCCCATCTGGGGTTTACGACCAGATTTGTATTACTGTCGGACAGTTGGGGGTTTGTTGATGTGGGGCGCACTCTCTGACGAGAGGACGAGTCTGTCGTTTACAATTGCTGCTAGTCCTCGCCAGCGCAGTCATTCTCGTGTCCGAGTCACGTGGGACTCGCGACCATATTTTACTGTCTCAGATTCGAGACTTCCCTTTTCGTCGACTCCTACGACTCATAGGGTCACGGGGGATAACACATTGGCACGGACCGCGTAGAAAACAATTTCCAACAGTTTCTCTATTGTTGCGCAAGGACTGCTGGGATTCCCACGTGATCGCTACCCAGCCAGTCCACTGGGGCATTAGTTGTTGCCTATCAGTGGTTGTTTTCTGTTCTTTGCTTCGAGATCTTTGCTTAGGAACGGGTCTATACGTCAAAGGATTATTTAATAACTCTTTTTACATGGCTTCTCTTACAAATATCTTCAGTCTTTTTTTTTTAGTGCTAGTGGGGTGAGACTAAGTCCCTTGTACTGCAGCCATTTCTGGCATATTGTACCAGCCCCAGATGATAGGTGAGGGTGATTGTGGAGCAATTGGTGGAATGAAGATTGGCAGGGGAAACCGAAGTACTCGGAGAAAACCTGCCCCAGCGCCACTCTGTCCACCACAAATTCCACTTGACCAGACCCGGGATCGAACCCGGGCCGCCGCGGTGGAAAGCCAGCGACTAACCGCTTGAGCTATGGGGTGAATCTTCAGTCTTGCTACTGTATACGCCTTTACGAGCCCGAATTTTCAAAATGGCCACCTTACACATCCATATAAGTTTGCAGCCTAGCCTGGATGATCTATATTACTATAGCATGTGCATCACCTTGTGCCTTAACTCCTTACGTATGGCTGAGTAGGGTAACACACACGCATGAAAAGATCATTTTTTTCATATTATATACGACTATTAAGACTATGATGTGAGTTGTGACACCGCGTTATTTTGTAGGAATATTGTGCCTCCACATTAAGGGTCGATTATGCGTAGGTTCAGGAATTGTAACCACTCGCCAAAACCACACAATACTATGTCATACTAAAATTCAACAGCAGGTTAAGTTGGAAAAATAGAAAAGTTTTAATTGAGTTTGACAATATGCAGCAAGATTTAGATCCTATTCTAATATTAATAACGTTCTAAAACAATTAATAAAGAATATACTGCAGCAACTATGTAAATAATCTACCTGATGATAGTCCATGATTTATTTTATCCGTCTTCTAGTGCATACATTCATCTGTCCCCTCTTCTCACTCTCACTACATGTTTCGGCACAAATGTGCCATCTTCAGGTGCTGATCCAATCCACGACAAACTAGTTCATTGCATGCCTTGTCTATACATACTAAAATAACTAAAATATATATTTATCATATATACTGATAATTGTTAAGTGTTAAAACATTAAAATTATACAGCATATTTCATTCTTACGTCGTGTTTCATTACGCGAGTCACGTCTATCATCGTCTGTTGGAGCACTCTTTCACTATCGTGTATTGTGCTCTATGTTGCGTCTCGCTCCTGTGACTGCGTGTGTTATACTGCAGTATAACAGTGTGTTATACTGCAGTCACAGGAGCGAGACGCAACATAGAGCACAATACACGATAGTGAAAGAGTGCTCCAACAGACGATGATAGACGTGACTCGCGTAATGAAACACGACGTAAGAATGAAATATGCTGTATAATTTTAATGTTTTAACACTTAACAATTATCAGTATATATGATAAATATATATTTTAGTTATTTTAGTATGTATAGACAAGGCATGCAATGAACTAGTTTGTCGTGGATTGGATCAGCACCTGAAGATGGCACATTTGTGCCGAAACATGTAGTGAGAGTGAGAAGAGGGGACAGATGAATGTATGCACTAGAAGACGGATAAAATAAATCATGGACTTAAATCAGTGCAACAGGACGCTAAAATATAACATTACCTGATGATAACCTTATGAGGTCGAAACATGCTGCAGAAGAGACAACTAACACAACCAATCTACATACACGACAAGACTCCACTTGTATGATGGTGTATTACACATTTATGCGAGAACCGTTAACCTGTTGATATTAGGGTAAAAGCAGCTGTAGCTTGAAACTCACCATTCACCGATGTGCTTGCAGGGGGAGACGTGTCGAAGCTCACAGGTATCGATGGGGTGGACATGTGGGACGCCATCTCACGTGATCTCCCTTCCCCTCGTACCAAACTCTTGCTTAATATCGACGACCGCAGCGGGTACTCGGCCCTGAGGTTTGGAAGATACAAGTACGTTAATGGTGAGTGCGAGGAAACTGCTAAAGGACTGACATTTGTAATGTAAATGTGGTGTGTTTTCTGGGAGCCGGGACTTGATTTATGGCTCCGGATTTTAGAGATTTGGCCACGTCGGATATTGAGGATTTTCCAATGTTTCGGCAGGCCTTGAAATTGCTATCTTCAGGGTAAATGACTTTGGGAGGGGTTTTGGCGGCTCCTGTACACCTCTCAAATTAGGCAGAGTGTCGAAGGAAATGTCGTGATCGAACGAACACAACATTGGTTATCTTGCTCCTCTGCTCGTCCCAACTTCCTCCCAAAATAACTAATCATGAAGACGTCAGGTGATCGGATTGCCGAAACGCAGAGAAAACTTGAAAATTCGACGCGGCCTAGTCCCCAAAACCAAAGTCGTCCATTAAGAAGAAGAACTGTTAAATATTACGTAAACACCTTCACGTTATGACATTCGCCAAATTTCCTGCTGTCCTAGAACAGATATTAAGTCGGTACCCAAATTCCAATTTGCGCCACGTGCAATCCCCAAGTTAACGTCAACTTCTTACCCTAATCCAGTAAATATCCTGTTCAAATTCTTCCCTCCATTGCATAACCACTTCCCATGCCTTTACCTTCTTCACAGCCCAACGATTTACCTTATGTTCATTGCTTAGGTACCACGCTTCCATTTTTTTCTTTCATCTCATGGAGTATTCGTGCTTTATAGCATCTTCTTCTACAAAATATGTATATATGTATAAAGGAATTTTGTAAGCGTTGGATTTATCAGTGCCAGCATGCAACGTCAGGATACCATAAGAACGAATTTTGGAGCGATAACAGGCTATGTGAAGGTAGGTCATGTAGTAGGTCATGAACGAGCGGGCGAACTCTCAGTGTTTCGTGTGAGTATTGCTAACATGTGAAGTGTATTGTACTATATAAAGGAGATGGTTTACGACCGATATCAATGCAACAGGCTGCTCAAATATAGTGTTACGATTGACTATTTATGAGAATTATTCGTGGGAGATGGCGCTCGGCGTCGACTCAAACGTATTATTTGATGACATGTATGGCTGGAAAGGTATACGGGAAAAAGAAGGGGAATTCTCAAGGGGGGGTGTTACACTAGTACAATTATGTGCAAGTTTTAATTACACTTTACAACCTTTCAAAGCCCAGTGGTCACTTTATGTACCATCCGCTTTAACATATTATAACTCTCCATTCTGGCCACACACAGTATATCTGTGTGTTCCGTATGGTGCTCACAATGAACAGCGACTGTTTCCCTAAACAGCATTAACTGGTTGGGCTTTGTAGCGGAGACGTAATGCGTTTCCTGTGAGGTAGGAATTGGATTTATAAGGAAAGCCGTCTTTATAGAGTTAATGCCACTCTATTTTCTGGTGCCAGGAACCATCTTGCTTGGGTACCTGGACGTGTGGCCCGATAATCCGTCTAGAGGGGGCAAGGGTCCCGAATACGACGCAGGGGCAGTCCTGAGCAGCATGACAGCCCAAGCCATCGCTTCCTGCACAACACTGGTCACGAAGCAGGAGCTGGAGGATCTGAGACGCCAAGCCACGATTCGCTGTGGCGGTCAGGACATCAAACCCTGCAGACCCTTAAGAAAGCCGTGCATCTTCGACGTCTTGTCAGATCCTTGCGAGAGGCAAAACCTCTATGCCAAGGGAAGCGAGACTCTGCGGCTCTTGGAGGCGGAAATGGTGGCCTACAGGCTCACTCAAGTGAAGCCTAACAACAGGCGCTCTGATAAGTTCGCCAATCCGAAGTACTGGAACAATACGTGGACTTTCTGGCAGGACCTCCCGGTTCCGTGTGTAGGAGGTCATGGCAAAGTATTCAGCATTTGGTGAAGGATATTCCATCCTTGTATGTAAGCATTTCTTCCCGCGCAATGTGACGTCAACTCTTGTCCCTGCCGCCAGGATATTTTCGAAGGATAACAGCCAGTTTTCCAAAGAAGACATCCGGAAAATTTCTTTACATACTTACGTTTCAGGTGCTGAAGATTGTTTTCACTGACTATCCTACAATATTCTGGCCAGAAGAACATTTATCAGAACACGTTAGTTTCTGGTATATTTCCTTCTTTTTTTCAAATATACAGAGGGGCGTGGCTTTCCTCCCGTGGCGGCGCCTATGCGTCGACATTCATCCACTTGAAGACACGAATCCCCTGGTCTTTGGCAATGGCGTCTAAATACGGATACGCCCAATCATTCAGTTATACACAGTGGGCCCGAACTGAGTTCCAAGTTTATAAACTCGGTGTTATGCACATAGTTCAGGTATAGGTTTCCTGGGATGTCACGCCGTGTAGTTTGGTTAGATAGGTATCAGATTTCGTAAGCATCTGATGCATCCATGTTCAGTGAAGAATAATTGTCTTCCCTAAGCGTGGACGTAGCGTGTTCCTCTGAAATTTATATCTATTAACAAAAATATACGACGTCACATGCCATGAGAATATAATATTAACATTCAGTACCGTGAGAACACCAGACCGAGAACAGTTCTTTGAACACAGGTCCACGTATATTCATGTAGAACTGGCGCACAAAATCTGAGCTGCCGGCTTATGACTGTGATGAGTAACAGCAGAAGTAGTTGTGCCTACAGTGCTACACGTCAACGTTGTTTCTGCATTTAAATTTCCGTAAACTTACATTAGATTTATCCTTTCCAACACTTCTACTTTCTTCGGCGTTTTCTATTTTGTTCTTCCATATTCTTTATTTATATGAATCTCTTCTACCCCGTATTAGTCTTAAAAAAAGAAGAAATAATCTAAAAAGTTCTCCCATCAAACTCCTCAGATTCGTATCCTGGCTGCGCCTTACCGGGATCAGAAGCTGGGCCACTGTTCTATACTGAGGCCACTGAACGACGTCCCACGGATGGTGGGGATGAAGACACGACAGGCGTTCCCCCTCTCTACCTACAGTTGCATTCTCCTCCGTGTCCCCTCAATCAGCCGAAAGCTCTCATCGCTATCGTAATAGTAGGGCTTGTACACTGGAGGGAGAAGCGTAACAGTTAGAGGGACGTCGATCGATGGGGCTTCTTTCCGTGGCCTCAGCATAAGTAACATTTTACAAGGGAGAAACGTTATGTCAGTTCCGCGCAGCGGTCAACTGCATCTTACCTTGCGTGAATTTTACCTTAAGGTTAATTGATGGCTACACAGCATGTAATTAATGCGTAAGAGATGTTGTACCCAGGGCCTTACTGCTTTACCACGTTTTTGTTTGGTTCAAGGAGACACGCACGTGTGTAAGGCAGCGTGTGTTAATATTGCTCCCAGACACGGTCCACTCTTTGCGTAACCTTGTGTACTTTTGTTCGGTCCGAGAAAAAGTCACGCAGATTTTAACGAACAGTTTGTTTCTGGATTTGAGTTTCTCAAAGCTGTGACTATCAAAATTAGTATCTTTTGGAGATGTGATGTCGTGTGACTTAGTAGAAGTTTGAAGACGTTTCGGAGGAATCTACTGCCTCCATATTCTCCTTGCTCCTATTGGTTCTAACTGCAGGACTGCGGGCGCAGGTGGCCCTGACTGTTTTTCTATTTTTCATGGTTGCCTGCTTTGTTTACTATTCGACCCTGAAGATGGATGTATATATTCCTCCGAAACGTCGGTGAGCTTCTACGAGAGTACACTCCGTCACATCTCAGAAAATGGTATTGTTCGTTTATCTGTTGCTTATTTCAGGACGTTCGATAAACTGTTGAGGTTGCTTACAGCCAAATAAGGTCTGAAAGGAAAATTACGATGTACAAAAAAAAAAAAGAATATTTTGTCTACTTTAAAGTACAAGGCTCGGAAGCATGTACTCCATAATAACATATATATAATTAACAATGACGGGGGCACGCGGTAGTGTAGTTGGTTGAGGCACTATGCTATAGGCCGGAAGGTCGCGGGTTTAAGTCCCGATGAGGTCATTGGATTTTTTTTTCAATTGACCTAATCCTTCCGCCGCACTATGGCCCTGGGGTCGACTCAGCCTCTAACAGAAACGAGTACCAGGAATTAATTAAATAATTTTCCTGGGGAGTAAAGCGCGGCCGGCGCGTAAGGCTAACAACCTTACCGTCATCTTTGAGCCGATTGTCTAGATAATGTGGGACCCTCAACGTCTCACAGACCTATGGGCCTTCACGGCCTGTTACAGGGATAGCTTTACTTTTCTTTACTTTTAATTAACAATGACATTCTTATAAATTCATTAACTAAGTACAATGGAAATAACCAAATGCAAATCAACAGAAGTTTCCCACATCATATTTCAACCCAGGTATGCATGACCTTTACATAAGGCAACCCTTATTTTTTTCTAAAGTATATATATACAATCCGTACCTCACAGGAAACACTACGACTCCAGCCGGTTAATGCTGATTAGGGAAACAGTCACTGTTTGTCGTGAGAACCGTACGGAACATACAGATACACTCTGTGTGGGCAGAATGTAGAGATTCATAACGTTAAATTAAGGGTACACATCCTTACCACTCAGCTTTAAGGGAATAAGAATAACACATGAAATGAAACTGTACCTACTGACGACACACTATACTGTCATTTCCTGTTTTTCTGAGCTAAAAGCATAACAACCGGAACTCACCTTGAGCCCCAGCTCTTAGAGAACAAAGCACTACAATGACGTCACTGTATTTCTAACATGGGAGAAGCTTCATCGTCTGCTGAACACATCCGATAATATCAGCAACTGATATCAGACATTTCCGATGGGCCTACAGCTTCTGAAAATGAGCGAAGTAGTGAGGCCACAGTATACTCTAAATATTTCAAGCCTGAAGATGGAGGCAGTATGTTCAACCGAAACAATGGTAGCCGCCTACCAAACTACATGGCGTCTTTCGGGGGCAGTATTTGACGACGCCGTCAGTATGTAGCATCGAACAGTCGGATAACAGACGAACGAGGAATGGGAAACGATTCGAAATCAAGCAGTCGTGGCTTTATAGAGATTCTATTCCGGAACTCGGCTGGCAGGACTGAGGAAAACTATGAAACATCTAAGAGTAGCCGATGTTCCAGACGAGACTCAAACTTAGGACCTATCTAATAAGATTCTACGGCGTTGCCGCTATGCAATTCTGCTCGGTGAATCCCTTCGTACCGAGCATCGAAGATTCAACGTGACCCTCATGAGTTAGTGCGTCATAAAGCACTTTATGGAGGCGTGTTCTTCTGCGAGGTACCATAACCCAGAAAGTCACAACATGTGTGTGAGCCTCACACCTTCACAAGGAGAACTGGCCCAGAACAATGCCATGGCCCCTCGACGGTGCAACATCTCAGCGGATACCCTTTACGCCTGAGTAAGGAGGACGCTACTGCAGGAGGAAGGCACGTATAGTTATAGTGCCTGACTGCGAGAGGCAGACGTGCTCAAGAGTGTGAACAGACTCGCAGGAAGACGTGTCAGCCGGCCGCAGGTGTTGCCCACACGAGCTAAGTATGTTCAGTTCTTCCAAATTCTTCGGGGTTCAGGGAAGAGAAATTAATCGAAATTCTCTGGAATTCCAGAATTCATTATTTCGTATATTTCATTAAGTTTCATTTATGTGCCTTTAGAAAATAATAAGTTGACATAATAAAAAACAGTGAATCATTTTTCTGTGATAGGGTTATACTAAAAGTTTCAGAGGTTTTCTGCAAAAAAAATATATATAATAATAAATGCATGGTNGAATTGAATTGAATTGAATTGAATTGAATTGAATTATTATGAACAAATACATTGTGAAAAGATTATATATTTGAGTAACATGTAAACGTGATCTCTACCTCATATAGACATTTGATAATATAAACAACATAAATACTGAAACATTAACACAAAATAAATGTCAAATAAAAAAAAATAATTTACAAAATTTGAAGATAGTACCACAAACATTTTAGAGTTATTATTCTTAAAATGAAATTTTGAAATAAATATGACCAGTTGTTGCAACCACATCTGCTTCAAGTTTTAATTCAAAGGTTTCTAACCTTTCCTGAAGTAAATATAACATATTTTCTGCAGGAGAGTTCGCGGGAATTGTTATTAAGCCAGGATTCAATGAAGTCGCATTACAGTGTACATAAATGTTCCCGTTTTCTCGATTTCTCGACTTACTTTTCTCGGGATTCGGAAAAACATTAAACTTTCCCAAGAAATACGAGAAGTTATTCACGGCAGTCAGTACATTCTTAACTTGCATAATGACACGCTGAGGACAGCCATTACAGGTTTGCATTTAATTGAGGGGCTATGCTACAAGCCGGAAGGTCGCGGGTTCAAGTCCCGATGGGGTCACTGGATTTTTCTTCAATTGACCTAATCCTTCCAGCCGCACTATGGCCCTGGGGTCGACTCAGCCACTAACAGAAATGAGTACCAGGAATTAATAAAATAATTTTCCTGGGGAGTAAAGCGCGGCCGGAGCGTAAGGCTGACAACATTACCATCATCTCTGAGACGATTGTCTAGATAATGTGGGAGCCTCAACGTCTCACAACCATATGGGCCTTCACGTCCTGGTACAGAAATAGCTTTACTTTTTACATGTTATGAATATTTTTACCGACTTATCTACAGTGTTTAGAACAGCACATCTTTCTCAACATGCCAATATTTCTAATTTTTAGTCTATTTCCCTTATTTTGAAAAATAAAAGTAGGCTTATGCGATTTCAATGTTGTCTGTGAGTCCCCCCCAAACATCTTTTTAATTCCTGAACCAATCTTTATGAAACTTGGTATGTATATCACGGCACCTCAGCCCATCTCATCATAAGTCCCTCCCATCAGTCTGTGTGTGTGAACGTGTATCCCATAACGATGCTAGACAACGGCTCAGTAAAAATTTTATCGCAGCAACGAACGCAAAAGCAATAGTAGAACTGTTGGATTTGTCGTTTTCTATGCGGTCCGTATTGTATAAAAAAGGTAGCCGATTAATTCTTCCCAGAAATTCTTGTTATTAATAATATTTTTATATCCCTTCCTTTTCATGAATATTTTTAATTCATGGGGGTGGGAAGATGCGTGGACCGCCCCTCCCCACTGCCCGCTGTGAATTACTGATGGACCATAAAGAAGACGTGTCTTATGAAGGTTGGAAAGAGCGCAAGTTCCTGAGAACACAATCCGCAAGCCTGCAGTGCTAACACTTTCCCGAGGTCAGTTGCTCTACGTGAGTAGGTCCAATGAAGTCCATTAGCACAACCGGCTCGCACTGTGACGCCTGCAGGCCATCCTGATCGAGTGGCTCGAGTTCCTGCATCTCATTCCAGAGATCCACGATTCAAATCTCAATCCAGTGACAACCTACACTGACTAGGGATTGCCATGAGTTTCCTTGGTCCTTCAAGGCAACTTTCGAGACAGTTCCTCAGATCAGTCCATGATGGCTTCCTTCACATCCCTTCTGATTCACTATTCACCAAGCTGCCCCTTATGCTAACCACTAGAATGTTCTGAAGCAAAAAGGTGAAGGGTGGAACTTGTAAGCAACGAGCGGTTAAATATACCGCGTGATTTAGCAAGTGGCCGCGCGGTCTCAGTCACAGAGCGTCTTCATCTGCCCAGATTCTACGATCGTGGGTTCACGCCCCATTCGAGGTACGAATGTCTGTTTATTCTGTGTTTGTGTTGTCCTATCATTGCGACGGGCTGATCCCCCGTCCGAGGAGTCCTACCGGCTCTCTGTAAGATTCATAGTTTCAGAATTAAGTCTGAATGGAAACAGTCCAGAGGGACTAATCCGTCAAGGAGGAAGAAAAAGACGGAGAAACAAATGGAAAACAAGACAAATAGCTACAACCTCATTTGAGGTTATGTGGGAACATGGGACTAAAAAGGGATTACATAGAACAGTAAAATAAAGTTGCCCTTTGGTCTAATTAAGCTACACAACATGAAGGTATATGCAAGAGTGGAGGTACTTCTCCATGCATTAATGACCTTGACACTACTGTAGGTCAGTGGTTAGCTTAACCCCTCAGCGGTACCCCTGGACAGGAGGCTAAGTGGGCCCCAGAGCCGGTCTGGACAGTAGGGGAAAGAGGAAATCTCATGGTTCCTTCGGGAATCGAAACCCAATTCCTCTCTCGCCCAGCATTCAGTGCAGTCACTATATCGACTGAGCTACCGCAGCTCCTATCTGTAAGTTATTTAATTCCTGAAAGTCCTTTTAAGAAAGACGGATATCTACTTACTATAACCAGGGCACGCCTATGATACTGTCACATTTTAGTGATGTGTGGGACTGTGGACGGGGTTTGGATTGGTGAATGGATTTACTGATCACTTACACACAAGACTTGGAGCTACTAGCCCTCACAGCGCTATCGCTGATTTCCACACTACAAATCACTACGCTCTTCTCAGTCGTTTCCTGGTAACAAATCTTAACAATGGAGATCCTTCAGTTTCTGTGCTCACGCCGTTGCACGCTGGTTAACAACAACTGAACTGTTAATTTAAATATAGCGCCGTCTCTTCTCAGCCTCCTCTGCAGAACTCAATTTTCAACTAACTCGCAACTAAACCCGTTGCTTCAAACTGTCTTACTCATAACATCTAAGAACGGACCACATAGAAAACATAGTTCTTTTATTGTTACATTCGTGTCCGTTGCAGCGGGAACGCGTTTACCGAGCTGATGTCCAGAAACGGGTTACGTAACCCCGTTTATTAACAATTTGTTGTTCTAGCAACGGTCGTTGTTTTGCGACCGTTTCCCAGCAACGGGTCAACAAGCTACAATATGGTACTCGTTACATTACAGGCCAGTGCAGAGCCATGGCTGAGCGGAAGAACCGCGTGCTCCTTCTCTTGCTTCTGCTGGCGACACCCTGCACAGCTGCCATCTATGGCAGGCCCCATATCATTCTCATTCTAGCAGATGATTTGGTGAGTACCTCTCCTGTGCTGTCAGTAGCTAGGCTAGACAGCGACGCATGCTAATGAACGACGAATTGGTGAGACCATACGAGGGAGAGTCAGTAAACAGGTAAAATATCTGATATTCGAGCATGGAAAGAAAGTATTTCTCGACATGTCCTCCACCAACAATGATACATTTGTCTCATCGCTTTACCAGTGCGTCAAAACCCGCAGCACATAAGTCTTTGTTGTCTCAGCCGCTACCGCGTTATCTGTGACTTTCGAAAGTCCGTGAGAGATTTTTTCGACCCAGTTGTGAAGCGCTTTACGTGATAAATACTTCCCACCATAAACAGGAAACATTTATTTATGAATATTATTTGAAATGAGTCCTTTGCCCACAAAAAAAAAACGCACAACAGAACGCTTCTCTTCGGCAGTATATCCCTCAAGGACTGTCGCCATTTTGACAACTGAAATTAACCTCTGACCATGCGCATGCGCGTCTGCTACCAAGGCTATCATGAAGCTAGACTGTGCTGCTATCTAGTGATATACATAAAAATCTATTACGTCCATTACAGCCGTTCTACTTGCATTTGTGTCTTATTTACTGACACTCGCTCTGGAAAGGAAGCGGTCGTGGCCTAAGCGGAGCAGTATCCTGACATTTGTCTCTAGGAATTGAGGACAACCACGAAAACCTCAATAGGATAGCCAAGGTTCGAAACGAAAACCTCCTGAATTTGATTGCAGACCTTTACCGCTAAGGGAACCCGCTCGGGTCAGTGACTATCATTATGGCCCTACAGAACTACCAGTGAGGCAAGTTACAAGAAAACCATCTTTGCGTCGGACCCTGCCATAAAGACGTATTGGGATATGGAGGTATTATTACGCCCCGTACTAGATGGTGAGCGCTCACTTTATTTCCTGGCCACTCTGTTCTCGGTGAAAGAGCCCCCGTTCGCACGGGATATGAGGTTCGTGGGCTCGAAAGACGGACTGGCGACTGCGCAGAAGACGGATTTGAGGTTCTCATAGCGGTGGTTAGGAAGAGTTCTATCTTCTGGGATATAACGTCGTGTAATCAGTTGAAATTCAGCCGACGTTGCAGAGGAACATGTCGCCTCTGTCCTCAGGGTCAAACTCTGTTTACCACCTGCTTTCACGCTGGTTTCTTGCTTGCTTTATTTTTCGATCATGAAGATGGAAGAGATATGTTCCTCCGAAATGTCGATTGACTTCCAACTATCTAAATGACGTTGTATCTAAGCTCTTCGAGAAGTATCTCTGTCCGCGACGGCAAATGAACCTCAGTTGTTCAGAGAGCAGAAAGCCATCCCACTGAGTTTATTTACTCGTGTTTTGTTAACGGACGTTGTCGGAAATAAACCTGTCATGAGGATCTGACGTAACTGAGCCACCTTGACGAGGAAGGTTGCTCTAGCCGGGCACGCGGCAGGCAGAGGAAAGCGAAACTGTGCACTCATTATGTGTCGGGATTCCCGTAAGCGGTGAAGTCGCGCAAGAAGCCTCTGTTTATACATTACGGCGCGCAATTTTACCTGCAAATAACCAAATTAATGACAAACCATTAAAGGGCGGTCTAAACAAGCAAATTACCTTCTAACGACGTCAATTTAATGAGTACGTTGATTAAATCGTTGTAACAAGGGCATGCATTTATATGCAAATCATGAATTTGAAAAAAAAAAACTTCCATACAATAAGAGAGCACCCGGAACTGTTGGATGAATATCTCCTGGGATATATATACCGCTATGTAGTCCGACAGCTCACCGACGTTTCGGAGAAGCGTGCTACCGCCATCTTCAGGTACGAAGAGAAATCCAAGAAAATAATCAGTAAGAAGCTGCAGGAAAACAGAGCTTTTGGTAGGAAAATAATGCTTCAACCTATGGCTATGTTTGCTGCTTGGCTTACTCTTGACCCTCAAATTGTAGACCGTATGTTCCTCCGAAACGTCGATGAACTACTGGATTATACAGCTTCCGCCAGCAAAACCGGCCCGCTGTTGCACGGCAACACTGTTCCGGTGAAGGGGCGAACACTGAACTGAACAACTCGCGTTGACGCAACACTGAGCGCATATCTCAACGCAGACGGGCAGATAATTGCCCAGAGGACCTCGCATTGAGAAGCAAGATCCGGGTGTAAATCTCAGAAAGGTTATCTCGATCCTGAGATTCTTAGTACCACCAGAGTCTGCATAGAGTATATTGTAGTGTTTTAGGTTATTATGCCATACGAGTATGCTCAGCCGGGTGCTTATCGATTTTTGGGAAGAAATTACTTCCTTCAACTTCTAGACAAGCTTCATTTCCTTGTAGACATTCCTGGGGTTAAGCCCAGGCCTACCTGCTGTTGAGCTGTCGGCTAACCTCCTTTATAACGCTAGAGAATAGAAACTCGCCAATCTCTTTTACTGTAAAAACATGTTTCTTGCACAGGGTTGGAACGACGTAAGTTTCCATGGGTCAGATCAAATTCCGACGCCAAATATCGATGCCCTGGCCTATAATGGCGTCATTCTCAACAGCCACTACGTTCAACCGACCTGCACACCCACCAGGGCCGCTTTCATGACGGGCCGGTACCCCGTACATTTAGGTAAATAGTCACCGCAAGGTACGATGTATATGAGATACCTGACAGCTCTGTGAGCATGGGGAATTAGAGCCCCTTTGGGGCCAAACTTTAGGAAGAAGCCTTTTCTTCCTCTTCATTACTGTCCTCTACTTTCTACTCCATTAGCCTTCACTCTTCCTATTCTTCGTGTCCTAATTCTCCATTTCCTCCTTTCCAGGCACTACCTCAGCATTTTCGTGGAGAGCCTACGGAAATCCATAAATACCTCAGTCCTCTCTCACGAGAGGACGGATCTGTCTTTTGCATATGCTGCTGGCCCTTGTCAGCGCAGTCTTTCTCGGGTCTGAGTCCCTTGAGACTCGTGACCACATTTTACTTATCAGATTTGAGACTTCCCTTTTCGTCGCCTCCTACGACTCGCAATGTCACGGTGGAGGTATTCGATCCCGCCTCCACACGGGTAGAAAGCAACAAGTTAATGTAAGTAACATATAAGAATAAAGTCCATACCTCACAGGAAACACTTTACGTCTCCGTTACAAAGACCAACCGGTCAATGCTGTTTAGGGAAATATTGGCTGTTTATTTTGAGCACCATACGAAAAACAGAAATGCACTGATTGCGAAAAATATGGAGATTTTTAATGTTAAAACAGTTGGTATATATAGCAACCACCGGCAAGCGATGGTGCACTGTCTGATCTGCTGGTTTCGTGCTGCTGTAGGTATGCAGGGGAATTCCCTAGTGGCGGCCGAATCTCGGGGACTGCCTCCCGGAAAGATACTGCCTCAGTACCTCAAGGATCTGGGCTATACGACTCGAGCGGTCGGGAAATGGCACCTCGGATTCTACAAGCCGGAAGTCACACCAACCTACCGCGGGTTCGACTCTCATCTGGGCTACTGGAACGATTACGTCAGCTACTATGATTACATCCTACAAGAACGTGTAAATATGTTGGCCTTGAAGTTCTCACAGCCGTATTCTCTCGAATTGCAAATGAATAAATTTGAGGGACGTCTTGAATTGTTCATTATTCAATGTAGCACTTAGATCACTCGGACAGGGAACTAGGGTAAACCTTCGCTAATCCGGATTAATTGGGAGGGGGATCATCCGGATTAACAATGTGGGTTAGTGAAGCAAAAGGTAGCCCTAGGAAAAAACTTAGAATACAAATAAATGAAAAATTAATGCTATACGAAGTTCCGATGAAAATAAGTAACAAAATATCACTGTAGAAACTTAATTAAAAAAAACTATAGAAAGACAATATATTTATTCATCGATAAAAGACTCAGAAGTTGTAACTTGTCTTTGAACGTAATAATAATGCAGATTTGAAGAAACTGTCAAGTTTTCTCTGCACAGACAAGTGACTCGTCTGCCTTCCTAAATGCCACTCAGCTGTGAGCAGCATTTTCCATTTGTCACATTTCCTTCTGGATTATCCGACATCCGGTTTAGGGGTTGTTGTGCTGTGTTTCAGTATTCTGACGGAGAATACAATGGTTTCGACCTGCGACGGAATCTGAGCGCGGCGTGGGAGCTGGCCGGACGCTACGCGACGGATGTCTTCACTGACGAGGCGGTGCGTATCATCCAGGGACACGATGCCTCGCCCCTCGGGCCGCCGTTGTTCCTGTACCTGGCGCACCTGGCCGTACACGCGGGGAATCGAGGGAAGTTGCTGGAGGCTCCTCAGCAGGAGATAGACAAGTTCCGACACATCAGAGATCCCAACAGGAGAACTTACGCGGGTAATGGCACTTCCATAAGCCGGAATAGACACTTCACTGCACTGCACTGCACTGTACCCGGCTCACAGTACATCTGCACCAAACCCAATTCAAGTTAATGAAATTCCATTATGCGAGTATAACACTGGTTTCCNTCATATTATTATTATATTATATATTATTATTATTATATGAATTGCCTTGAATTTGTATTTCGGTTGTGTGCGTTGATTCTCTATACTAGTGCTCACTTTGCTATTGGCCTCTGAGCTGTGCACGTAAATAAACAGGAAGTGAGTTCTGCTTATCACGTTACAGCCATGGTGTCGAAGCTGGACGAATCCGTCGGGCGCGTTGTGCAGGCCCTCCAGAGGCGCCACATGCTTGAGAGTTCAGTGATCCTGTTCCTGTCGGACAACGGAGCGCCATCCAAGGGGAGGCAGCCCAACTGGGGTTCCAACTGGCCCCTCAAGGGGGTAAGTGTCGGTGTAGGCTTAGGCAGGACGCGCAGTTGACGCCTGTAGATACAAACCTCATAGCTACAGGTAAAAATAGTAAAATTGTCTCTGTGCTTAATTGATGAAGCACAACTCTACGAAGACGTACTGAGGAGTGGAGGAACATCTCCACAATTCTTGCCCACGAAGCCGGTTTGGACGCTGTGGAGCAGAGAAAAATCTCTTGTCCCTTTCGGAAATCGAGTACCGGATGTCCGTCCTGTAGCCTGTCGCTATACCGACTGAGCAGCAGTTCATGATTTTCTGCTTTGCTTCCCCACAGGTGAAGGAGACCCTGTGGGAGGGAGGTGTGCGCGGTGTGGGGCTCATATGGAGCCCCCTACTGCAACAGACGCCGAGGGTGTCCAGCCAACTGATGCACGTGACGGACTGGCTGCCCACGCTCTATACAGCCGCGGGTCAGTACCAGAGGCGTCGTTATTCTGGGTTTTCCTGCTTCCTTCGTCGTCCGGTATTCTAAACATGTTTCGGAACCTGGATCTGTTTCCTTCCTCAGGTGATGGGGAGACACCTACCCTTGTGGGTCCGTTAGAAACAGCCAACCTCAATCTCTGGACAACCTACGCAAGCATAACTGCAGCTATGTATATCATCCTTCACCTAAGGAAGAAAACAGATCAAGCTTCCTAAACGTTGTGTTCTTGTTGCGTACCAGACGACGAATGAAGTAGTTTTATGCACCACCGTCAGAACCCTTCAGAATCTACCAATAATAAACTGAATTAATTTCTATTGGCTTAGTTTCTTTATTTTGAAGAAATAAAAGGAGGCTTATGAGATCACCTGCTGTCTGTCTGCCTGTGTATTCGATAACAATTTTTGTTACTAGGCTTGTGAGGTACCTTGCTTTGTATCTGCATCCCCTCCCCCCAATATTTGGTTTTATATGCGGTTTGTGTCGTATCAAATGAAAGTAGGCTATTAGTTCTTCCCAGAACTTCTTACCAGTTATTTGTTCAGGTGAACTGTGTCCCTTGTGAGACTGAGAGCGGCGTTCGGCCCTCATTCGAGCTGTGAAATTGGAGCTGGTGGGGTGACGTATGCGAACATGCGCCCACTGCAGATAATTACAGATGTGTGATCCATTTCAGGGGGTCATGTGGCTAGCTTGAGACATGACCTGGACGGAGTCGACCAATGGGAGTCCCTGGTTTATAACCTGGCGTCGCCAAGAAGGGAGATACTGCACAACATTGACGAGAGGGGGCGGACGGCTGCCGTTAGATTTCACAATTGGAAACTCATCATAGGTACAGAAACATTTAATTTTCGGAGGAACCTACTGCCTCTAACTATCCTGAAGTAAGCATGTGCCTCCGAGATGTTGGTAATCACATACAAGACTACACCGTGTCATAACCCTCAAGATCATAAACCCACTTTTGACGGTCGTAAAAATTTCAAATCTGAACTCGTCATTGGTATGAGCTGGGATAGCTCAGTCGGTATAGCGACTGGCTATGGGCTGGACAGTCGAGGGATCGGAGTTCGAATCCCGGTACGGGCAAGCCTTTCTTTTCTCCAAAGCATCCAAACCAGTTCTGGGGCCCATCAAATCTCCTAATAAATGGATACCGGGGGCTCTTTCCCTGGCGGTAAAGCGGTCAGGACGTGAAGCAGATAACTCACCTATAATTAGTGTAGGGATGAGGAATAAGTGGATCTATACATCCACTTCCCCATACGTCTTTATGGCACAGGGACAACTTCGAATTTACTTGTCATTGGTAAGCAGGAAGGACACTCAATGCATATGACTTGTCCGTTCGCTCCGCTTACTCTTCGACATTGAAGATGGAGGTAGTGAGTTCCAACGAAACGTCGATAAACTTCTACCACAGTATATGGTGTCACATCTGACAAGATAGTATATTTCACAATCGTTGTTGTAAGAACCTCAAACCCAACGCACTTATTGTTCATGTTCCTACAATATTTCATTCATAATTAGAATTATTTATATTAAATTAAAAAAAAAGTAAAGTAACAAGTAAAGCTAGCCCTGTAACAGGCCGTGGAGGCCCATATGGTTGTGAGACGTTGAGGTTCCCACATTTTCTAGACAATCGGCTCACAGATGGCGGTGAGTTTGTCAGCTTTACGCGCCGGCCGCCCTTTACCCCCAGGAAGATTCCTGATACTCATTTCTGTTAGAGGCTGAGTCGACCCCAGGGCCATAGTGCGGCTGGAAGGATTAGATTGAAAACAATTCCAAGGACCTCATCGGGACTTGAACCCGCGACCTTCCGGCTTGTAGCATAGTGCCTCAACCAACTACGCTACCGCGTGCCCCCATTTCCATTAAATTTATAAAATAAAATTATCCGCGTGTTAATAAGCACAAATTGCAAGCACTGTGTAATGTAGGTAGGAAACCATACAAATTCAAGGATATGTACTGACTGGCGATAGGATAACTATACGGTTCCTACATCACGACATGTTTCGGTCATTAATCTTGGCCATCAACTCTCTCTGCTACTGGCTACACTACACCTACGAGTACACTAAATTCTGTTAGGCTAGATTAAGTCATGTAAGATTTGAGGCTTTCACGGCGGTGACTACGGCGGTGTTAACCACCACATATACACAGTGCCAAATCCCAGAAGACTGCTTTCTTCATAGATTAAGTCATAGTTGAAATTCAGTTTATTGTAATTCGAATTTTAAATTCTGACCGCAGGGACAGTGAGAAGCAGTGCCTTAAACGGTTACTTCGGACATGGCGAACTGGACGCGTCTTACCCTGCTTACAACGAGACGTCGGTGGTGAACAGCATGGCGGGACGCGCAATAATCGCAGCGTCGTCTTCAGTGTACATCAATCCCACCAGAGCGCACCAGATATCGCTCCTCCGCTCCTCTGCCCAGATAACCTGTCCATCAAACAACAGCTTAGGTATCCCGCCGTGCTCCGGGAAGGAGCTCTGTCTCTACGACATCGAGAGCGACCCCTGCGAGTCAAGCAACCTGGCTGAGACTCATCGCTCCGTGGCGCTGCGCCTGCGCGCGCTGCTGTCGGCACACCGCAACGCGCTCGTCAAGCAGAGCAACCTGCAGCCAGACGTGCGGGGCGCGAACCCCAAACGCTGGAACGGCACGTGGAGCCCGTGGCTGCTAGATGGGTGCGGGTCACGTGCGAGCGAGGACGCGTACTTCAACGTGTGCGACAGAACCGAGCCGTTATGACGTCACGACGGCCATGTCTGTGACAGAACCACGCCGTTATGATGTCCGGCAGGCACATCAGCGCCACAACCAGTCCCACATGACGTCAAGACGGCCAAGTCTGTGACAGAACCACGCCGTTATGATGTCCAGCAAGCACATCAGCGCCACAACCAGTCCCAATGACGTCACAGCGGCCATGTCTGTGTCAGAACCACGCCGTTATGACATCACAACTGGGATATCTATTGCAGAACCAAACCGTTATGACGCCACAACTGCCATATCTGTGACAGACACGTGATGTGCAACAAAATTTCTGAAGAATGCCTGTTCAGGTTCAGTACCTCAGAACAGGTGGTTCAGCATATAAATATGACATTATGACAGAGTGATGAAACGGTGCAAATGTGACGTCATTAATCGTATTTATATCCGAAAATGCCAAATTATTGTGTCAACACCCAGACATGTGTACAGCCAGGAAAGCTTTATGCAACGTGTGAAGTGACTGCAGGGCTTGCCCTACGGGCGTCGGGTATTCAGAGACACAACTGTTGTTTAAAGGACGCTTAATGGACGACCTACTTTCGTTATCATATCACATGTACGTGTTTTTTCAAATAAAAAACTGGCCAAAATTCAGTATACATCCAACTTGTAATTAGTAACCTGTGCCGAGAAAAAGCAATAGAGTGATGGGAAGTTGTATTATCTGTATGTCTAATCACACAGGGTCTATTATTAGGCATAAAAATAAAAGGTGGCACTGGAGGGACAGGTAACATAGAAAATATTGCATTAGATATGAGCTCAGAACATCTGAGAAAGCTCAAAGTGGCCCACAAAATATATTTTCAATCCTTCCAACGCCAACCCCGAATATACACGTTTCTATTTTATTATTATCTCTTCTTCACATCAGTGTTACATACACTCACGCTACAGTCCGCTAGACCTGGCCGCTGTCAGCTCGGGGCGTGAAGCTGACCACTCACATCCATCCATTTAGGAGGTTAACGAGGACAGAGCTTCCATTCCCCTATACGTCTTCGTGGCATGGTGTTCAATTATTTATAGCCCAGGTATAACTTTACCTTTCACCTTTACAAGAAAAGACTATGGGAGAAAGGAGGCGAAATTAATAGCACGAAATATTATACAAAAAATGATCGGATTTACCATTGCAATGTTTCTACACAGTCGTGTAGGGAAGTTATACATCCTCACTACGCCAATCGTCATCACACGGTGGTGGTTAGTAGTTCCGTGCTTTCTGCTTTCCACCTGGGAATCCGGGAATAATGACAAGGCGGAAAACAGCAAAGGAAGAACATGATTCTCTCTGCCATTGACAGAGGCTGTGGAGATGAACCCGTGGTATTGTAACCAAGTCTTCATGGAATTATTTCCGAACACAACCTGCCATAAAACAGCAGGTTTGCGCGACCTAGTTTTGCACTTAACGTCTGACTTTATCACCTTCCCTATCATTAGTCCCCTCCTATGCCAGAAGTAGTAAAACACCGGTGCATGTACTGATAGCGCTCGGTACAGTTCTGCAAGTTGGCATGGATGAATGCTGAAGCAACTTGTTCGTTTGCAACGCGAAGTCTTAAGCTAAAGGTAAAGTTAAGCGTGTGGAGGTACAGGTCCAGACATTCGCAACCTCAGCACTAGGTGGAGGTGAGTTGTCAACTTCACGCTCTGGCGGTCTTAACCTGAAAAAATGTGCTCCTGGTACCCAATGCATGGGGAGGGGAACCCATTTGCTTCTGACAGAAATCTGAGCCTGATTCCTCGATCGTCCGATCTGCAGTTTAGTCACTATTATGACTGAGCTAACGTGGTTTCAAGATAAATCTTAACTCATTCAAACCCAAGTCATTTAGAGAATTCCCTTTCCTGCGGGAGTAAAGGTTCTATTATCAAACCTTGTCAGATCGGAAATAAGCTTGCGGGTTCTATAACAAGAGGGGGAATTCCTGACCATCTAAGGAGTGATCAGGTTCTTAAGACAGATCCTGCTACGCGGAGTTAGTCTCTTGTGATGGGTGGGGGAGGTTACTGTAGCACGCAGTCAGTATCTCAAGAATGGTGATTGGTGAATAATGAATTTGAAATGATTTTGAAGAGAGCGTCCTCAGCCTGATCAAGGTACTATCCTTGAATTTGCTTGGAGGAACTGAAGAAAATTACGAGGAACTCAGTAAGGTTAGTCGTTGTCCTAGCTGTGAATAGAACCTAGGACCTCCCGAGTTCACGTCTAGAACTTTAACGTTACAATAACCTGCTCGATTTTTGCAGCACTTTTCCAGAAAGACAGAAGCTTCGAAATTTCACTCCCTCAAACACAACCTTATATTTTGTTATGCGCCCATTAAAATGCACTCACTACAGCCTTCACTGTGTGCTGGTACACTGTCTTGCTAGAAATACTTCCAAATTTTCTTCGCAGTGCATTAAAGCACTGAAGTTATATGTAGCCATGGAATCGACTCAGCCTGTAACAGAAAAGATTACGTGCAATCTTCCTGGGAGTAAGGCGGCCCATACACGTGCGAGTCTGGCTCGCGAGANTGGGGGAGGTTACTGTAGCACGCAGTCAGTATCTCAAGAATGGTGACTGGTGAATAATGAATTTGAAACGATTTTGAAGAGAGCGTCCTCAGCCTGATCAAGGTACTATCCTTGAATTTGCTTGGAGGAACTGAAGAAAATTACGAGGAACTCAGTAAGGTTAGTCGTTGTCCTAGCTGTGAATAGAACCTAGGACCTCCCGAGTTCACGTCTAGAACTTTAACGTTACAATAACCTGCTCGATTTTTGCAGCACTTTTCCAGAAAGACAGAAGCTTCGAAATTTCACTCCCTCAAACACAACCTTATATTTTGTTATGCGCCCATTAAAATGCACTCACTACAGCCTTCACTGTGTGCTGGTACACTGTCTTGCTAGAAATACTTCCAAATTTTCTTCGCAGTGCATTAAAGCACTGAAGTTATATGTAGCCATGGAATCGACTCAGCCTGTAACAGAAAAGATTACGTGCAATCTTCCTGGGAGTAAGGCGGCCCATACACGTGCGAGTCTGGCTCGTGAGACCGGCTCGGCGAGGAGCCGGGCTCGGATTAATTTCACCACACACGTATGAGCGTGGTGACCCACACGGACGAGTTTGGCTCATTGGAACCTGAGCCGAGTCGGACTCGCGAGCCAGACTCGTACGTGTATGGGCCCCCTAAAGGGTGGCTGGCCGGTAAGGCTAATAACGTTGCCGCCATCTTTGAGCCGTTGTCTAGAAAATGTGGGAGCCTCAACGTCTCACAACCCTATGGGTCTTCACGGCCTGGTACAGGGATAGTTTTACCTTTACATTTTATCGTCCAATGCCACACTGAACAAACACCGCGTTTAGAATTTCATCCCTTCTATTTAAACTCTCTTAATAATATAAGGAAAACCACTACATTTCATATTCTGTCGCTTAATACAAGAATGTATTCCGACACCTCTCACTGTCAGAAAGGACACATGTAATTCTGCTATTCAATAATAATTTTATTTGTTTACAAACCATCTGCTAATGGTCCATGCGGCCGAAACTTGTGGTGGCTGGATGAGACAATCACAGATTAAATTAAACTGATTTTGATCTACTGTTATCAACATTCAATTTGGCTCGTTTTCTGTGTCCACGGCTCCCGTATGTTGAAGTGTCACCTGTTTTAACATGCTAGAACTCTGCATTCTGGCCACAGAGTTTACCTGTGTGTTCCGTATCGTTCTCACAATAAACACCGACTGTTTCCCTAAACAGCATTAATCGGTTGGGCTTTGTAGCGGAGACCCAGTGTTTCCTGTGAGGTATGGACTGTACTAAAACTCTGCATTCTGCCCACAGAGTGTATTTGTGTGTTCCGTATCGTTCTCACAATAAATAGCGACTCTTTCCCTAAACAGCGTTGACCGGTTGGTCATTTTGGTTCTCAAACTTTTGAGCACAACGCCCCACTTTCAATTAACACAAAACCTCAGGCCCCTTGAGATAAAGCACAACAAATCTATTTGAAAAATAAGAAAAAATTAGTTTAATTTCAATCCGTTTTTGTGAACTTAATCTTACATTAATGAAGGAAAGATTTTTAAAATTTTAAAACATCTTTACATAAATGGAAAGTAATTCTTACTTTAATGAATAATGAAACAGACTGAAGGATATATGATCCAAAATGACATTTGAGTTCGCCTCAGTGGTGATGCTGCATGTTTGCATATTTCATTCTGTACATCGCGTGATACTGCGTTGTGAAACTCGGCGGTTTCCAGGGTTCAACATTAAATTAGCAACTTCCTGTCCCCCCCGGGGGGGGGGGGGCAGTTCGGAATCTATCACGTAGCTGAAAATCAAATAACGTGCGAATCAACAATTTTCAGGTACAATAATATTGAAGGATGTTCGTCTTATCTTGCTACATCGGGTGCCTGCTGACTGCAATACGGGCTCAACAACCACCACACATAATTTTTATAGTTGCTGATGATCTGGTGAGTACGCCCTACTTGGACACAGCTAGTATAAAATGCTGAAGTTGCAAAAATCTTATGATCTGGTTCAAACTCATATTTATGTTATAGCAGTAACAATATTGAATAGGCATAATTGTTACATCCTCCCCGTGTGCTACTACATTAACATCTGGAGGGCTATGCTAGCGGGGGCAGAAGCTCCTGGTAGAGCCACCCATGCTCGAAGATTCGAAAGGTAGGTACTCCCTGGTAATTTATGTTGGAGGTTGGACGTGAGCCTAGAATATCACATCGGTTTTGACAGTGGTGATTATTAAGATTGTGATCTTCTGCATTGTGACACCGTATAGTTTTGTAGGTGAGTACCGACATTTTGGAGGAACGTGCTTTCTTCCCATTCTCTATGACCGGGTTCCTATCTCCTCTGGTCCCATAACTACTTTTCTTGTAATTTGCTTATATAATCAGGCCTATTTGTGAACCCACACACTCCAACTCCGAAATGTCGGTATTCGATCACAACATTACAGGGTGTCACAGACCAGAAGAGCTCAGTCTTAAAACCGTAGTTGTATGCTAGGGCATTACAGAAGAATGAGTCCTGTGGTGAAGGAGTCCAAGGTCCTTATAGGAACACAAAACAGAGGCCTAAGTAGGTAAGTGAGCTGCCTGGTAGGTTTAAGCGGAGTTACACAAGTTGAGCCACGCTGAAAAGGCACCAAATTACTTTGCAACATTGGTCCGGTGCCCACTTGCCGGGTTCGGGCCATTTTCCTTTAATCTCCGATCCCTCCTACTACGCTCGTTGCAAAATCTGGAAACTCGAAGTGTGATTTCGTCCTGGGTCTCCAAGCGGAAGGATAGAAAATTTCAACATCGCGTGTAACCCAAGTATCCCTACAACTACCAATGTGTGTGGTCGGCAAGTCTCGTTTTGACTGGTAACTCTTTGCGTGACTTATAATTACTTATTTCAGAGACTCCTCAAAACAAATCACCCTGTATAATGTGTATGCAGTATAATCATTTGCTATTCAAATTTACATCCGATCAGCCACTGTCTGTCGGAAAACACTGAGTTCAAACGACTAACCAAGAAAATTGGGGATTTATTTAACACTGATTTCTATAGAAGAAGCCTGAATTACAAATAAAATTTATTCTTATTTTCATAGTTCCTTTTCAAAAACTTCATCTCATTTTGCCAACCTCTACTCTTGTTTATAATGACGTGCTTTTCCTGCATAGGGTTGGAATGACGTCAGTTTCCACGGATCGGATCAGATTCCGACGCCAAACATCGACGCCCTAGCTTACAATGGCGTAATTCTAAACAACTACTATTCACAACCAACATGCACACCATCGAGAACGGCGTTAATGACAGGTCGCTACCCTTTCCATTCAGGTGAGTCAGATTACTAATTTCCAACAATGTTCAGTTAGCTAATGTATTTAGCGGCCTCCGTAGTCTAGAGGTAACGTTCCCATCTCATGACTCGTGGTACGCGCGTTCAAACCCGGCGGAGGTCGTGGAATTTTTAAGGGCGGAAAAATTCAGGGAACAAGTCCTCCGGGAGGGACTTTAAGCCGTGGGTTCCGTGTCGTAGCTTTACGGCACGTAAAAGAACCTCATATCTCCAAAGGAGGTCACTGAGCCAAATTCAAGAACGTCTCCCGCCCAACAGTAGTCTCTAACGCCTCTGATAGATGGGGGAAGCATTATAATGCGGTATCTATAATTATAGATACCGCCAAGCCAGTAGAGGCGAACTCGCTGGCTCGGTCGGGACTGATGGTACGCACAAATATCGGTAAGGTATAGAGACTGGTAGAATATCATAGAGGGAAGCACAATAGATCAAACTGGTCGCGGTTCATGGGGAAACCCACCCTCTCCAATAACTAACTAACTAGCTAATGTATTTTAAGAAAGCTTGGTACCGTGCGCGTCGAAGTGTGTGTGGGCCATGAAACGTGTCTCATACGATGGCGCATTATCATCAGAGAGTGGTACAGACCTTTAAGTCATCAGTGTACAGTTAAAAGGTTTCACTTTCGACATACGATGGAACCGAAGTCAGCATTTTTTTATTTTTTTTTTATTGCTAGTGGGGTGGGACTAAGTCCCTTGTACTGCGGCCACTTACCAGCCCCAGATGATATGTGACGGTGATTGTGGAGCAATTTGTGGAATGAAGATTGGCAGGGGAAACAGAAGTACTCGGAGAAAACCTACCCCAGCGCCACTTTGTCCACCACAAATCCCACTTGACCAGACCCGGGATCGAACCCTGGCCGCCGCGGTGGGAAACCAGCGACTAACCGCTTGAGCTATGGCGCAGCCCCTACCGAAGTCAGCATACTGGAGCTCTCGCTGAACGCAAATAGACTGCGTGCTGTAGATATGACGTAGCCATCGCATCATCACATACGCTGCACACAATGTTATCATAAACAAGGAGTACGAGATGGGCAGAACCTGTAGCACGAATTGGGGCGAAGAGAAATATGTAAGATATTGGTGGGAAAGCCAGATGGAAAGACACCACTGGGAAGACAAAGGCGTAGATGGGTGGACAATATTAAAACGGATCTTAGAGAGAGGGGATGGGATGGATTGGATTGATCTGGATCAATATAGGAACAAGTGGAGGGCTCTTGTGAACACGGCAATGAACCTTCGTGTTCCATAAAATGCTAGAAAGTTACAGTTAATCCGGATTGAAATATGAAAAGTGAAAAATGCTGTTCACAGTTGAGTACATACTTTAAAAGACACATGGAAGTTAGGAAGGCAGATCAGTCACTTGTCTGTTCAGACGGAACTTGACAGTTTCTTCAAACCTACATTATTACGTTCAGAAAAAGTACTTCTGAGCCTTCTGTCGATAAAGAAATGTACTGACTTTCTATAGTTTTTAAATAGAGGCTCTACAGTGATATCTTGTTATTTATTTTCATCAGCACTACTTATATCATTAAGTGTTCCAGCGTATTCTAAGTTTTTTGTGTTTTAGAGCCATCTTTTGCTTCACGAATTCGGATTATCGCGTGATTTGGATGAATTATCCCCCAAGGTATTCCAGATTAGCGAGGGTTTAGTAGGTATTGTAACGTATTGTAGTGTAGTGGGTCTGGAACGGGGTCCACTCAGCCTCGTGAGGATAAATGAGGAGCCATTTAAAGGGAATAGCGGCTCCGGTCTAGAAAACCGAGATTAACGGCAGTGGGAATCCGTTGCGCTGACCACGTGACACCCTCTACCCGCAAAAGTCGGCACTAACTTCGCTGACAAACGGCGGTCGCTCGGTCGGTATAGTTCGCTTGCGGACTATAGGCCACGCAGATTTTTTGTAGCGGATTAGCTCAAAGCGTTTATAGGCTCGGTAAACACGATCAACGCGCAACAATACAAGATGTGTCTCAGCGGACGAATGATATTGCGCGTTGCTAGGCAACAGCGCACCAATAAAGATGCTGGCTAGGAATCACGTGACTTATTCTCTATGTGGTCTCACTTATGCAACAACAGAACTGTGTTTTCTGTGCGTGGCCCGTGCGGAGGCTATACAACGAAAGTAACACAAACAGTAATAAATATCTGATCATGAGCCCCAGATGGAGCTCGACACCAAGACTGACTGACTGATCGACTGTCAGTCGCATTGTGACTTTGACTTTGATAGCATAAGATACGTAATTTAGGCATGATCTGCTCTGTAAAGACTGTACTGACAAAGGATTTGTGTGCAGTGCAAAAGGAAGAATTTTAAAAAAACATGTTATATGTGCAAAATAGACACTTGACGAAAGGCCAAGCGTATTCATAGGAGACAAACCACCTTCTCGTCAGAGAGCATGTTACATAAGGACTATTACCGTGAGAGTTTAGTCGGAAAATATCTCTAGTCGTGGGCCTCAAAGGGCCTGGCGCCAAGACGAACTGATTGGCGGTAAACCGCCAGTCGTAAAGTAACTCTGACTTTGAGTTCAGTTTAGTTGAGTTCTTTGTAGGAGACAGCCACGTGAAATTCGTAAAAGACCTGTGAAGACTTAGCGTGTGAATTGAAGACTTTGTGTGTTATAATTACAGTAATCTTGAAAGTGTTACAATTATTTGTAGTTATGACTAGTGAAGATCCAATAAACCGACTCACCAATCCAAACCCGCGTCTTAGTCACTCAGACACGTGACAATATTATTATTATTATTATTATTGTTGTTGTTGTTGTTGTTGTTGTTATTGTTATTATTGATGTTTGATTATCGATTGATTACTATTGATGTTTTGTAAAATCGCATTCACGGAGAAGGGAAGGGAAGGGAAAGTATCACCGCAGATGATGTATGTTCCTCAGGTATGCAAGGAAGGCCCATTTTGAACTCAGAACCCAGAGGGTTGCCTCTTCAAGAGAAAATTCTGCCGCAGTACCTGAAAGAGTTAGGTTATGTCACGAGGGCCTTTGGTAAATGGCACCTAGGATTCTACAAGAGGGAGTTCACACCAACATACCGCGGGTTTGACTCTCATCTTGGCTACTGGGGAGGATATACAAGTTACTATGATCACATTCTGGAAGACATGGTAAGCTATCACAGCGGAGAGATTATTATTATTATTATTATTATTATTATTATTATTATTATTATTATTACATCTGTGTCTCATAAGAAAATCGTGAGGACGTGTAGGGGGAGTGGAGGTAAATTTCATAGTATCCTAAACATTGGCACTAAGTGAAGGTGAATCGTCAGCTTCATGCTCTGGCAGCCTTGTACCCCGTGTACTCGGGTCAGGGCAATGCTAAGTAAGGAGAGTACATACAGGCCAGAGCCTACTTATGTTAGAACTAGAACAAAAATTTATCAAAGCATCTATACATCCACTCCCCCCTTCATACGCCTTCATGGCATAATGCTTAATTAGTTAAGCACAGGGACAACTCTACCTTTACGTTTATCAAACTCTTGCGTCCGTTGAAATTACGTGTTCATACGCAGTTTGGATAAATGAAGGTAAAGGTAAAGTTGTAGAGGCCTTGCGACGAGCTGATCACCCGCCCAAGGAGTCCTACCGAATGTGTAAAATCTAGAAAAACCGAAGTGAACAGAGAAGTTCATGGAGGTAGTCCTAGGCCCACTGGGGCTGTAGTGCCAAGGGATAAAAAGGTAAAGTTATCCCTGTGCTTGATTAATTAAGCACAACATCAAGAAGAAGTACTGAGAGACTTGAGGTATAGCTCCTCCCTTCTTGACCTCGGCACCAGATGGAGGTGAGTGGTCAGCTTCACAGTCTGGCCGCTTTAACCCCAGAGAAAGCGCCTCTTCTTCCCACCGAATAGGTTAGATTGGCCCAAGAGCCAATCTGGACGTTGTGGAGGTGAGAAATATCTCTTGTCCCTGCCGGGAATCGAACCCCGGTCTTCCAACACATTGCCCGTCGCTATACCGACCGACCTATTCAAGCTCAGTTTGGATAAATTAAGCCTATAGTCCGTATAGGTAAACATCTGTTGCGTGTCCTATTATGAATGGTCTAAAATAAGTGATACTTTATTTCCATTGTTTTTAACTGTGTTTTAAAATACGCCATTGAGAAGGTCCAGGAAAACCAGGTGGGAATGAAAATAGATGGGGCACATTAGCTGCTTGTCTATGCTGATGACATAAAACTGTTAGGTTACATGCAGGCCAAAAAGAAAAGCAGAGTTCTACTCTGGTGACGGCCGTGTACGGCAGAAATACATCGTAATAAGGCAAGAAGCATGAGTACATGTATATGAGACAGAAAATAAACGCTGCATTTAAGACGGCAATATACAGAAAAGTGCGAAGCTGTTATGTTAATGCAACATTACGAAAGTTCTAATTGACGCTTACAGCGAGGCTGGTCTACAAGTAAACGCAGAGAAACTCAAGCATGTGCTGATGTCTCGTCACCAGAATGCAGGCCAAAATCATACAACACAAATATAGCACAGTTCAGATATTTGGGAGCGATAGTAACAAATCAACGTTCGAATCGCAATTCTTAAGAGCAAACTATTCGGGTAACCTTTACTACCGTTCAGTTCAGAACCATCTGTTTTCTGAAAACGTGAAAATTAGAAAATACAGAACTATAATTTTGTCTGTGGTGCTGCATGCGTGTGAAACTTGGTCTCTGATATTAAGGGGGGAACACAGACTGAGGGTGTTTGAGAACAGTGTGTTGAGGTGAATATTTGGACCGAAGGAGGATGAAATCGTAGGAGGCTGGAGAAAACTGCATAATGATGAGTTTAACTTTTAATCTTCGTGAAATATAATTAGAATGATCAAGTCGAGGAGGATGAGTTGGGCAGAGCATGTAGCATGCACGGGGAATAGAAATGCATATGCAATTTTGGTGGGATAATCAGAAGAAATGAGCCAGACCTAGACATCGATGGGAGGATAATATTACAAAAAGTTCTCGCAGAACCAATCGTCTACTTTTCCGTTTGTCTGTCAGTCTGGTAAACCGCTGCCGGTCCTCGCAATATACGACAGGGACCGCATGGAAAACACCGCGTCCAACAGCTCTTCTACTGTTACGTGTGTATTCGTTGCCGCGGGAGCGTGTTTACCAAGCTGTTACCTAGTAACAACCAGGAAACATGTTTAGCTAGCCGTTGCCTAACAACGAGAGGTGAATACACGGCCATACAGGCAACAAGATAATCTCACAAGCCTGCTTTTTAGTCTACTTTCCTTATATCTGGTCACTATAATGACTGGGATATCTTGGCTCCCAAGAGGAATTACAAAAGAATGAAATATTTATTAACTTAATTAAATATGAGATGACGACAAAGCAAGAATTGTTAACTCATTTGAACAGAATGGATAATAATAGATTGCTAAATGGTATATAGAGAGGATGTTACAAAGGACTATCACCTCAAGTGTTCAGTTGAAAAAAATATTAGTCGTGAGTCTCAAGGGGCTTGTCGCCAAGACGAACTGGTCGGCGGTAATCTTCCAGTCGTGAAATAACTCTGACTCTATACGGAGATATAGGAAGACTATGAAGTCGAAACAGGTCAAATGCATGGAAGATACAGAATGAAGAGTAAAAACTGACCTCATGAGCAAATGACAAGTGTCAGGGAACACGGGGGCACTTTCCTAGTAATATTGTGAAGAGGACTGGGGCAAGAAACTACCACTCGCCTTCAGCCTTCCCATGAAATTCATAAGAACAGCTCATGTGAAACTTCTGTGTATTTTTTATTTTATTTCAAAGCTTCAATTGAGCTGTGTATAAACATGTTTTGTGTTCTTAAGACTTACTCCTGCAGTCTCTTATTATTTTTTTTTACTAACTACAGATCCACAGAATGTAACATGAAACATGTAACCTCAATTTCTCACCCTCATTTCTTTACACATCTCACACAGTACTGTGAGGAATTCGTGATAGTTTCTGTTCTCAACATAACGGCGTGCAAGATTACTGTGTTCCAAAAATGGCTCCTCTTATGACAATACGATTCGTGCATAAATTACTATACCTTGTATGGCCCTGAGAGCTATACCAGCGGTAGCGTAGCTACTGGCAGGGCCTCCCTTGCTGGACAGGTCAAAGGGTAGGCATCAGACGAAGAGAGACACCAAAAACTGATGCCGGAAGCAGCGTCATCAGTAGCGACTTGAAGCACAGAGCAAATGATGCTCGAGTTGGTTCAAGTTCGTATAGCAGCAGGCGTGACCAGAGTGGTTTGAACGGCTGCTGTACTGCGATGTGGAAAGCAAATGGAAAAACTACCACATTATCACTTTTCCTGGATAGTCTCTTTCCAAAAACAGAGATACCATATATGCGAGATGTTTCCTCTGGAGGCAAAACAATCCGGAGGTAAACTACTCCCCCAATCGGATCTCCGGGGGGGAGTGTTTCTAGAGGAAATGTCATGCAGGCGTTACAACAAGAAAAAGTGCGAAGATCAGAAGAAACAGCATGGATACAAGATTGGAACATGGAATGTCAGGACCTTGAATCAAGCAGGAAAATTGGAGAATTTGAAAACGGAAATGCAGAAGAATGAAGTGTCTGTTCTAGGTGTCAGCGAAGTGCGGTGGAAAGGACAAGGTGAAATAAGAAGCGGTGATTATACAGTGTATTATTCCGGAGGTGAACGGGCTGAAAGAGGTGTGGCAATAGTGGTGCATAAAAGTGTAGTGAGGAGTGTTGTTAAGAAGATTGCTTGTAATGACAGAATTATTGCTCTGAAGTTAAAGGCGGAACCGGTAGATATACTGATTATACAAGTGTACATGCCAACATCAGAGTATGAAGATGATGAAGTGGAAAAAGTGTATGACACAATTGAAGAAATTCTTCAGGAAGATGGAAGAGGAGACACAAACAGCATCATATTGGGAGACTGGAACAGCATTGTTGGAGATGAACCATATCAGAATATTGTTGGATCACATGGACTAGGAAGACGGAATCACAGAGGTCAAATGCTTATTGACTTTTGTGAACGAAATGGATTGATTGTTACCAACACTTGGTTCAAGAAGCCAAAGAGAAGAATTTACACATGGAAGGCACCTGGGGATTGGAAGAGGCATCAGCTGGACTACATCCTTGTGAAACATCGATTCAGAAACAGTGTGAAGGATGTGAAGACGCTTCCTGGGGCAGACATTGACTCTGACCACAACTTGCTGGTTGCCAAGTTCCGAACCAGGTTGAAGAAAATTATAGGATTTCGAAAGCGCAGACCCAGATGGGATTTGGAGAAGTTATATGCTCAAAGACAAAGCGTGCAAGAGACTCTAGAAGAGAAACTCGGTGCAATTGAAGGTGAAAGCGGAAATGCTGAAGCGCAGTGGAACGATATAAAAGAATGCATGTTAGATACTATCAGTGATTTGGTAGGTAAAGTTGAGAAGATAGCAAGAAAACCATGGGTTACACAGGAGATGATGAGTAAAATGGAGGAGCGAAGGAAATGGAAGAATGTCAACAATGAAGAAGGCAGGAGGAAATACAGGAGACTGAGGAATGAATTGAAAAGAGCCACGGACAGGGCCAAAAAGGAATATCTTGAGAAGATATGTAATGAGATTATGGAATTTCAAAGAACAGGCCGTTATGATTTGATGTACATGAAGACAAAAGAACTAGGATGGAAAGAGAATCATGGGATTCAAAATGTTGGCATCGAAGACTCCCAGGGGAATAGAATAGTAGATCAGAGGCAAGTGCTGAAAATTTGGGAAAATTATATTTCAGAACTATATGATCGACCTAATCGGCCAGAAACCTTAGAAGTTGAACCGGAAGAAGAAGTAGATACAGACGAGAAAGGACCATATATTTTACAAAGTGAGGTGGAAAAAGCTATCAAGGAAATGAGGAAGGGAAAGGCTACAGGAGATGATGATGTACCTGGAGATGTGCTCAAGTTACTGGGAGAAGGTGGTTTGAAAACACTGACAAAACTAATGAACACCATATATGAAAGTGGAGAGTGGCCCAAGGACTTTACAGAAGTTACAATGATTGCCTTAAAGAAAAAGACAAAAGCTACAAAATGCAGCGACCATCGCACAATAAGTCTTATTGCACATACAGCAAAGATAATAGCAAAGATACTTAAAAGAAGAATTGAAAGGAAAATAGAGGATGTACTTGGAGAAGATCAGTTTGGATTTAGAAGAGGAAAAGGAACCAGGGATGCAATTGGGATGATGAGAATTATAGCGGAACGAACTTTGGAGATAGATGAAGAACTGTGTGTTTGCTTCATAGACTGGCAGAAGGCATTTGACCGGGTAAACTGGACCAAATTAATGCAGATCCTGAAAGAAACAGGTATCGATTGGCATGAAAGAAGATTGATTAGCAAATTGTACATGGATCAGAAAGTTAGAGTACGACTGGACAGGGGGGAGACAGGAAGTGTGCAGATTGGAAGAGGAGTTCGACAAGGATGCTGTTTATCACCAATTCTGTTCAACTTGTACAGCGAATGCCTTACCAAGGAAGCTCTGGATGGGCTCGGTGACTTCAAAGTAGGAGGGCAAATTATTCAAACTGTGAAATATGCAGATGACCTTGTGTTAATGGCTAAGGAAGAAACTGTGCTACAGGGCATGATTGATAGACTAATTGAAATTGGAAGGTGCTATGGCATGGAAATGAATGTGGAGAAAACAAAAGTAATGAAAATTTCGAGACAACCAACCCCAGTCACAATAAAGATAGACCAAAAACAAGTGGAGAATGTGAAATGTTTTAAATATTTGGGTAGCTTGTTAACAGATGATGGAAGGTGTACTTGTGAAATTAAATCCAGGATTGCCATGGCAAAAGCTGCATTTAGCAAGAAGAAGAATCTTTTTACCAGCAAATTGGACTTAAATTTGAGGAAGAAACTAGTGAAATGCTACATTTGGAGCATAGCTCTGTATGGGGCTGAAACATGGACACTTAGGGCAGTAGATCAGAAACATCTGGAAAGTTTCGAAATGTGGTGTTGGAGAAGAATGGAGAAGATCAGTTGGACCGATTATGTGAGAAATGAAGAAGTGTTAATTAGAGTCAGTGAGCAGAGGAATATCCTACATGAAATAAGAAAACGGAAGGCTAATTGGATTGGTCATGTTTTACGCAGAAACTGCCTTCTAAAAGAAGCTATCGAAGGAAAGATAGATGGGCGGATAGAAGTGACAAGAAGACGAGGAAGAAGACGTAAGAAGATGCTGGATGACCTTGGGGACAGAAGAGGATACTGTCATTTGAAGGAGAAAGCTCTAGATCGCATTAAGTGGAGGAATTGTTTTGAAAGAGACTGTGGACCTGTCGTATTGACAGATTACTGATGATGATGATGTATGGCTTACTGGTTAGAGCGCTGATCCTATTTTTGCCAGGTTACTTTGGCACCTCTCTAAGGCAGCTTGTGGTACCAGTATTGTGACACGACACCATACAGCCGAAATAGTAGGGCCTGAGGAGACGTCTATTGCTAGGCAACGGCTCAGTAAACACGTTCCGGCGGCACTCGATACGCATGTAACAATAGAGGAACAGTTGTATAGTGTTCTGTTGGGTCCGTGCTAAAGTTATATAACGGGGACTAGTGTGACCGTTCAAGTGAGCGAATTCGGCTAAAAACAACCCATTAGTGCCCTTCCTTTCATTTCGTGTACAGTTCATCTCTTACATCTGTCCTTTTCCCCCGACACCACAGAGCCTATGCGTTTCAGAAACTATGTTACAGTAAGGAAAAAGTGAGAAACTAATTACATCGTGTGTGTGTTGTGTAGCTGTAACTCCATTTACACATTATCATAATAATAAAACATATTACTCAATATGAGAATTGACGTTTTGTTGACAAGTTCATAGTGACTAGAATACACTGAGTGTCACATTATAATGAAAACAGTAACAAAAAATTCTGGGAAGAAATAATGAAAACAGTAACAAAACATTCTGGGAAGAACTAGTAGCCTAATTTCCTTGTACTTGTGGTCAAATATAATTAGAATGATCAAGTCAAGGAGAATGATATGGGAAGGATATGTAGTATGCATGGGAAGAAGAGTAATGCATTTATGGTCTATGTGGGAAAGGCAGAAGTAAGGAGACCACCAGCAAAAGCTAGGCGTAGGTGGAAGGATAATATTAAAATAGATTTTAGAGAAATCTTTCGGGATGTTATGGACTAGATTCATCTGGCTCAAGGTTTGGACCAGTAGAGGACTCTTGTGAACAAGATAATGATGCTTGGGGTTTCGTAACGTTTGGGGAAATTCTTAAGTGGCTGAGTGACTGATGGCTTATCCAGGACTCAACTCCACTGAGCCAGTCAGTTAGTTACACAGTTTGCATTTGCACAGTATCCAGATGGAAGAAGCTTGAGTGGCCACGACTTACGGCACAATATGGAAACGGTTTGGCAGCTGGACGGAGAGTACGCAACTGATATGTTCACGAGTGTCACTGTGAACACAATCAGACACCACAACACGAGCAACCCACTGTTCCTGTATGTGGCCCACCTGGCAGTGCACGCAGGCAATGCGGGAAAGCCGTTAGAAGCTCCACAGGAGACCGTGAACAATTTCGCGTACATTCCTGATCCCAACAGAAGAACTTACGCCGGTAAGTGCCTCTCTTATTTACGCACAAGACGTTTTGACTTCTGTGATCCGTACTTATATTAGAAGCGTTTAAAATTAATCTCGTATGAGTATGACTGGTTAAGAAAATTGAATTTGGCTCAATAATCATGTTGTAACAGACGCCAATATCGGTGGTAGGAGCGTGCTGAAGTCCTATGGACATGATCACCGTACTGCCAAGTGTCCACTGACTACCCGACCGAAGGATTGGCTCTTTTTCGTGACCCTCAGTTATGCGATTCCAAAGCTTAGAAATGTGTCCCTGTGCTTAATTCATTAAGTACTACGCCATGAAGAAGTATGGAGCGAGTGAAGGTATAGCTCTACCCTTCTTGACCTAGGCACTAGATTGAGGTGAATGGTAAGCTTTACGCCCGTGCCTCTTTACCTCGGGTACCCATTGGATAGGAGGCTGGGTGGGTCTCAGAGCCGGTCAGGGCGCTGTGTGGAAGAGAATAATCTTTTGCTCTTGTCGGGAATCGAACCCGGGTCCTCCAGCCAGTCGCTATACCGATTGAGCCATGCGATTCCCGAGGTGGTATACTGAAACAGGCCACGACGTCTTAATCGTTTCCTTCATAATCCCTTTATGTATTGATCCTGAAGCATTATTCGGCGCTACACGAACACTGAGATTCATACAGTGTTGTTACATGCCACAAACCAACCACAGTGCGTGTTGTTAAGAAATGGTAATAAATGTGTAGACGGTAGCACATCTCGTAGTCGAGTGATTTCATTTCACTTCAAGATGTTCTTACAGGATACGTACCGTTAGAACTCCTGCTGTCAGCAAGGTAAATTTAACTTTGGTTGTCCCAACTGCAAACGCCTCCTTTCATCGAGATGTTCCAGTGATGTCGACACTTCGCGAGTTAATTTTAATGTGAAAGGCACAATGGAATTTACGTTTATATTTAAAGAGAAAAAAATATGGCAGACTGTATGTGAGTTTGGGACGGAAAATTTTATTTCGAAATATAAAAATATCACTATATTGAAAATCAACAATTTATTGACAGGGGAGGGAGGTTCATTAACAGTATCCATACCACTCACCTGTTAGTACATTAAGAATCCTGCTGCATTACTTGCAAACGATATTAAACTAATTCCCATTGCATGCTAGTTGGCCTACCCTTCCAAATTACAAATGTGTACATACGGCGTTCTAGCCTGACATATGGCAACAATTAACAGTTTAGTTTTTACTGCGTTACGCTTGTGTTTTAGTGAGATACGTACAACAACTTTAATCAAGTACTAATTGTAATTACTATTACTGCATTACAATGAAAATAATGTCAATTGCGGTATTCCGATTGCATCTGTTTTGTCCTTGGATGCTATTCGGCTTTATAGACTGTAATTGTGATTGTTCTGACGTCATTATTTCTCTAGTCAATTCACACACAGTTCTGTTTTGGGCAGCAACGTTACTTTTCCAATATAACGCTGAATATGTACAGTAATCCACCGCCTTTTGATAATATGCTTAACATACAATTTTCGACAAATAAACTTTTTACGACCTCGCCTCGCCTCACCTCCCCCCCACACACTAAAAAATGACTGACGATTGCAATACTGCGTCACAGCAGACGACAAGCCAGTCTGCGTATGTTATGCTATGGAATAATAGCTTTTCTGCATGTCTACAGCAGACGAACGGTGCATAATGAATATGCAGTACTTCGGTAACAGTTACAAACGCTTAAAGAGCGCATTTAGTGCATGTCCTTCTTACCTTATGTGCTTGGTATATTGATATCAACGCCGTCTTTGACGTTTAGAAAATTTGAAGTTAATCTTGAAGGGACTGGCGTTTTGTATGAATTGTCTTGTTAACCTCATGTCCATACACAATGCACGAATGTTGTTTTACGTTATCCCTTCCTCACTGCACTTTTTCCGTAGGATTATTTCGCAAATTTTAGTAGATCTAGAAACTTTGAAGTAAAGCGATCTCCATGTTGCTTCCGGATCTGGAAGTGAATATCCCGGCAATATTGAATTTTATACTTGAAGTTGACTACTATGACGTTTACGTCATTGAATGGGAATGTCGTACTTCCGTATTTTCTAACAAATCACATGCACGAGTGCTAAAGTGGCTCAAGAACAATGTAGAAATATGAAGTTGGAGTCATATCATTCCATGATAAAAAGAACATAGCTTTCGTTGAATGGAGCCCAATGCCATTAACTTCATAACATGAATCGCTGAATTTGGCTTGCAGATTGTAAATGTACCAGCAGCTGAACTCTTAGAGAGCTGGATCCCTGTTGAGAAGACAACAGTACCTCAACTATCCAAGAAATAACTCTTATATGAGACCCTTAGGTTCATTACCATGTTCACCAGAGTCCCCGCCCCGCCCATGCATCCCAGTTTGAGCCAGAAGAATGCAGCCCACACTTTTATATTTTATTCCCATAAGACCCATTTTGATATCATCCCGTCTATGTCCAGGTCGCCCAAGTCTCTCTTCCCTTCAGGTTTTCTAACTAAACGTTTGCACTCATCGCTCTCATGTGTGCTATATGCCCCACCAATCTAATGCTTCCCAAATAAAAGTGAAGTTATTTTAATTTGGTTATGACTTCATGTCTACATTCTATTTTTTTATTAGAAAGTGTAAAATATAGCCTCAAATAAGAGAACTGGGAAAGTGAGACTGCAAACGATTTTATTTAATACAATGTCTAACATTAACCTAGGTTTATATGCCCAATGTCTGACACTGCATTAAATAACATTATTTCCTACTTCCCTTCCCAGTTACCTACCTGGTAGAATAAGAGCATGTCAAGTCCATACACTGGAGATACATAAATGCATCAGTTAATTGGTCACCATATTTTAAAGAAACTTGGTTACATTTACAAGAATTTTCATTAGACCAGGCATGTTGGTTAAAGTAACGGTTGTGGTTTGCAGCTGGAAGGTCTGGGTTGAATATCAGCAGAGACACTGATTATCCTGAGCCTTTTCATAGCTTTTCTAGCCCTTCCAAGCAAATGGTAAATAATGCCTCAAATTCCAAATTCATTAATCATCCAATCATTCAATGATATAGAGTCTGAGGTGCTTAGATCATCACCAAGTAAACTGCAAACAGATAAATAAGTATACTGTGAGGAGTGTATCTGTGAATGTTGCAGCCATGGTGTCAAAGCTGGATGACTCTGTTGGACAGATAGTGGGTGCCCTGATGGAAAAAGGCATGCTCGGGAATTCAATAATCGTCTTTGTCTCTGACAATGGTGCTCCAAGCGTTGGGGACTATCAGAACTGGGGCTCAAATTATCCACTCAGAGGGGTAAGAGTTATTTACATACTGAACAGAAGTGACAAGGGCATTCCTGTTGGAACATGGAGCTTCTCAGCCTGGCTCCTTAAATGAGAACACATGATACATGGTGAGTTCCATCTTCTGGGATATAACTCTGTGTAGACCGTTGAAAATTAACACACATTTTGGAGGAAAATGTCGTTTCTGTCTCCAGGGCTGAGGGATAAGCCAAGCAAGAAACCAGCATGAAACAGGTAGCTCTGCTTTTTGCCAGTTTCTTGCTTGGCTTACTCTTCAACCTTGAAGAGAGAGGCAGCATATTCCTCTGAAATTTCGGTTTACTTTAAAAGGACTAAACAGCATTATATCCCAGAAGACAGAGCTCTTCTTAGCCACTGCTGTGAAAACCACAAATACTACATGATAAATGGTGTATGTGACCCCTAAATAACACTTTAACTTTCAACTATCACATACCTTTAATTTATTGTATATTTCCTTCTTTTTCCAATTGTGAATTTATTTCCTAAGGTTTGAGGGTGGAGGTGGAGATGCTTGACTTGACCCTCTCTGCCAGCACCTATGAATGTAAGGACTACAAAACCTGTCCTACACAACCCAATGAAAATTAATCTCTCAACCATTACATCTAATGCAGAAGAACTTCCACAACCAAAATTTGGTCTAGTTCTTATGTTTTGGTTGTATTTCTTTAAATAAGTCAACATCCATAAGTATGCAGCATTACTCAGTTGATTTCCAGTCCATTAATTGACCAATTTAAGATGTATTTCAATATTATTATTACATCTATATCTAGGTCTCCAGAGTGAATATATCCATTGAGGTCTTCCAATCAGTATTTTATATGCATTAAACTCTGTGTGCTGCACAGCCCACTCATCACAATTTGGTAACTTAGTAATTATTTATACATTCTGTTTTCCATTATATTTGGTGTGCAGAACAAGGGGTCACTGTGGGAAGGAGGTGTGCGGTGCATTGGTCTGGTCTGGAGCCCATTAATAAACAACTCTCATCGAGTATCCAATGAGGTGATTATGTTAACTAACCCACTGAAATATATATATGGAAAAAGACTCAATTATTTTACAAATACACAGACAAACGCTACAGGCCCTAGAAAATCCTGCTATACAGTGGGGTGGGGGGTGAGAGAAAGATTTTAGGTCAAAGTAAAGGTATTACTATTGAAGACATAAAACACTCAGCTGCAAATAAACTGTAACAACAGTGTAACATTTGTTCAGCTGGACCACATACATACACCGATACAACAGTGCAACAACTGGCCACAGTTACACATACACCATCACAATAGTGCAATACTTGGCCAGTTGGACTGTGCACATACACCATTATAACAGTGCAACACTTGGGCCAGTTGGACTGTGCACATACACCATTACAATAGTGCAATACCAGTCCACAGTGTAACATTTGTCCAGTTGGGCAGCACACATACACCATTACAATAGTGCAATATCAGTCCACAGCGTAATACTTTGCCAATCAGACTGTGCACATACACCATTACAACAGTGCAACACTTGTCCAGTTGGACTGTGCACATACACCATTACAATAGTGCAATACCAGTCCACAGTGTAACATGTGTCCAGTTGGACTGCGTACATACAAGGTGTGTCCCAAAAGTCATGAAATATATTTCTTTCCCGTGCTCCTACTGGTTGGAGCGTGCTGGAACCGGTTGGGTTGGGGGGGGGGGGGCCTTTAGCTTCACAGCGCGCCCAAGGTCAGTCTGCTCGAGCACCGGAGGCGTCAGTATCGCTGATTTAGTGCACCTGTGTTTTGTGACCACGTCACGGCGCGCGATGGTGGATACTTTCGAACAACGTTGGACGGTCAAGTTCTGCACAAAGCTCAACAAAAAAGCTGCCGAAACTCATGAACTGCTTAAGCAAGCCTACTCACACCTCGGCTTCCCCGAAACCGAAGAAGGCGAAGATGAGCAAATACAAAGTGAAAACAATGCTCATCATCTTTTCGACACCAAGGGTGTGGTCCACAAAGAGGTTTTACCCCAAGGACAGACCGTCAACGATCCCTACTATGTGGATGTTCTAGAAAGATTAAGGAAAAGGGTCATCCGCGTGCGAAAAGACATCGCCGCTAACTGGCGGCTGCATCATGACAATGCGCCCAGCCACATGTCTCTGCTCGTCCGTGAGTTCCTGGCAAAGCACCACATGGCAACGCTGCCGCAGCCACCCTACAGCCCCGACCTAGCTCCGGCCAACTTCTTTTTGTTCCCGAAGATCAAGACTGCACTCAAAGGATGCCGTTTTGAAAGCATTCAAGCTATCCAAGCGGCCGTGACAACAGCTTTAAATGAGGTTCCCGTTGAGGCCTTTGAGGGGGCGTACTGGGCATGGGAGAGTCGGTGGAAAAAATGCGTAGATGCTCATGGACAGTACTTTGAAGAATATTAACACTTTGTACCGATATCATCAATAATTAAAAAAAAAAATATATATGTATTTCATGACTTTTGGGACACACCTTGTACACCATTACAATAGTGCACCATTTGGCCAGTTGGACTGTGAACATACACCATTATAACAGTGCAACACTTGGCCACCTGGACCACGCACAACCAATGGAGGTTAAAATGAACATGGTGCAAGTGGCATGATGCATCTGTTGAAGTGTCTATTTAATGCAATGTCAGCTTCAGACAGTTCACAAGAAAACTTCTGGCAATCAAACTGTGGTGCTAAAGAACATTACATCTGGTGTAGAGAAATGTCAGCTCTAAAATTTAAATTACACATTATTTGCATAAAGTGTATAAACTTAAAACACACAGATGATCATGTCTGGCCATCCATCTGTTAATGTATGTCTGTGCTTCAGCTTGAGAAATGCTGGATTGAATTTTATAATACCTGATATTAGAGAGGTCCTTACAAACCTCATAGGACCAAACTGGTCTTCATAAAGAAAATGCTGACATATACTTTCATGAGAGAATATCAGACAAAAATGCACATGGAAACTCTTTGACCTGGTAGTATGGACTACACCTCTGTAATCTTGTTTTGTTTTAGGTTCAGTGGTTCAAGATTTCATTCGGATATTTTATATGACAACAGTCCTATGAGCTTAACATTTCTATGGACTTTGAAACAAACAACTGATGTGAGAAAGATTTCATCACATATTCAGAACCTTCTTGCAGGCCCTGTGCATGAACAGCTGACAGTTCATAGAGGAAATGTGCTTGATCTAGACATAATTTGATAAGAACTTTCATTCCAGCCAATGCATGTGACAGACTGGCTGCCTACATTGCTCAGTGCTGCAGGCAGAAACCTCTCTGAACTTGCCAATAAACTTGATGGTGCTGACCAATGGAGCAGCATTAGTACTAACCACACATCTCAACGCAAACATCTGATAATTGAAATAGATGAGGTGATGAAAACAGCAGCCATTAGGGACAGAGAATGGAAACTGGTAATTGGTGAGTGTCTTAAAAAATGTAATATCATCGAGTCCCTATTGGTCTAGAATATAATGTTCTTTATCAGGAAGGTGTTTTGAATTAGTTCTACAGTCTTATGTGCAACAATTTACTAAAACTTAATAAAAGTTTTCACGACATGTTTCGACCAAAGTGGACATCATCAGGTGTTAAAGTTGTGGTTGAGGAAACTGCTGTCTTTCTGTGTTGATGTGTTGATATATGGTTCCCCCAGTGCGCATGTGTGTATTCTGCCTTTCTGGGTTATGTTCCCCATCGTATTGTGTTCTTTGTCTTGTTGAAAACAACAACAAACTAGGGAAACCATATATCAACACATTAACATCAACACAGAAAGACAGCAGTTTCCTCAACTGCAACTTTTAACACCTAATGATGACCACTTCGGTTGAAACACATCTTGAAAACTTTTAAAGTGACTAGATTTTATTAAGTTTTAATAAACTGTTGCACATAAGATTGTAAAATTAAAAACAATGAGTGAAAAGTGGAACAGGACGCTACAATACAATAGTATCTTTATCAGGATAAAATTAGGTTCTCACTACCTCTAATTGAATTTAATGAGGTCTGTCTTCTGTGATATAAGGTGTAGTCTGCCAAAAGTCTACCAAGGTTTCACAGGAACATGTCACTTCCATCTTCAGAATCAAATAATAAGCCAAGCAAGGAACCAGGGTGAAGCAGGTAACAGACTATAAGCATTATATCACAGAAGATAGGGCTCTTCATAACAACCACTGTGAGAACCTCAAATCCCATATACAAATTCAATGTCTCACCGAATTTATAAAGAGAGGAAAAAGCATTCTGTCCATGTGTGAGGTGCACACAAACAAGGTACTTAAGATTCCAGGATGTTTGGTAACTTGAAGCATTAGCCACAACATATTTACTGATGACAGTTATAACAAAACTAATTTGCTAATGGTCAGCAGTTACACTCTTCTGGCACCTCTACTCTGTGTTGAGAAGGTACCACACTCGAGTTTTGTTCAAGAGGCTGGTTACATTGCCTGATATTTTATACGGTCTTCCTCAGTCCTTCCAGACAAATGTTGGGACAGTGCCATTTATCAGGCCATGATCAGCTCATTCCACATTCTTTCCAGTTCATCATTCACAACCACACTCTCATACAATATTAGATAACCTATACAGCTGAGTAAGCATCATTAAAAACATAAGATTTACAGATAAGGTAAAATCGTCTCTATGCTTGTTTAAACAGCACAGCCTGAAGATGAATGGGGGAAAGGAGGTTTGGCTGCATGTACATTTAGCTTTGGCATTAGGTGGAGGTCAGTTGTCAGCTTCAAGCCCATTGCTTTACCCTCAGGGAAAGAGTGACTGGCATCCACTGGACAGGAGATTGGGTGGACCCCAGAACAAGTTTGGATGCTGTGGAGTAGAGAATAACCTCTTACAAATATATTGAGCAGGGGTAAGAGGTTATTCAATATTAGAGTTAATTTTACCGACCACACAACACGTTTTTATTTACTGTCACACTACATGTTTCAACCTCAAGAGGTCATCCTCAGGTGTACGAACACAGTTGCACAATCACATGCAATCACATTCGTTTTTCCACTTATTTTGATCCTGTATCCTGTTCAGGTCCACGCTCAATAATATGTGTGAAGTTCTTCTTATAAAATATAAGTTAAAAATACAAATGTTAAAAGTTAAAATTTAAAATTTAGTTCACTGTAACTAGTTATATTATTACCACTTTATTATTACCACAAAAAGTGAAAGTGCAGTCAATGTGATGAGTTGAAGTTTAATTCATGAACTTTTAACCAAGTGGTAATAATATAACTAGTTACAGTGAACTAAATTTTAAATTTTAACTTTTAACATTTGTATTTTTAACTTATATTTTATAAGAAGAACTTGACACATATTATTGAGCGTGGACCTGAACAGGATACAGGATCAAAATAAGTGGAAAAACGAATGTGATTGCATGTGATTGTGCAACTGTGTTCGTACACCTGAGGATGACCTCTTGAGGTTGAAACATGTAGTGTGACAGTAAATAAAAACGTGTTGTGTGGTCGGTAAAATTAACTCTAATATTGAATAACCTCTTACCCCTGCTCAATATTGAACTCTGATTCCTCAGTCTTCCAACCTACAGTCTAATCACTATGTTGAGACCAAGCAAGCTTGTGTAGTTGCAATGTCCTAGACCTGTACTCTGGAGATCCTTGGTTCACCAGCTATCCTGAGTTTTTCATGATTTGGCTCAGTCCCTCCAGGCAAATTATGGGGTAGTACCTTGATTAGGCCATGTCTGCTTCCTTCCAAATTCTTTTCAGTTTATCACTCACTAATCATCCTAGCATGTTCTGCTACACAGTCTAGCTACTGATAGCATCATAAATCTTTCCCTGCAGGATCATTTGGCACCAATGGCTCAATTGATGGTTACTATGGAGAAAAAGGACATGAAGCGAGAAATCCGGCGTACAACATTTTGGCAATTACAAATAGCACAGTTGCTACATCAATCGCACGATATGGACATACAGCTACTGACACTGAAATAAATGAACTTCGGAATTCGGCAACAGTGAAATGCCTTTTTGATGGCCAATATCCAGTTACAGACTGCAACCCTTCTCAAACAAGGCAACCATGCTTGTTTAACATTGTTTCAGATCCGTGCGAAATGCATAATTTAGCAAGTACGAAAGAAGCAACTCTCAGACAGTTGTACCACATGCTGGTAGATGAGAAAGAGAGTTTAGTTCCTCAACTTACTAAACCACGCGATTTTGATGGGGCAAACCCTGCAAAATTCAACTACACATGGAGTTCATGGCAAGACTGAACTTGTGAAAAACTGTCTGATTTATTTGACTAGCTCTTACATGATAGTTGAATAGTTTTATACAGCATTAGTATTTTATTTTGTAAATTTTCTGCACTCTAGCCCAAATAAATAAGCATCTAAACAAGGGAAAGATTCAGAATAGTAATGAAATATACATAAATTCAATTTTTGCACTTACAATGGACTTCATTGTAACGTAGGCACATTTTATTCCATGTCAGTAGGTTAAAGTGCAGTGAAATAATTTGCACAGTTGCACAAACACAATTATTCAGAGTACCAAGTCAAAGATATATATATATTTATATGAATTTACATAAATGAAATCTAAGTAGGAATTTTCACAGTACACTTATAAGATACTAACAATCTTCATTTATAATATTATAATTAAATTATAATTATAATGCTATAATTATATTATTATAATATTTCCAACTCATAACACAAAGTTCCTTATTTTTATCTGAAATGTATTACTGTATGTCAATAAAATTTACAACATATTTTTCTGAAAGTAAACTAACAAGGCAGTGGGGAGGTTCATGTGACCTGCTCACCTGGACAGCTACATTAGTGAAAGCAGAACCTCCTGCAGGGCCACCCATGGTCAAACAGTAGGGACAGAAAGAAGGTAGACCCTGACCCCCTAGGTTTGGGACTGATTGTGACAGTAAACACCTCACCTCATAAAACAATGTGTGCTAAGAAACCTCATGATGCTCACTGGATGAGAGAAGGATGGGCATCTGTTGTAAAGGAGGCCAAGGTTCTTAGAGGTCCATAGAGCATGTTCAATATCAGGATCTGTAAAGAAGTTAAGAGAAAAATTACTAACGAGTTCTTGAGAACTTCATAGTCACTACAGTGGTTAAGAAATTCCCTTGCTTTTACAAAACCTGAGGGTTCATTATCATGTTCATATGAACCCATCACTGCACCCTGTTCTGAGCCAGATGAACCTAGTTCACAATACCACACTGTCACAGTGGTCACCGTTGTCTGCTGGAGACCCTTTATCTTGCACCATGGCAACCAATGATGTCTGCTGCAGGACCCTTCATCTCACACCATGGTGGTCACCAGTATCTGCTGCAGGACCCTTCACTTCAGTTCATGGCAGTCACCTGTGTCCAATCTGCAGTGCCTGTATTTGCTTTAATGCCATCACAATGTGTTCACTGGTTGCATTCAAACTCTAAGGGAGTGTGTCCACTACACAGGGGTGGAAATGGATTTTCAAAGCTAGACAGATACTTGAGATCACTAAAATACCTGAGAGAATGACCAATATATACTAAAGGGAATTATTTCAGAGTAGGCTCAATAATTCATTCCTACATGCATCGTTATAATGAAGACTGCTATGACATCTATAAGGAACTGGAAATACCTTCCTTCAAATGGAGGACCCCGCAACTGAAGAGATGGCATACACCTGTGTTTGTTCAGTGCAGCCACAATGGCTTGTGGGTACTGTAACATTTGTCAACATCTGTGATAACTCACAATGGTGCAAAAACAACATGTGTCCATCATTTGGTCTGGGAGAGTAAGTATAAACAATTTGTCATCATGATAAGTGGAACACTACTGGCCTAATTGGTTTCTGTGGGTTGTGTCCACTTATCACATTTCTTCCGACACTTCTTATTCTTGAAGAGTTTCTTTGGACAAGCTTTCCCTCCATTTCGTGGGTGAATCTACGGCAAAAAGAACGTAATCATGAATGAGCTATCCAAAGTCAACACAAAATATAATTATTTCAAACATAAGCCATGAGACCATCCAAGGTATGGAGAGAGTTGTGCCCAGGTGGAAGGTTCCCATTTAAATTTCTACCAGTGAGAAGTATTAAATTTCACAACTGGAATATCTGTTAAAATTATAACAAAAGTGCAACTCTGTCCACTTTACGAAACAGGGCATGTCGAACTTCATGTAGGCAACCATACAAAAGAAAGCTTCCCTGTTTTTTTTAAATAACCACCCTGGTATATAGTAACTTTCTAATTTCTACTTCTATATGGTCACAAATATCTGTTATAACAGTATTCTAGCAACCCATCTTGAAAAGAAATAATAACCTTAGTTTAGGATACAGTGTAAAATAAAGTCTTGATTTATGGTTGAAAACTGATAAAACACTGTGCGTGAAAAGTCATCTGTTCTTCTCATAGCATCATTTACGTTTTATATAGACTACAGATAAAATGTCTCCAATCTCTTCTCTCTAACCATAATTTTTTCTCTTTGATTTTTGCCAGTTCTTTTTTTAACAGTACCTGGCTGAACCATCTTATTCTGGGATGTCCCACAGAACTTCTGCTTTCAAATTTTAATCCTAACATCTTTCACAGTATCCCTGTTCCATCCAATCCTTTTATATGGCCAGATCACTGTAATCACTTTTCCTCTAATTCTATTAAAAAAATTTAAAATTCCAGTTTCTTCTGTGAAAGCTCTATCCCTTCTTGTTTTCTCCTCTATACTTTCACAAATTAATCAGTCATTGTTCAGCTTTTGCTTTTGATGAAATCCTCTCAAGTTATCAGCTAACATTTCAGGGGCCATCTCTGTCCCCATCATCAGGGTCATGATTTGTATTCTTCTACTGGTCTTTCCACCAACTTTCCCGTCTACAATTATTTCACTTCAGAAATAAAAAAAATTAGTCCTCGTTGGTGAGAAGTAAATTAAATACAATTCTAAAATATCACTTATATAATACAGCATACAGAATTAAATCACTTCACATTATATTTACATAAGCCATTCAATACAGCACATTAACCTTTAACGGCCGAAGTGCCCTGATTGGGCCAGTGTTCAGTAAGGTCATCGTGGCCAAAGTACCCTGTTTTGGCCAGTCAGGCATTTAAACTCTGCTAGTGGAAGTGTCCTAAATATTATTTTTAAATGTAGTAATTACCAGACAGACTTGATTAAAACTATAATAGAGGAATTAAAATTACATCTAAGTGAACAACAGCAAAATAGAATATACGTATGAGTTATGCCCAAACTCATCCATGAGTCAGTACTTTTATTGCAGATTCTGCAGATTAATGTGTTAAAAGTATATAGTAAAATTCGATGTACATACCTTTTTTGTTGTTATTTGCTTGATGTATATATAGGCTGAAATGAAACTACAGTATACGATTTCACTATGAGAGCACAGAAAACAGACTGCACTCTGTATCTCAGCCACAGTGCAACTCTCTGTTCACTACTACAGAAAGGGCAATAATCTCTTGCAGCTATAATGGAAGGTCTTAGCACTGAAGAAGGGACTCCTTTAACTTTCTCTGGAATAGCCATTCTTTCATTCTTCTGTCCTTTAGTCAAAAGTATTGAAAATCCGAAGCGTGTAAGCAGTGTTAGCAGAAGACCAAATTATTTTATTGCTTCCATCTGTTTTATGACACCAGGTACTGCTATAATTTGTCAAGTGTTACAAATAGAAATTAATTTATAATGCAGAAGAACTCTGTGAAGAAATGAGAAACCATTTTTGCAGTACACATCAAAATTAAAAGGAAAAAAATTGAAAACAGAGTATAAATCTTTGTATAAAAATTTTCAAATCTTCCGTTATAATATGCGACACTATGTTCTTTGTTGATACAAACAAAGTTAATTGCATCCATTTATCATAAAAATTGAGTTAGATACAGCATTTTTAAACACAATGCTAAAAATTGTTTAAGTGCCCTAACAGGAACGGACATTTAAATGCAGAGTAGCAACGGGCATTTAAACCCACACCAGCAGCGGGCATTTAAATAAACTCTGGCCAGCCCAAGCTTACCACCATTTCAGAAGTCCGACATTTAAAGGTTAACAATATATCTCTAAATATAAAAGTATCTCACCTCTATTGATCGACTCCTAGTTTTGTATCCTTGCCCACAAGACACGCTGCATTTTGACCATCGACTCCAGCGACTGACCCTACAATCTACAATTTCTCCCTCAACCATGGTTATGGGTTCAGTTTCAGATTCAAAGTTATAGTTTGGAATGGGTGAGACCACAAGACCATATGTTGTTGTGTTGAGTGCTAGAATGTGACTTGATGGTAACAGTCCGTTGTATGGGCTGGCCATCGTAGCGTCTTCTTCGGTGATCTCCTCATCATCTGGCCCTAAACAAGGGTAAGTTTATCCTTCAATTTTCCACTGTACTTTCATTGATATAAATTAAGATTCCATGAACTGTTATCATTCTGAGGCATGAATTGTTTTAAATAATATATATAAGTTTAGTGGGGGCACACGGTAGCGTAATTGGTTGAGGTACTGTGCTACAAGCCGGAAGATTGTGGGATCAAATCCCAATGAGGTGGATTTTTTAAATTTACCTAATCCTTCCAACCGCACTATGGCCCTGGAGTTGACTCAGCCTCTAACTGAAATGAGTACCAGGAATATTCTTGGGGGTAAAGGGTAGCTGGTGTGTAAGGTTCACAACCTTACCGCCATCTGTTAGCTGATTGTCTAGAAAATGTGGGAACCTCAACATCTCACAAACCTATGGGCCTCCACGGCCTGTTACAGGGATAGCTTTACTTTTTTACTTTATACAAGAGTTCAGATGCTGTATTACAGGGAAGACACTCTACATCTCAATGACAAAAAAAAACTGGTTAATGTTGTATAGAGAAACAGCCACTGTTTATTGCAAGAAGCACAGTACACATAAATACATTGCATGGGGAAGATTCAAGAACATTTTCAGTGTCAAAGCACATGGTACAATCAGTGTGGTTTAATGGATTAACTGTGCCAGGCATAGCAATTTACTTGCAAGAATGATATATGATAATTAGTTAAATGCAGACACAGTAGTGAACATACACTTGATTATCCATCACCAGCTTGACTGCATATATTAGATCATATCATTTTATTTATTTAACAATGGTTTATTTAATGACACTGTCAGGAAGTGAGACTATAAGATCAGATGGTTGGAAGATAGTGACTAATTAATTGGGGAGGATATGGAATGAAGCGGTCATAGCCTATTTTTGAGGTACTATCATGACTCTAGCATGGAGTGGCTGAGGAAAACCTCAAAACACTACTCAGGATAGCCAGTCTCCAGACAAGATTTGAAATAATTCCCTATACACCATGCTAAAACTGATCATACTGGTACATCCATACTCAACCCTAAACAGTTTATGATATTGTATTTCAAATAGAACCACTTGAGCAATCAAATATGGAAAAGACAAACTTATCCCTGAATATGCAGGATAGCTCAGTCCATATAGCGACAGGTATGAGCTGGGAAACCTAGGAATCAGGGTTTGATTCCCAGCAGGGGTAAGAAATTTTCTGTTCTCTACAGCCTCCAGACCAGCTCTTGCAGCTACCCAGCCTCCTTTCCATTTGGTACTGGGGGCTATTTCCTCTGGTGTATAACAGTCAAGGAGTGAAGCTGACCGCTCACCTCCATCTGGTGTGGAGCTTAAAAATGCATGGAACTATATCTCCACTCCCCCATACATCTTCATGGCATGTTGTTTAATCAAGCACAGGGGCAACTTTACCTTGGCCTTCATCCCTATGCTTAATTAATGTTGTGAAGCCTTTTTCTTTTCTGAGTGCAGTACGAAGCCAAAGACCTACATTTAAAATGGGGGCTGATTCTCAAGGCTTGTGGTCCAGTAGTATAAGAGTTCTCATTACATCAAACATGTATTCTGTTCAGTTTCTAAAAGCCTCTAGACTCTGATTTGTGCTGCCACCTATGCAAAATATTCTTCAATATGTCATCAGCTTCACTTTGAAATTGAATTGAATTGAATTTATTTGCATTCCATAGATCCTAAGTAGGTTAATACCTCTGTATATAGAACAAGTCAAAATAATACCTACTGGTACAATTAATTTTATCTCAAACTAATATACCTTAATTCTACATTATTCTCTATTTGCATTGAGGTATTCGTCTACAGAGTAGAATGAATGAGCATGCAGATATTTCATTAGCTCTGATTTAAAATGTTTAATATCATTACTCAAGTTTTTGATACTTTGTGGGAGACTACTGTACACTTTTATGCCAGAAAAGTAGACTCCTTTTTGATATAGTGATAAGTTTGATGAAGGTAGATGGAAGTTATATTTTTGTCTAGTATTCATGTTATGAACATTGGAATTTAATTCAAATTTATTTTTGTTGCACACAACAAATAAGAGAAGCGACTGAAGAGGTGACTGAAGAGGTAGAATTTCTAATTTCTTAAATAAATCTCTACATGAATCTCCACTTCTATGTCCTGTAATTATTCTAATTATATTCTTTTGTATCTTAAAAATTTTTACACTATGTGAAGAGTTCCCCCAGAATATTAATCCATATTTCATAATAGAATGAAAGCAGGCATGGTAAACCATCTTCAGTGTTTCCTGTGGCATAAAGGGCTTAATAGATCTCATTGCATAGGAAGCTGCACTTAATTTAGGTATAGTTTGTTCTATATGTATTTTCCAAGACAGTGTACTGTCTACATGTATTCCAAGGAATTTTGTATCAGGTGCTTTACAGATTAATTTGTTGGCATAACTGATGACCAGATCAATTTGGTGGCTGTTTTTAGTTAAGAGTGGTATGTAATGGGTTTTATCAAATTTTAGTGAGAGCTTATTGGCTTTGAACCATCTATTTAAAGCTTCAAATACAAAATTTATCATTTTTAAAGTCTTCAATTTTAGAGTTCTTGAATATTATACTAGTGTCATCTGCAAATAGAATTGGTTTAGATTTATTATTGATGGTTTTTGATAGATCATTTATGTAGAGAAGAAAAAGCAAGGGGCCCAAAATTGATCCCTGTGGAATGTCTTTTGCAGTGTTGTGTACCATGGCATTTAGCAGCTACTATGAGCTACACCTGACAGTTAGGCTCCTAAGGCAAAGCACTATGCCATGAAGAAGTGTTGGGAAGTGGAGGCATTGCTCCATGCATTAGGTTACACTAAACACTTACCTTCATATCCTTTACAAGTGTTCTCACATTCCTCCTGTGTGAGATAATTATTTCTATTCCCATTGCATCCCTTATACATGAATTCTTGACATGCATCTGTATCTGTATTGAAGAACCAGCGAAAATTTTGACCGTCACAAGTGCCCTCATCCATTGGTGCTTTGCAGAATTCTATACAAATACAAGCAACAGGTTTCACTTGCTTGTGAATGCAAATGCCACTATACTATTGTCCAGTCAACATTCCCAACATCAAATCTATTTACACCAAAACATCAGAATCTGCTTACAAGATTACATGGTTTCACAACCAACAAAACAAACAAACAATCAATATGTTTATCCAGGAGGTGCAAGAATCAAATCTCGGCTGGGATGCCAGCTATACCGACTCAGATTTTACATGGTTTTCCTCAGTCCATCCAGACAAATTCAAGCATAATACCTCGATTAGACCATAACCTCTTCCTTCTAAATCCTTTGCAATTCATAAATCATCCTTCCATTTCAAGTCATACAGTCTAGCTATTGACATCAAATAAACCACAAAAAATATGATCCAGAAGTGTTGTCCCCAGCATTTATTTATTTATTTTATGATTTAATTAACATTACTGTCACCAGCTCAGATTATGCAACATCAAACTATAGAATGATCGGTGGATATTGAACGAGAAAGTGGCAGGAAGGGTATGGATGTTGTCACGACAAAATTTAAGGCACTATTCCAACATCTGCCTGGAAGAACTGGGGAAAATCATGAAAAACCTTAGTGACGAGAACTGGTATCCCAGACAAGATTCAAAGTGTGCACATTCTGATTACAACTCAGAAGCAATTACTGGCTGCACCTGCTTACTCAGAAACCTCATATAAAGTACATTGGCATGGACTGAAATTAAAAATCTTTGATAGCTTTTAACATGGACTCCATGTTACAATGAAATTTGTTTAATCATTTTGGAGAAAACTCATGCAACCAATAAGTATAACGATGTGCCCTCTCCATTATGCTTCCATTTTATAATATGACACTTACTCACCTTTATACAGCTTAGGTGTAATCTCACACGAAGCAAAATCACCATTGCAGTCTTTCTCTTCTGTGACATGCACCTCAGGACACTCCACAACTGCATCATAATCAAGCTCTGCTTTAAGTACTGGAATTCTTTTCCTGATGCTCTTGCCCTTGCCGCAAGAAGCACTGCAAGGGCTCCACACAGACCATTCTGTATCTGGACAGGCATCAGTCTCTTCTATCTGGAGCATAAAATGGCCAACATTAAATTATGAGTGCTCCATCATATTGCGACACATCTGAGAGCTGGTACAGTGCTGTCAGAGCAGCGGTGTGGAGATGGCCAGTGCTGGGCAATAACTTGGTAAACACATCCTTGTAGCAATGAACATGCACGTGAAAATACTGGACCTGTTGGTGAACCCCGGGACAGTAAAATATGGTCATGAGTCCCATGGGACTCCAAACTAAGAATGACTGTTCTGGCAAGGACCAGGACCTGATTGACTGACTGACTGGGGAATGAGTCTCTTAGAAATTCACCAATACTTTGGAAGAACACACCGCCTCCATAATCAGTATCAATGATATGTATGCTTTGTGGCTTGCTTCTCCCTCATCACTTGCTTGGTCTACTCTTAAGCCACGTGGCACTCAGGCTTGCTGTATAAGTTATGAAAATTGCAATTCTCAAACAGTTTGACCATGCTTATTGGGCTCTTTCTTTCTCAACGTAAATTCAGGGTCATGGTTGAAGGCGAAATGTCAACGGCAAGGGAAATGCAAGCAGGGGTGCCACAAGGCTTGGTTCTGTCCCATACTGACCCCCAAACACATGGTGTTCACCTGACCCTCTTTGCAAACGACATCTGTTTGTATACAACAGATTGCAAGGAGGGTTTTGTTGTTAGAAAACTCCAGCATGGTCTCAGCTCAGTGGAGACCTGGTGTGAAAGCTGGAATATTAAAACTAATGAAGATAAGACTCGGGGGGGGGGGGTCTACTTCTCTTGTAGCCGTCGACCGCCTGAGTCTTGTCTTACTCTAAACTGACAAAATATTCCATTTGTAAATAGTGCAAAATATCTAGGTGTAATCTTCGATAGAGAGTTATATGGAGACTGCACAGAGAAATGATCGAAGCCAAGGTCTTTAGAACATTCATTAGAGTATATTCCCTATTCAAAAGTGAGCGATTGAGCGCTAACATTCAACTGACCCTCCACAAAGCTCTTATTAAATCTGTAATGACTTATGTTAGTCCCGCCTGGGAGTTTGCGGCAGACACCCATCTAGTGAAATTCCAGCACCTGCAAAACAAGGTTCTCCGCACCACTGGCAATTTTCCAAGGTGCACAGTGGTCCGCGATTTGCACATGGCATTCAAAATCCCGTATGTACTATACATGACTATATAATTATGTAAGCAACAAGCAGAAGTCATACAAAATCATGATAATGAGAATGTTCGCAACATCGGACAAGGTGAAGCCCTACACTAAAAGTGTCGGTCAGTGACTAGACTGCTGTGGTTACGAATACTACTAGAAGTAGGGCATAATCTTCTGTACTGAGCCTGGACTGCCAGAGGCCTTGTATATATTGTACACAGAAGTAGCAATTAAGATAATAATTGTAAATACCTGTACATACTGTAACGTGTTTCGTTGCTGAATACGCTGTAGAGATCGTTAATTGGTTTATTTAACAAACAACAAAATTGTGAAACCACGGTTTCACAATTTATAATCCTATTCGCAAATCAAATCACGCTATTGTCAGTAGACTACATGTTTCACAGTACGGGAGCTATACAAGTGTCCCTCTGTTACACACTCCCAATTAATTCTCATTTACACATGTCCAGTACTTCTTTCTGCGACGGCTGCTATATTTCAACTCAACTCGCAGGCTGCTGCCTTGAGAACTGTTGATAACACACTGGCTCGACTACTACTGAACTCGGCGATGGCCACATTTCAACAACTCTCCTCACAGGCAGCGCAGCTCTCATATATAGGGGCTGTGTGGGCCTGTTACGTAGCAACGCTGTTACCTCACGCCGTCTTACATCACCGCGCGTTGCGCGTTATGTTACCGTGCGGAGGGGGGATGACGGAGCGCTGACTCACCTGCCACGTCACTGCTGGTGGGGGGTTCTCCGTTGCGCAACATGTCACAATACTGACAATAGTCTTAAAATTACCGACTATGACTGAAAAATGACAGACCCAACCTCTCATCAGAGAGGGCGGCCCACATGGACAGGACAGTAACTTTCACATAAGAAGCAACATCTGGTCATGAGCCCAAGCTGGGCCTCAATACCAAGACAGACAGATTGACTGACTGTCAGTTGCAATGTGACTTTGACCTTGACCTTGACCTTGACTTTGCACCGCAGAAGTTGTCTGTTATGCACTGTGGGAGGTTCCCTCAGATGAGATGGCAGTTTCATGTCATTGAACACTGCTCAAGTGGTTCACAAACGCCATTCCATTTTGCTTCAGTTGTACATCACACAAAATCATTCTATCACTTGAACCATACAACTTGCACACCATTAACCAGTTTCACATCAGATCAGCTTAGTGTGCTTTTGTTGAAACTGCTCTTGGTGAACAGACCATCTTGATGTTAATCATTTAGCTAAGTATTTCTTTTCGTACATGGTATCAAGTGCGATATTTTGATGTTTAGAGAAAAGAATGGGCTTTCACACTCTCTACACCTGTGGTCATTTGGGGGTAATCTGTAAAAGTACTGTGGACTTTTCTCTGCAACTGCATTTACAATCAAGCAGCTATAGTATTTCTTGCAGGCAGTTCTATGATCGGGCTTCAGATACAAAGGGTCAAATGATGTGACAAAGATACCATAATCCTTTGCAACTCTAGTTTGTGCCATGTCAATAGGTATTGCTTGTACCAACCTCAGGATCTTTGTCACATATTGCATTTTCTGGTGCTCGGCATTCAATTGTTTGTTCCAGTTCTGGTTGATTAGGACATCGAGAACAGCGTTTGTAGTCTCTGAGCGATTTATACTGGCGAGTCCTTATCTTCTGACCAAGCCCACAAGAGACTGAGCATGTGGACCAGGAACTCCACTCGGTCACTGCACAAACAGGATCTTGTAGCCTGGGCTTTGGTGGTGGGCTGCAGACAGGGAAGAAGCATTACTACAAGGTGAATTATATAACACACATTTTCAACTTCATTTATTCAATACAGGAAGAAACATAAAATCATACAAGATCACAATTTCTACCTAGATGTGTCTATACATCTCTCAGGACACAGCAACAGTGGTCGTCTCAATCAGTGATTTTTATTCTCCATCCATTCTATTCGTCTCACTATCAGTTAGTGATGCAGACCATTACATCATCATTAGAAAGTTACTAGTTACTATATAGTAACTATATACTATACTATACTATACTATACTATAGTAAAAAGATAGTTTCATAGCTTCATTTCCCAGAACAGTAGCACAAATGACACATTGAGGTCGTGGCAATTGGTCAGTGTTAGGGCATTGTATGAAACCAAATTTTAAGTAGCAGTCCATGGATGCAGACTTTTTCTTCTGTGTGCTGGTGGTTTTCCCTTCATTTTGTACATCCTGGAGATCGCTAGGCTTCAGGTGGATGAATCACTACTTGTTGCGTCACAAACACCTTCAATACGAGATTTCTTAACACCAAAATAAAAGAAAGTCCCCTGTCTCTCATTCATATTAAAACTTAAATCACTCAGGTTTTGAAACAAGCACTTACACACTGCAATCCGAACTTGCGAAGAAACAGCATTCCATATTACTAGATTTGAGAACCGGATACAGACTGCCTTCATCTTCAGTTTCAGTGGAAACATTTTCTTTATACTTCCTTGCTGATTGGTCACTGACATTTACAATACAGATGTTATTTCGCTCAGTTCTGAGAACAGAGGATATGCCGCCCATTGTTGTAATCGGCTTGCAGGCAATATTTATGACTGGTCATAAACATCGGTATTGCCTTCCAAAATGTTGAAAGATTTGGATGTCAGAAAATTCCCGACATTCATGAATACTTCCATGTTTAAAAATATGCGGCTTGGTCACTGACATTTGCTACACAAATTTAGGTGTTCTGTGTCTGAGCTTCTCAACACAAATATTTTTCTCCTCAGAATATTTCCACTATAAAATATTTATTCATGAAAAATGCTTAGAAAATGAAAACAAGAAATTCCAGAAGAGCCTCTCTCGGCCCAGTATAATTGATAATTGATGCCAGGGCCCACTACTGGGCCATGGCCTGGCGGTTGAGAAGCCCTGGTGTAAACTATCTGTTGTTTGATTCCTGACTCATGAAACTTGTCACCCAAGAAAATTTCGTTACAAAGTGACTTACCCACATATTTTCTGTGCAGCGTAACACAGGTCTTGTTCCTTAAGCACCTCATTACATGCCCTCAAATGAGCCTTCTTGTCTAAGTAATATCTGTGCCTCTCTCTCCTGCCCATACCACATGTCACAGAGCAATAACTCCATTCAGACCACTCAGACACTGTGCAGTCCACAGATGGGAGGTCAGCCCCAAAACCTGACAAGAACAACACAATATGATTCTCATACACTATCATTAACTAACTAACTAACTAACTAACTAACTAACTAACTAATTGACTAACTAACTCACTCACTCTCTGGTGGCAGATAATGAAAGGAAAGAATTACTGGTACCAAAACCTACCATTGGACATTATCCTGAGCCAGTTTTAGCCACTTGCAATATTCACAACTTACATTTCTAAGATCTCTTTTAATAATATCATTCTATCCTATAACAAACACATGAATATATAAAGGATTCTGAAAATGGTGTATAACACTCAGAATTATTGGGGTTTTGGACTTTGTCCATTGTCAGATATTCTAAAAAGCAGAGAGCACATTGTTTTGGAAACTGGATCTGTTTCTGTCCACAAGTGAAGGGGGAGACACTACTCCATTGCATCCCTTAGAAAGAGCTCACCTGAGGACTGAAACACATCCTGTTTCTGAAACGCTGTGTTCTCTAGTTTCTGGAATACTGGACAATGCATAAAGTCCAAAAACCCAGTAATTTTGACATGAATGTCCACTTCATCATTTAATAAAATATTTCTATCCTGCATACTAAATATTTTTAATCTTTTTAAATCATCTTTCCAATCTGTTGCACTGCACATAACACTACCTTAATATAATCTCTCACTGCCCTTACCTGTCATCTACTTATATGATTACATATTTTCTTTCAACATTGTAAATCCGGTGATGAATCCAACATACATAACATCTGTTAATCCATTACAGATAGCACGCAACCTCTGTAATGCTTCTGTGTTATTCATTATGAATCGCATGATGGCTTTTTTAAACAGAAACACATAGTGAAGTAAAACAGAAGTAAATTATTAATACTGTATATGTTTTTGTGTGATGGATATATACCTGGAAACTCTCCTAGTAACACTAAATGTATAAAGGCCATTTAATAACAGATCTGATAACAACAGGGTAGAGTAAACTTAAAGCGCAGCAAAAGGAACCACTGTATTAAAATGTCATTATGATTATAACATACCATTACGACTATTAGGTTTAACATCTTTATTATCACACTGTTTTTCGAATAACTGCTGTCTTCTTAGGTAGAGACGAGCCAAAGGCTGCATCTTAGTCCCCGATGGGTCATAGAAAGGTGAACGTGGGTCACTAGGATGGTTTGAAGTGATGTGGCGTATCATCTGGCGTGGCACTGTGGGCTCATCAGGAGACTAGTGTGACACAGACCAAAATAATACCAGAAAATTACAATGCAGAATTGTCTTCATGAAAGCGAAACACTGGCAGTTTGAATTGAAAGTGAATAAGATGTTATGGTTTTCATGGGACAGAAGAAGCTTAAGAAAACACATTTTATGGGCAAAGGCTCCACAAGGAAATACACATTTTACGAAATAGGGGAGACAAACAAGAAAATATGTATTCTTTACTCTAGAAGACTCTAGGAATCATTATGAATGCACTATCCCCAACTGGAAAGGATAAAACATTGTCAAAAATTTCAGTGACACAACTGTTTACTGAAGCCACTAACCAAATAAGTAATGCCATTGTCAGTGCCTGCATCCAAGGGATACAGGTTCACTTCCCTGTAATCCACCCAGCTGCAGTTCTCGAGACAAAGGTTCAGCCCAGATACACCAACTATCCAATCCGGTGATGGCTCTACACAAGCAGACAGAAGAAATTATTAGGCAGATGGGCTGTATTATGTACTATAATAGTCACAGACACAGGTGAAACTAACAAAAGAGTGGACATACCTACAGAAGCGATGCTTATGGGAATTTTTTCCTTCTTAAAACAACATGACTTTTATACTTACATTTGTCCACTACTGTTATACATTTCTGAAATAAAAAGAATGATGGACAGGCAGAGATACAGTTGAATCCCAATTTACTGTTCTGAAATGTAAGGTTTTCCTCCATTTAGTGTTCAATTTAAGTGACCCCCAAGTCAATAATCTCGGTCGTAAATCCCCTTCCCTCCCATTTGAGGTTTTCATCAGTTTAGTGTTCAACTCTACTGCTCCATACAGAAACTTTAAATGAGGGGCTCTATATATGTAAATATAGAGACACAGACTGTCTCCAGTTTGTAAGGATCTAAATCTTCCAACTGTATTTATTTACCTGCCAATCCAGAAACTTCTGCCAGATGCACAATATTTCAGCCATCATCTATACTTCAGCTATGAATAAATCAGTATTTTTAAGGTCAAAGTGACATGTTACCTATTCTGGAAATAACAGATACAAGATGATCCTCTGCATCCACTCGGAACACTGAATATGTTTTGCCAGTCACACTGGGGTAAATAAGCCCTCGTGCTTTGATTACTGTGCGTATATGTTCACTCTGAAAACAGGAACAATTAAATAAGATTTTAAGGTTTTCACAATGGTGGTTATGAAGAAGTCTGTCTTCTGGAGTATAACATTGTATGGTCTGCTACCTGCCATCTGCTTCACGCTGGACTCTTGCTTAGGTTATTTTTGACCCTGAAGATGGAGGTGACATGTCCCTCTGAAATGCCAGTTGACTTTTAGCAGACTACATGACACTATATCCCAGAAGACAGCACACCAGATTACTGTATCTGAGCATCCTGTTGAATTGGCTGTAAATGCAACACTTTGTAGTTTGTTTGTTAAAACACCATTTATTCCAAGTTTTCATGTACATATTTATGTTATGTTTCGACCACATGGGGCCATCATCATATTGTGACGTATTTGTGACCTCAGTGGACGTGAAACCTGAGGCGGCAGAACAACAAGAATTCCCCGTAGAAGACACCAAAGTAATGCCAATCAGAATACTGAAGAAGAAACGGTGTACGGACTGAAAACTGGCCGCGGAGTGCCGCCATCAGAAACCGAAGAATTGTGAGAGCGAGTGTTCAATAAATTCGCTAGATCCAGAATGGCGTGAAGTTATTTGTCGTGTGACATATACCCAACACATGACAATATATACCAAATGATGGCCCCAAAACCTGGAGTAAGTTTTGCTCTAACCAACAACTTAAGGAGTGTTGCATCCACACGGCTGTGTTATATATATATATCAAGTACTCCACTATACATCAGTTTACTCTCTGTGTATACATGGTGCATTCACTCGCATATTCGTCAGCCTGAAGTTCACAGATAGCTGCAGACAAAGGATATTATGAGCTGACGGGATACAGACGTTTGGTGTCCATTACCTTATCCATTATTTCACTCTCCATCAAGTGGGTTACACCCGACTCTGCCACCAGCTTTAGGCCTTCTGATGCAAGGTTACCATAATCCCACAAACGGTAATCAGACGAATGAGAAGCTCCAATCAAGTCGGTGAATCCAGTCAGCCAATTGTTGGGTGGAAAGTCTTTTGGGTGTATAGCCTTCGACCATAATCGCTCAAATGTCATCTATATAAAGACATTATCATAATCACATGAAAGTACAATACATCATATTAATATTAATGTACTGAGGCAGGGTTTGAGAATTTAGCCTGATCAGTGAACAGGGGACAGAAGGTTTTGGCTGCCCAGTGACTACTGTACGTGAATATTATTACACTGAAGAGAAAATCAAACTCAATGAATCTGAGATTTTCACTCCAATGAAAATTGAATCTGTGAAATTCAGCGTTATTAAATCATGTAGTCTCACAGGTTACAGAATAAAAATTAAAATTCAAACTACAAAAATACACTCAGCTGTAACCTAACTTAATTTCTGTTAGTTGCATTTGCAGAGTCATGATAGTATAATCATTACACCTGAAAATACCATCTTAATGATGTCTAGTTACTCTTGTCCTTGTTTTCTTAAAACCTAGGTCTAATGCATAAGTTTGGCTTTCAGGGTGTAGCCACATCATGTGTAGAAGATGTTCCCTTCTGTTTAAGTAGGGGACATCTTCCCATTGCTGAGCCCTGCTGCTCCCCTCCCATCATACATCCTTCTCTGACTTTGAGACCTACATATCAATTACTTCCTCTTTCTATCTCACACTTACGCTGATGATAGAATTCGAAATGTGTACTGAAACAATGGAGCATCATCCCATCATGATTAAATGGAAAAGATCTGTCAGAAAGCAGTACTATGCCAGAATTAACCTAAAGGGACTGAATAAAAGCTCAAACAAATCAGGCCAGCAAACTACTATGTGGGAAGAAGTTAAGGAGGTAAGGTGACACACTGTAATTTAAGTCCCTGTTATAACCCACACACTCTACAATCATTACCTCAATTAGGGGATTTGATTAAACACACTGGAGATTCTACTGAGAACAGCCATATTAAAAAGATGGAAGTATTCTGGTCTTGGTTTCTAATCTGTTTAATGTGTTGATAGTCAAGAATAACCTTTCTAGTTGAGTTAAGGCCATTAACTATGGGCATGAATAAGCTGATTATACATGAGACCAATACCTCATACAGAGCATCATCACAAGCACAGCAAGGAAAATCAAGGTCAGGCTGGTCAGATTCGCTCCTCTGGTCATCCTCACATAACTCAAGGTTTAGGTGTTCATCATCCTTGTACCATAATTCATGATCCTCCACAACGGTAGCCCTGCAGGACACAGGCATGTATGGAGTGAACAAGTTGTCTGCAATTAATATTTTGGTAGTAAACCGGTAATTCGTGCACATCAAATAAGGACAAGAATCAGAAGAATGAAGCTCAAAGGTAACTGATAGTCTGTAAAGATGTATACCAGATATATCAAAATATTTTTCACGAAGTCTTTAGACTAAAGGAAAGGCTAAAATATTAGACCATAAACTCAAGAAAGAAACCCTTAAGGGAAAGTGAAGAAAATGATTCTTGGTACCTAAAGACAACACATCCACTGCCAGGAGGGGGCGCTGTCCATATCACACTGACCTCAGTCCTCTTAGAGGTCGACATCTGAACGATGGCATTGGGGCAGTGGCTACTGAACTGCGCCACATTGGTCCCCATCAAGGTGAAGCTTCCAACTTTCTGATCACCGAAGGCACTGTCTTCCCCAGAAGAGAGACTGTTGGAGCTGGGTTCCACCACCAACATGAACCTTTTAAATGTGGGTTGATACCATCCACTGCGTTGGCCATACAGACTCACTGCATAATAAAAAATGCTACATAAAGTTAACATGTGTCTACTGTGACAGGCCCCAAAAACTGCATCATGTTCGTTTATTTTAGTGTATTTAATGCATTTTTCTACAATCAAACACCAACACTTTACAGGGTCATATTCTGTAACCTAACAAACCAATCCCTCACTATCCATGCATTGCATTACTGTAAAAGCATCTGGACATGTGCAAGATGATGCCCTGTGTTCCACTTCTCCAACATTGATGTCATTATTATTGACCTTGGGTCAATACTTTACGGAACCAAGTGACTATTTCAATGCCCCACGTACAAAATCCTGTGCTTCATTCGAAGTGTAGGGTTGCTGAGGGGATAATAAAAAGAGGAAGCACAATCGATCACTGTAGGTTGTGGTGCAAGGGCTGAGAAGGCCCACCCCTTATTCATTCATTCATTCATCCATTCATTCATTCATTCAACACGTGAAGACTGTGGTCTTCTGGGTGGTAATATCTGTCTTGTAGACAGAACCAAAAGTTCCAGACAAAGCTGCTGCCTCCATTTTCTTGTATCTTGAAGATGGAGGCAAGATGTTCCTCCTAAATGTCGGCTGTCTACTAGATTACTGAGTGTCACATCCCATCATATTCACCTCTGCAAGAACCTCACTCTCAATGAGATACTCACATTTCACACTGGAGTTCATCACAGATTCAAAGGAAAAATGCTATGCACGTGTGTTCCAGCAAGTGATACAATACAATAAACCTAGAGGCCCTCCAGCTGGGTCCTGCTGTACCTTATAACATTCTAACATTAATCAGAAATGTAAGAATTAGAGCTTTATACCTGTGTACACTCCTCCTGGCAAGTACTTGTTATGGTTTCCAGTAATTCTGAGACGGAAATTTGTATTCACTGATTTGGGTGACTGTACAGCTTCTGGATTGCGGTTACAATGAAAAGCCCCTGCAATGTTTAATTCTGCAGCAACCAGTACCCAGACAATGAGATGGACATGTGGCCACATATTTGTGATCTGTAACACTGATCAGATAATGCAGATACAAAGGAAAACAGCTGGAACCAAAATACAAGCTGAACTGCACAAAATATGATCAAATAGAAACATAAAATTGTATCGTAGCATCCTGTTGGATATCATTTATTTATTCCTTGTTGGTTATTAGCAGTCTTACATGCAACTTGCTTTTTCTTTTAAAAGTATTAAATTTCAAAATATCTTCTTCGTTTCTGGTATATGAACACTGCATGTTTCAACCAACATTGGTCATCTTCAGGTGTCTCTAAAATTTCTGTTGAAACTGTTGTCCTTCAATCTGTTCAATTTTTGGGGTATGTCCTTGTTTACGTCCATGTGTCCTATGGCGATGGTTAGTTCCTCTTATTATGTTGTGTGCAGCTGTATAAAAGGCATTAAAAAGCAAGTTGCATGTAAGTTGCCTAATAGCGAACAAGGAATAAATAAAAGCATGTTTTCAATAAGCTGTGCTGTGACTAAATGACAGTGTGTGGCAGGGTTTGGTACCTGGTGAATTAAAAATAACGTTTCTCGCATAAACATTGGCATGTTTCCGATATCCACTGAAGATTTTGCATGTCTAACTCCAGCAGTCCAAGAGTTATGGCCATTAAACCAAAAGCAAATGTAAATTATCCCATGGCAACTACATTCCTATTTTACATTCTTTAAAATAATTACCAAAATAAAGACATTTCTTTCAAAATTCTGTTACCATTCATCATATCAGGTCACTATGATCAATTGACGCTACTGTCGCTCCCACCTCAGACATTCGCATATCCGCAATGTTGATATTACCGATTGTTGGAAATTAACGTTTATGGCGCTTAGGGTTTGGCTCCAGTAGCATAATGTTTAGGAAACGTTTTGTGAAAATCTCTCAACTAATTCAAAAGTTATAAGGCGGGCGCGCACACACACACAGAGCACGGATTCGGACAAACATAGGCCTACTTTCTTTATTTTAAGAGGGGTCAGTGGGCTAAATCTGCTTCAACAAAATCTGTGGGTCTCTAAGCGAAATAATGCGCTGTTACATGCGGACGGAAACACGGACAAGACGAAATTATTTGGTTCTTTCGAATTAATTTTCCAAATCCTTTTTAAAAGCAGGAAATTGCTCGACTGGTTGCATACATTAACATATATGAGTCTGTATATTTACATTCACATGCCTTCCTCACGTAGACTGTGATGAGGAAATTGTCTGACCTTCAGTAAATTTCAGATTAAATCATTAAATTACTGATTAGACAAAATATTAGACCACTAAATCGTTATTTACATTGACAGACGCTCTGCGTATGCGATGTTTATACCCACGCATGCGCGTTCCGTCGTTGCAGAATTTGCCAAATACTGCGCCATTTATAATGACTCACAACAACTAATTGTGGCACTGACCCAGAAATGAATCAAATTACCGAAAAAAAAAGGACAAGACAAAACAGATGGCAGATGGTGTAGTTATGGTTTCACTATGATTTCTTGCGCTACCCCGTCTTCTTTATTTTGTATGAAAACAACTCCAACAACCATGTCTGTTGTACTTGGCAGAATGTTGGCACATTTAACTTTCGTTGGTACTAGGGTAGGAGCGACTTGAAATGTTTCTGCTCTGTATCACGGGGCCCTGACCCAGCATTATTTCCCAACGCCTGTCCTCCTGCTATGGAAATGTCTAACGAACACAGATCAGCTGTTCATTCTTGTCCCAGGACACTGCCTAACATCCCATTTCGGCAAAGAGCCAAATTGAAGTACAGTATACGATCACTGAATGGGTAAGGTTGTACCTGTGCTCAAGGAATTAACCACTACGCCATCGGGGCGTAAGTGGGAGTGGATGTATAAATCCACATTTTCTTGACCTCGGCACTAGTTGGAGGTGAGTGGTCAGCTTCACGCCCCGGCCGCTTTACCCCCGGGGAAAGTGGCCCTAGTACCAAATGGATATGGGGTTGGGTGGACCCTAGAACCGGTCTTGACGATTTGGAGAAGAGAAAATTCTTGACCCTACCGGGACTCGAACACCGACCCCTCACTCGTCCAACCCGTAGCCAGTAGCTATATCGACTACGCTACGCCGGCTCATTCACTGAATGGGTTCGAATCCTAATTGGATAGTAAGAAAACGTATTTAAGTTGTGGAACTCTTGCTGCGTATTCCGGAATACCTAATTGAAATCTCGGTCATGAGGAGTATGGTCTTCAGGGTTGTAACGCCGTGTAGTTCGGAAACAGTCCAACGTTTCGGAGAAACACGACGCCTCCATCTTCAGGGTCAAAAGAGGTAGATTTTCCTTATCTCCCCAAGTAAACGCCTGAGTAATGTGCTCTCGATTGCATTTTCTTCTATTCAAGCTTCCCCTTATGAGGATTATTGTAAGCTTCGAATAAATGGCTTACAGATTAGCTACAGTTAGCTATCTAAACCGGCGAAGTGCGTAGCGTAAAGGTAAAGCTATCCCTGTAACAGGTTATGGAGGCGCATAGGGTTGTGAGACGTCGAGGCTGTCACATTTTCTAGACAATAGGCTCACAGATGGCGGTAAGGTTGTCAGCCTTACGCGCTGGCCGCCCTTTAGCCCCCAGGAAGATTCCTGGTACTCATTTCTGTTAAGAGGCTGAGTCGACCCCAAGACAATAGCGCGGATGGATTAGGTAAGTTGAAAAAAAAAACACCTATTCGGGACTCGAACCCGCGGCCTTCTGCCTTGTAGCATAGTGTATCAACCAACTACGCTACCGCGGAAGTGTAAATTGTGCATGGAGCATGTGCGATTTGACGGTCATTAGTCAAAGTAAAAAAAGTAAAGCTATCCCTGTAACAGGCCATGAAGGCCCATAGGGTGGTGAGACGTTGAGGGTCCCACATTATCTAGATAATCGGCTCAAAGATGGCGGTAAGGTTGTCAGCCTTACGCGCCGGCCGCGCTTTACTCCCCAGGAAAATTATTTATTTAACTCCTGGTACTCATTTCTGTTAGAGGCTGAGTGAACCCCCGCCATAGTGCGGCCGGAAGGATTAGGTCAACTGAAAAAAATCCAATGACCTCATCGGTATTTGAACCGAAACTGCGACCTTCCGACTTTTAGCATAGTGTCTTAACCACTACGCCAAGTAGAAATTATTATAAAGCTTGCAGATGTCCGTGGCTATAATTATTATTCAGTGCGAGGGATATTTATTCCGATATACATACAAGTAATTCAGGTCTTCGCGTGAAACGTCATGACATATTATCGAACACAGATGCTAGTACCCCTGCTTCGCGTTCAGGAAATAGCGGAATAGAATCTCGCTCTAGTGACTGGTTTTCCTGAGGTGTTTCAAGGTTCACGTTTTTCTTTCGAAGTAAATGCTGGGATGGCCGCGCCATAGTTCAAGCGGTTAGTCGCTGGCTTCCCACCACGGCGGCCAGGGTTCAATCCCCTGTCTGGTCAAGTGGGATTTGTGGTGGATAAAGTGGGGCTGGGGCGGGTTTTCTCCGAGTACTTCGGTTTCCCTTGCCAATCTTCATTCCACCAAATTCTCCATCATCAAAATCCCCGGGGGCAGGCTACAATAGGCCTATCAGTGGCCGCCGTGCCGAGTGGACCCAGTTGGACTCTCCCCCCCCCCCCCATTAAGCGAATTAAAAAAATGCTGGGATAATATCTGACAATACCTACCTACATAAAACATGCAGTTCAAAAAATGTTAAATAATTAAAAAAGCACTGAGCGATAGAACACAATGTGAGTTTCAGACTGCAATCGAGTTCTTCTTACTCATTTTGGGAAGGCCTTTCGATACTATTTTCCACTAAATTCTCTCCTCCAGAGCCAATAACTTGTTCACAATAGAACAACCGAGATGTTACCTGCAATCCTTCATCACAAATTCCTTCGTTCGTAACACAATCTTGTCAGTAAAAAGGGCCACTCTTTCCTCCCAGGCATCTAATGAAAGGGCGGTATTCAACTCTTAACCCCCATCGCCTCCACCTCAACTTCAGAATGTGACTGACAAAATATGTTATCGAAAAGATGGTGCCAACAGGACATCACAGATTTTGACCCAAACCGCACAAATGTCATAAATAAACGAAACACGAGCAAACATGTGAATATGGTAATGTAAAATCTGAGTTCACGGAGCATAACTTCATATAGAGGTTGCTAGACCTACCGTATCTTGAAACGAATAGACGTCGCTTGCACTCAGCTGCACACAAACTACTACATCCACCACCGTCGTCAGACACCAGCTGCGAGACGTTGCGAACTGCTGGCAGATTGTACTAGTAAAAACAAAATAAAGTCGGTCTGCTAATGCGATGTTAACACGGGTACAACAAATCATTTGCGTCACCATTTAACTTTTAAATACCGACATTATTAATTAATTTCGATTTATTTTGACTTCATAATAACAATTATACAGCCAGCAAATGCACACTGTCTTCCAATTCTGAAATTTCTCGACTTCCTACACAACAGATTAGAAACATTAATATTAGGAATGTAATTCGATTAAATATTTTAATCGACCTCGAGATTGTAAATTAAAAGTATTGAATCGCGCACAAAGTGCGATATAGTGATTGTGGCAGATGGAGAGGCATATTTCAAAATATGGGAAAAAGATTGTAGTGACACAGACCGTAGACGATTCCAGCAATCGAAAAACCATTAATTATTGAAAAATGTTGCCTTATGATTTGCGAAGGGTAGGCATGACATTCGCACAATGCGATGGATTGTTCAGCGCTCCGTATAAGGATATATTATTGTGTGTGTGTGTGTGTGTGTAAAATTTGGTTTCGGCCCAAGGAAATATGAGACTTAAGACAATCGAAAACAATGTAAACACAAAGAAATTCTGACTTCGAAAAGTGCCAGTTGGACACTTATGAATACTCTGAAACGCTGATGTATGTATGAAAGAGGGAAACATACTAAATCAAGTGTCCCAAAAATAAATTTCCACATTTTGAACTTGGAACGAGGCTGTTATACAGAATTGAATGCACACTTGCCCCTCCACAAACCCAGTAACATGAATTTTGGAATCAGAATTTTTGTCAGTGGACTAAAGAAAGCCTGCTTAAGACTTCATGTAAATACATACTTCCATGTGAAGGTCTAAGAAAATTTGATGTGGAAAACGTTAAAATTGTGAGAGACAGAGAAGCAACTCTTACATTCTACAGCAAGCATGAATAATGAGTGAACTAAGTTCACGATAAATATTTACACCGAAAATTCAGCAAAAATTAAACTGAAGGAAAATATAAACCACCAAATCATGAGCACGTTGCTTGCAGACCAGACCTAATGTTTTTAATCTTGCAAACACACAGGGTGACCTTGGAAACCAATTGACACATCTGTCCCACTTGTGTTACTTCTTGTTAGACATTTCAACTTCTAACCTTGCACGTTTTTTCTGATTCCTTTAAGCATCCGTTTTTTATACTCTGCTGCATCTCAGGCCATTTTAATCTTAATATCGTTTCTCTGAGCTGCATATGCGTTACGTTGAAAACATTTATTTCAACTGAAAATTTAAGCTTGTGGAGATGCTTTATACCATATACTATTTAATTTTCCTGTACAGTATCTGCATTCATTTATTTCTAAATATTACTTTTGTGTTGTGTGACATCACATCACTATGGGTCATGATTCACTGATCTACGTTACTGACGCAGTTTCAATTGCAGAGGTTAGTCTGTTAAATGGGATGAGAAGATGAACATTATGGTAAGACTGTCTTGACTTACATGGATACTTTCGTGGCCTTTGGAGAGTGAATGGAACTGACAAAAGGTATGATTTGTGCAAAGAACACACACAAATATAGTGCAAATGATGAATCACTATGATTTAATACCTTTACTACAAGAATCTTAATTCGTACAGAACAACTAAGTTACTAACAGCAACTGATACACCTTTAGTTCTTATTGAATAAATACATAACATGAATAAATTTAGTTTCATCAATTATTTTTGTTGAAATTATGACCATCTGCCATTTCCCTTCTTCACTCTGAGTTAAAACAATTGCTCAGCCAGATAGAAAACCTCAATAACTCAACTCCATGGAGCAGAGGCCTTCTTGAAATGTTAAAAGGAGTACAGGAGCTGAGAAACTCCCTGCCTTTCATGGAACCCAAACATTCATTACCGTGTTCACAAAAGCCAATTTCAGGTCCAAAACCTTGTAACACTTCCCCCCCCCCATTTCATGCATCCTGCTGTGTTACAATATATACAACTTATTTATTTGACCGTCACAACACAACAATAAAAGAACTTCAAGGAAAATGCCCAGATATAGTTCTGCTACATGTTTCGGCCACTAGTGGCCATCATCAGGCAAACACTTCAACAAACATACACCACTGAACTGCAGTACGCAAAATTTGATACAATGTCATAAATCATTTAAGATAATTTGCACTAAGAATATAATAAGTAGGTTATTTAAAACTAATAAAAGTCATATAAAAAAACAAAATTAAAATTTGATTGATGTTTTTTAACATCGAATCAGTCGTTGGTTCCACTTTACATACGTATCTGTCGACAAATAGTAAATTTCAATGTTTCATTATAAAATGTATGGGAGGCCCAATAATTAATGGAATAATTGGAGCCTCATCATATGGAGAATTGTACGTAATGTATGGGAGGTAAACGACGACTTGTTTACCTCTCATACATTTTATATAAGTTGTATATCTTGTAACACATTCTTAGATGCTGCCTGTCTACAGGAAGAGGCTCCTACATCCTTAAACCTCCAATTTGGAGGTCCATCCACTGTCTGCGGGCTTCAAGTGCTTATTAAGTACACAGTGGCAAAAAAGTCAGTTAACCTAAAACATCCTCTCATATTAGTGGGAATTCCCAGATTTGAACCTACCAGTCAATTTGTAGAACAGTATCAAAGCATTGTGGGATCTCATTTCCAATAATTTTTGTAAATTCAGTATTTAACAGAGAAATCTGTAACCTACTGTCAATGATTTAGGAGCGACTACAAACGGGGTTTGGATTGGATTTGCTGGCCATTTACAGGCTATAACTACAAATAACTATAACACTATCGCTGATGTCCACACTTTACAAATCACTACATGCTAAGTCTTCTCCAACCCACATTGACTTCACTATTGTTGCTTGGTAACAACTCTCAACAATGGATATTGTTTAGCTTCTGCTCACATCGTTACTCTCTGGCAAATATCTCACAACTGTAGTGTCATCTCTTCTCAGCCTCCCTTGTAGACTGCAACTCTTACCTGACTGGGTCACACAAATTGTCTTCCTTATAACTGCTTTGCACAGGCCTAGTAGAAAACACCATTTCCAACAGTAACTCTTTTCTTGCGTGCATATTCATTGCTGCGGGAACATGCTTTCCGATCCATTGCCTAGAAACAGCCGTTCTTGATTCCCGTATCTCACAGTCATTGCATAGCAATGGCTGTACATGCTACAGTATTTTAGTGTACATTTTACTAACCAGTTAACTGACTTTTTGGCCAGCTACTCTCTACATCTTGAGCACATCTTTTCCACATACAACCAATGAACGTTGAATATGGTGGTGGCAAGGACACATTCATCTTAATTCAGGTTGTGATAAAACATTTCATGAAGACTGACTGCAATGTCTGCAAACACCAACCCATAACACGGAGCCAGATCCCCAAGGTTGAAAACAGAAGTTGTTCGGTTTTGCAGATTACTTTAAGGCAAATTAAGAAGGTCGAGATTTGAGGTTCTGACAGCAGCCTTCATGAAGGTTACCACATTCTGTGATGTGACACACTGTAGCCTTCTACCTGCTGGAGACAACACGTTCCTCTGAAATGTCTGTACTCATTTACAAAACTAGACGGTGTCACCTCCCAGAAGACAAATCTTCATAACTACTAAACTACTAGTTTTTCTGAACTAATGAAAACAAAGAAAAATGCCAATAGCATACTTATTGCGGTTTTCTGATTTGTGATGCGGTAGGTGGATATCAATGTTTCAGAGGAACAAACTGCCTCCACCTTCAAGGTAGAAGTCTTGACTTCTTCCATCAGAAGATGGAGATGGTATATTCTCCTGGAACGTTAGTATCCACCTACCAGACTACAAGTTGTCATAACCTACATGATCACAATATCAGTCTTTACTGATATGAAGAGCTCAAATTTCACAACAGTAGGATTGTTAATACCCAGTGGGATCTGAACTAGTTACTTTTCAATGGGAGCAAGGCAAAATATCACTTCATTATCCCACTCACTGAAGACACAAGTAATGTTTGTACTGTTACATCCTCCTGCTGCATCAGAGAGCCACGACTCAAAATGCATTTAGAAACAATCTGTTTTACACTTCAACTCCTGAAGACTCCTTTTTTTCCTCTTTAAGTGGCAATATCTGAAAACGCAGGTCGCCTCCTTTTTGTCGTTTCTGGACAATCCTACCTTCTGTCTTCATACTTTCTGCTATCATGTCATACACTTGTTCCTGAAAAGTAATGGTAAACTGAGGTAATTATATAGTCATTCAACATTAAACTGCTGAACATATAGCCAATATCAGAGCCCCCTTGTCCCTTTACCTGCCTGACAAAGCAGTCAAGAGTTATAATACACTGTGCTCTTCCCTATCTCAAATATCTGTGAGGGTACATAATGCTACGAGTAGACAAATTTATGGATAAAAAGTCCTGCATGTTCAACTAAAATCCATGGTGATTCTGATTCCCATTATATGCTGAAAACATATGAAACATAACATAAGAGTAGCATGGTCTTCTGTGTTGTAATGGTCCACTCAGTTTGCTGCCTGCTTCTTCCAGTTTCTTGCTCAGCTTACTCTTAAGCGATGACGTCCCTCCAAACTACACAGCGTTACAATGCACTGTGAGAAACTCGAATCCTACAGGGAATGTAGTAACTTTCTAATGAGGTCATAACAAGATACACAACCTCAGGAAACAATGTAAGGCAGTATTCCCGTTTCCAAAGAAGACAACAGGTGGCAGCATTCAGGGATATCAACCTTGGATGAAAGTTGCCAAATACTACTGCTTACGATTAGAAGCCCTCTTATGGTGACTGACTTCAATTAAGTGTTCTCAGACAGAAGCATAAAAATGGAGTTAGCAGTCAACATTTCAGAGATTATATCTGTCTCTTATAATGATGGATACTAACCCCATTTCCACAAGGCTCATCTGCTGAGAAGACTTCATTGCAAATGCATAAGGGCACTCTTGCAATATCTTACACTGGCGGCAGATGTCTAGTTATGGTAGGTTAACACAGTTTTAGTCACTTCATTCTTTGTTTAAGAATGTTTACATAAACATATTTCCCATAATGCAGAACTGAAATTAGGGCAGTATTTAACATAGTGAGGCAGGGGAGAAGGTATGGTAAAACTGCTTCCTGTGGCCATCTATATTGTTATAAATCTTTCACAAATTATATGTAAAAAAAAAAAAAATTGAAATAGACTCTGGGGGCCAAACTGAAAAGGCGTGTTCAGCAACATGACACATTTAACTTCGGCATAGGTTAGGCTCTTCTACAGTTATGTGTGAAAATTATTAAATATTTCCCCATCACCTTTATTCTTCCTCATCCTTTTTAGCACCTCCTGAATTATCATCTGTTCATTCATGTAGAGACTGACCCAAACCTAGTTACTCAGGCTGACCAACTGCCACACTGGGGTGCACAATGTTTCCAGTGTATGACTGTTAACGAATCATAAGATGCTGGTGATAAAGCAGGTCTACCGAAGCACTTCTGCCTACTGAAACTATTAACTATAACAGTAACAAGTAATTATGTGGCCAAGTGAAATGAACTGTACAATAACTTTCTAACATGCATCTACCCATATATTAAAATACAAATTATAGTACCACTGCCCTCATCACATCCCATGAGCTTTGTATCCTGCACTGCTCCTTGCCAGTAACATAATTTAGTTACATCACCTAGGCTTCTACAACGCTGTGCTATAAAATGCAGTTTTACGTATCTATTCTTCGCTGAATCTTAGTGTAAGCATGGGAAAACATTCCATTCACTAATGCAAATTGTGACCAGTCTAACAGATACTACATTTTCTAATATGGAGTCCAAGATTTTGTGAATTATTTGTTGTTCATTTGTCTACTCAAAATTGACTACCACACATCAAAATCTGTTACCAAATGACTCCAGTTCTCTCCCAAACCAGACTGCAAGAAATGAGATGCACCTTGCAATGAACACTTACAGCACATTTCATGTTATTACTGTCCCCATTTATGACAACTCTGACTTCATAAGTTTTGGACAGCCACTTGGTAACATTCTTCAGTTTTGAAGAGAGGTCATGTGGAGTAATTCTGTGGGACAGCGTTAGTAATTTGTCTCCTTTAATTCCACTTTCTTTCTTGGTAGATTTTTCATTTCGCTGTTTTCTGTCCTCTGAATAATACTGGGGCCCTGTCATTAACTGATAAATAGGTCTCTGTGTTTTTGTGTCTAAGTCAACTATCCTAACGAGCTTTAAATCACGTCTTTTTGCTAATTTTTCGGCGTCCGAAAGTGACACAACTGAAGGACTGTTATCTGTGCCTATTAAAGTAATTACAGGTCCACTATCACTTTTGTGCTTTCGTGAAGATGTCGTAGTTGGTTTTTGCGCTGAAGAGTCTGATGTTTGGGGTAATGTAGTCCTTCGATCTGTAGAATAGAAATTACCAAATCCAGAAAATCCATGTCTAGAATTACCACGAACAACGAAGAAGAAACCACTTAATAATCCTTTATAGCTATTGACACAAGAGTGGGACATAACTACTTGATAACGACGGTAACTTCGACACACCATCCGCACCAACCTCCTCCATCACACTCTATCACCTCTATCAGCTGCGTATCACATGTTCTGCAACACGCAGAGCAAATAACACAGATATTAGAATACTGAAATTCGTACAGCTTTCGTCCCTAACAGCTTGGTGGCGCATTGTTCGCATATACTTCTGGTGTCTAATATTTGTGGTTGTAGCAAACTGAAGTCATAAATATTTATTATATTTTATTTATGAGAATCATTAAATATTCACAGGCACCAATTTAATTCGCAATATTGAAACATTGGCGGAGGCGTAACATTTCGTTTGGGAGTGTTTGCAGACTCGGTAGTTATATCGCAAAAGAACTATACAATACTGTCATACTCAAAATATTCACTACAGATAAAAGAAACCTGTGCCTGAAAGATTTTTTCACGAAAAGAATTCTAACTATACCATACACAAACGAAGCGCGCGCCGATTTTGTAAATGATTCTCGTAAAGAGACTGCCCATCATGGAAATCGTTGGTGTACGTAGATTTCCTTCCAGTAGCCACGGAATTGTTCGGTGGAATGAAGAAAAAAAAAACTCCGTGGCCTGTATTCCGCAAGCGAACTATACCGACCTAGCGACCGTCGCTTCTTGGCGAAGTTAGTGCCAACTTTAACTAATTGAGGGTGTCGCATGGTCAGCGCAACGGATCCCCACGGCCGTTATCTCGCTTCTCTAGACCGTAGCCGCTATGGCCGCTATTTCCTTGAAATTGCTCCTCAATTATCCTCATAAGGCTGAGTGGACCCCATTTCAGACCCACTACTTCTCAGAAAATCTGGTAGCGCCGGGAACCGAACGGACCTCTGGATTGTAGCCAGGAACTCTGACCACTAGACCACAGAGGTGGTCGATCAGTGAAATGCCAAATGTGAATATTTGAATTTTCTAGCAGATTGTTCAAATTATTGAAATGGAATGTAAATGATGCATAGTCTCATATGGTGCAAATTCAATATACTTGTTGGTCAACAGTCAAGTGACTGCCTTAGCTGAATTTATGATGGTTGAATAGTGTTTTGCTCTTTATTTTCTATGGTGTAAATTGCATTAAATCCAATCAAAGCGTTTGATGATTATTTATATGATGTTAGCAAAGGAGTCCAATTTTGCTGGGCTACATGAAAGTGGCATGTAGCTGGGAAAGTATGTGAGCAAGAAAATATTAAAGCCCAAGCCTCCAGATATGTAGGTAAGTCAATAAGTTAACAAATGGAAGTTACTTGGAGCAAGGTTGGGGCTATATGGAGGATGCTCAAGGACTTCCCACTTGAAATTTCACAGCGTCTCATTTGTCTTGTTGGCAGTATGGGGACGCACGTTGTCATGCAAGAGCAACACACCTTGCTGTATGCTGCTGGTTTAGAGGGGGTTTTGAGACGATGGGACAAGTGCCTCAAACTACAGGGAGATTATGTTGAGAAATGAAAGCATTTTTCGAATCAGTACTTATATTTGTTTACGTTCTATATCCATTTATAACTTACTTACTGACTTACCCTCGTACATGTCCATATTAGTAAATTGCTTACACATTCCACTTTAGAGAATGAACTGACCTTTATCCAATCTCATATGATTTATGTCCATGTTAGGTGGGTCCCCTGTCAAATGGTATGGCAGTCCTCAGGTTGCAGGTGGAGACACCCCTCCAGGTATGGAGGGTAGCTGCAAATACAGTAAATAAGCAGTCACGGACAGCCGACAAGGGGTGGTCCCTCATCTTGGGGCTAACAACTCCTCACCATAAGAAATAAGCTTGTTACGAAAGATCACAAGAAGCCTAGAATTTGGATGGATTATTTTGATAAGCAACCTAAAAGTAAAAAGTAAAAAAAAGTAAAGCTATCCCTGTAACAGGCTGTGAAGGCCCATAGGGTCGTGAGACATTGAGGGTCCCACATTATCTAGACAATCAGCTCAAAGATGCTGGTATGGTTGTCAGCCTTATGCGCTGGCCACGCTTTACTCCCCAGGAAAATTATTTAATTAATTCCTGGTACTCATTTCTGTTAGAGGCTGAGTTGACCTCAGGGCCATAGTGCGGCTGGAAGGATTAGGTCAGTTGAAAAAATCCAATGACCTCATTGGGACTTGAACCTGTGGCTTTCCAGCTTATAGCATAGTGCCTCAATCAACTAATAAGCGAACTAAGTGAAAGAAAATGGATATGAGATTTGGTACTTGGAATGTTAGAAGTATGTATGGGGCAAGTTCACTCTGGGCAGTGGTGGAAGAAATCTCAAAATATGAGTTAGAGTTAGTGGGCGTACATGTCAGATGGGATGGAAGTGGCACCGAACCAGCAGGTGAATATACACTTTTCTATTGAAAGGGGAATGAGAATCATATCATCAGTTAAGAGGGTAGAGTTCATTAGTGATAGGGTGTCATACATAATACTAAGAGGTCGCTAGTGTGATATCATCGTTCTGAATGTTCATGCTCCAACAGAAGATAAAATTGATGATATAAAGGACAGGTTCTATGATGACTAGAACATGTATTTGATACATTCATATGAAAATTTTGTTAGGAGATTTCAATGCCAACATAGGTAGGCTACATACTTAATATTATCCTGTTACTGGTGTGAAAAGGAAGAAACTGTTTTATTAATTTGATAGGGTTCTGAAATTCACAATATGCATCATGATGGTGAAACATGAGTAATAGTTGTGGATTATTTATATTTTCAAATATGGTGCCTTGTTTTGCCTTATGCATGAATTTGTAATAAGTGGAATAGCTTTTCTGAAGTAGTTGTCACATAATGCATTTACATTACAGGGATTCTTCAAGTGCTGAAGCCATTTGTTGGCATGCTTTGTATTACAAATACTGTGTGTTAAATATACATGTTTATTATGCCATCTCTTAACATACATGCCACCTACATACAACAGAAAAGCAGCATCTGTGCATATGGCCAGACTGAATCCTACCAGTTATAACTGAACCTGCCTGAGTGGCTCACTGGAAGAAAAAGGGTTGATATTTTGTCTCAGATTCTAAGAAACATTATGGCCATTCATATTTTATCTCACTAGTAGCCAAGATCAGTGCTTACAAATATCTTCTTGTAGATGAGCACAGATGTAATGCTGCTGTAGTGAAGCTCACCTGATATTAAGGCTTGTTGCCAAGAACTCATTTTAAGGTGAGTTTGTATGCTATTAAAATTGTGCTGAATGTTTAGAGCATGTTTACCTGATATGAAAGCTCTACAACATTCCTAAAAGTTAAAGTGTGATGCTGTGCAGTTCAGCAGAAGTTCAACAGTGTTTCAGAGGAATGTACGAGTACTTCAGTGTCAAAGAGTGAGCCAAGCAAGAAACCAACAAGAAGCAGGTGGCAAGCAGAGCCTGGAAGAGGTCATACCAGACTTGTGAGGTAACTCCTTGGCCTTTCACCGTGCCAAGTCAAGCTCATTATTAGCACAGAATGGGTTGAGATACATGAATTTACCATCAAGAAGGGAATGAACCTGTATGCAGTGCACTGATGAGTATGGTGAAAACTGGCTACTGTTTTATGCTTTCTCCGTAAGATGTCACTGAACATACTCATGTGTTTTACAGCAGAAATATTGATGAGGCCAGGGGAAAGGCTGATTCAGACATGGAGCCAAACTAGAGATCCTATCACAGCGAATTTCACTTTATTGGAATAAAAGAGGAACAGGACAGTGCTGACGAGGTGAGTTTGTTTTTACGTTGTGCCACAGTTAAACACAGGTAATAACAAATCCTGTTACTGGACATGATCCTGAACAAATTCCATCCTTTACAACTTATTTTCTTATCATCTGTCTTAAGCGTTGCCCTCCAGTCTCCTTGGTTTTGCAAGAAATTTCTCCATGAGAATTCTGCATGCATTTCTTTTTTCCCTATCTTTGCTACATGTTCAGCTCATCATAACCTCATGATGTGATCACTTAATCCTACTGTGTGACCTGTATAAATAATGAAGTTCTTTTCACAGTTATAATTTTGTGGTATCTGATGCCTGCCATGTGGTTTCACATGATCCTTGTGCCTCTATCTTCAGAGTATAAGAATGACCATGCAGATGAAGGCAGCTGTGTACATGATTATGCTGTGTCATTCCAGAAGACCATAATCTTGATATTCACTGCCACAGGAAGCTTTCAGGTATCCCACAAAATTCCTTGTCACTTGCCTCTTTCCAGTCAGGTCCGGACATTTTCGTAAGCACTGTGTTTCCAACACCTGTTATTCATCTTTTTCTCTGACAGCAAGAGACATATTTGTTACAATTTCTGTATCTTGTCTCATTAGGATATGCCGGGTTGTGTTGTGGAAATTAGAGGATCATACTATGAAACAGACACTGGGCAACATGAAGAATGCATTCAAAGCATAAATGTTGAAAAGTAAGTAACTTGTGTGTTGAAGCCTGAAGTTAACCTGGATAATATTGTAACGTGTTTCGTTACTGAAGATGCCATTCGGATTGTTAATTGGTTTATTCAACAACCTACAAATCTCGGCTACAATTAATTACAACACTGTTGCAGGGTTTCACACTTTATAATCCTATTTGCAATAATCTCTTCACTCTGCGGGGTTTCACATTTTATAACCCTATTCGCAATGATCTGTTCACTCTGTCTTCAGTAGTCTACACATATTCACAGTATGGGAGCTATACAAGTCTCTCTGTATTACATAATTACACACATGTCTGGTTCTTCTTTCCGCGATGGCTGCTGTATTCCAACTCACTCGTAACTAACTGTCTTCGGCGGCAGGTACGTTTCAACTGGCTTCGTAGGCAGTGTAGTTCTCTTATATAGTCGCAGTGCCCGCCTGTTATGCAATGGGTACCGCTGTTGCCTGTTACCCGTGTCACAGCTGTGTTGCGTGTTACATCAGCGTGGGGAGAGTGGAAGGGTGTTGACTCGCCTATTACCGTACTAACGACAGCGCTACGTTGCCGCCACGTACCACTGGGGAGGTAGGGGTCCTCTGTTGCGCAACATGTCACACTATTTATGCATTAATTTCCTACACCAAAGAAAACACATCACTCCTCAATTACAAAGACAAGACCAACCAATTACTACTTTTCAAACTTATAATCATATAAAATGCATAAATACACTCTGCAGTCAAAATTTAGATGTTATGAATATTTAGGCAGGTGGTATATGTAGTTACTAGTGTGCACGAAAGGAATTACTCTGACAGAGGACAAAGTATAATTGCTTTCAACCACTGACATTCCTATTTATATTATTTGATGGCCATGACGGTAACTATGACTACACAGATTTCAGTTACTGTATGATATTGAATTGAAAATAATGTGGAAGTAGTCATGGTGTATTTAAGGTACTATCCCAGCATTTGCCTGGAAGAATTCAGGAAAACCATTAAAGAACCTCAGTTGGGATAACTGTGTCCAGATTTGAAATGGGTACCTCCTGAGTATATGTCAGAAGTGTCACCACTTGAGCCAACTTGGTTGGTACTCATGTTTTATAAAGTTGTGTCATCTATGGTAAATAACCTGTGCAATTGACATTGTGGTATTATATGCCTTTTCTCAAAGTAACCATCATTACTTGTTAATATTAATTAATTCTTTGTTTTCTTACAGTACAGTGTGAAGAAGCTGCAAATTCAGTGTGATTACAATGATGCCTTAGTATCACAATTTGGCAACTGTGAGAACCAAGAGGAATATAATGGAAATTGCATGTTCAAGTACAAAGTGTGGTGGTCATGACAGCAACAAAAAAGTAGGGTCTGGATTTTGTATTAAGTACACTAAAAGATCAGAGAATGGATATCAAAAGTTAACAAGAGAAAACAAGGAGAAAGCTGGTGAGTCTGGTGCTGACAACAATCATTCTACCATTTCCAATGTAAAGAGCCCATTATTTGAGTGCTAACTATGCTGCATCAAGTTTCAAACTGAAGGTGAACAAAACCAACATTCTGTTCTTCACAGTGGGGAGAAGTCTTTTGTGTGATGTGTGTGGCAAACGATTCCAGCAGTTTTATTATTCTGATGTCCATTTTCGAGTACATTTCCTAGTAAAATTGTCGTGGATAATATCGTATTGTTTGAAAATACAGAAGCATTAAAAGTTCTTGCCACTGACTTGGTGTATTTTATGATTCTGATGGATTTACATTATACTTGCTTATGCTTCCAGTAAAGGTTAAACTGTCCCTGTGCATAATTAAGCACCATGTGCATGGGGGGAGTGGACATATAGTTCCATACATTCTTAACCTGGCCATCAAATTGAGGTGAGTGGTAGGCTTGATGCCGCAGCTGCTTCATCCCCCAGGGAAAGAGCCCCCAGTACCCAATGGACAGATAGAAGGCTGGGTAGACCCCAGAGTCAGTATGGAGGTTGAGGAGAAAAGGAAACACTGTGCCCCTTCTGGATATCAAACTTTGATTCCCCCGCTGACCCACCTGTAGTTTAGTTGCCGTAGTGACCGAGCCACCCTAGCTTCTCACAATGCATTATTAATATATGTAAAAATATTACTTTTTTGTTTTTGTGTTCTTCGCCGACAATACCCTGATATAAAATTTACTCTGTACTCTTGCCAGTGTGCACAGAAGCCATAACTGTTAAGGCAAACTGCATTTATTTTGGTAGAGTTTTTGGCCACAATTTAATCATTCATAATTTTTATTTCTATTTTTTTAATTACATAAGTGATCTGTAAGTCATTTTAATTTCAGTATTATGTAGTGATGAAGAGAACTTTGTGATTTGTAAGGTCATGCAGTAAAGACTGGGAAATCAAGAGGATTACAATGGACTGGACATATAGGTAGGACAGGGAAAACAAAATACATGTCTGGCAGACTGCCACTTGGAAGATAAGGGTAATTTTTCAAGATGGGTGTTACGGAAGTAGGTTATGAGGATCGGAGGTGGATGGAACTGGCTCAGTACCTTGTCTGGTGGTGGTCAGTATTAGCAGTGTTGAACCTTTGAGTTCTGCTGCCATAGACTTAATTACTTAGTAAGATGGATCTTAAGGAAGTATGTTATGAAGATGGGAGGTGGACGGAACTGGCTCAGAATGATATTGTACAAATGTGTAACAACAGAATTCCTTCAAGAGAATTGGCTGAAGATGCTGAATGCAGGACCAAGCAAAATATAAGACCCACAAAAGAAAGTAAGAAAGGAGTAGACACAGATATAAGAGGGGCACTAACAGGAAGACGGAAGAATGGAGAATGCTTTGTTACAGGATTATTTGCACTGGTATGAAAGGTATGTACATATGTTTCAACTTGGACATTTTGAGGGAAGAGCAGCAAAACAGGAGCCCTCCAGATGAACATCACCACACTGAATATCAGCAGCAGAATATCATGGCAATAACAATACATTTTCACCACTGGTTATTTAAAAAAATCATCTAATAATTTATAAAACAATGAGAATAACATGGTAATAAGGAAAATGGGCTTGGCTGAAATTTATCTTTCATGGTAGGTAAGGAGGTATACAACAGTGGATAAATTAAAACAACAAGTATCAAACCTTATACACACAGATGGGCCTAACATTTTTAAATGATAACTAAAAGAAGGGGACCAAATCTAAAAAGGTAGGAATGTGGGAAGACCAAGTATGAGATGGTATGAGTTCCAAACAGGCTACTACCCTGACTCTAAAGAATCCGGCCAAACTGATGGCAACTAACATTTTGTAACATAATTCTTGTATCTTCACACACACACATACCATCCAGACTACAACACCATGTGTGTCTCTCCATTTCCTCTCACACTGGATCACCAATCATCGTCACAGACACCACTTGGCTCTCTTGCTCCAGTTATCTGATATGTACATTGACACCATCTGCTGACTGCCAGAAAGTAACAGCAGTTCTGTGCACTGTGTATGTATCACAGTACTTAACACATTCTTGCTCAGTTACTGTACTGCAGTTTCAACTGTCCTATCGGCCCTCGACTCACGAGTAATATCACATGGAGATACCTGGCCTTTCATGAGGCAGATACAGATCACATGATAAAGATACTAGGGTCTGGCACATGATGTACATACTTCATAAAGATGTCAGGTGTATTTACTGGGAAACACCAACAGAATGATGCTACTTTCAGCTGGGTGTGTACTGTACCAGTTTATCTCGCAGTTCTTGTATTTGCTGTTCCAGCTGAGTAGCGACAACACTGTCCCCCTCCGTAGACATAAGCGCTGCCTTGGCCTTTGCATGCAGCACCTCTAGGGCGTTCTGAAAAGCAACCGCAATCCGTTCCCATTCTTGTTTTACATGCTGCTCTTTCCCGTCTGCCCACTGCTTGTAACGTCGAGCAGTCTTCTTTGCTGCCTGATATTTAGCTTGCAGCTCTGTAGCCTTCATCTCTGACTCTTGATGTTGTTTTCGTAATGTCTGCAATTCTTCTGCCCAACCTGCAAAACCCATGTATTCTGTACAGTCTACAAGACATTACATTACTTGAGTATCACCAGCTTTCACAAACAGCAGCTGAGATTACTGTAACATAATCTTTACCATCCATGAATATGAGATTTTTAATTTCCTGATATTTTGTGGTTGGTGGCCTGATTTTAACTTGAGAGTAACAAGATATAAAGTGGTCATTTACACAAAAACCGTAACAGTTCATCATCTCAGTATAGCTCCACACGTTAACCTTGGCATTAGATTCAGGTGAGTGGTCAGCTTTACCTTTAGGGAGAGGGATGGCTGTAACCACTGGATAGGAGGCTGGGTGTGACCCAGAGCCAGTCTGAACAATGTGGGAGTAAAAAGTCTTGTTCTTGGCAGGAATTGAACCATGATTCTTCAGTTGTCCATTGTCTAGTCTAGTAATTATACTGAGTAGTCTTGGGGGAGGGGAGAAGAACCATTTTCATTCCAGTCCATCATAGTAAACAGTGCATGACAAAACTGCCATTTAAGATTTCCTTGGGGAGCAGTGAATTTGAAAAGCAAATTGAGGAAAATCTTAAATGGAGGAAATTTAACATTCATGCTATTGAAGTAGTATCACTGAAAGTGAACATCAAATGAGGAAAGCATTAAATAGGGGAACATCAGATGGTAATTCAAGGGTATCAGTGTCTAGCGGAATTTCTTATCATGGTATATCAGTGAATCAGCCCATACACTGGAACTTGTCTGACCTCTTCTTCGTAAAATTGAATGGCACCATACCTGCAATTGCTTCTGCCATTTTGTCTCGTTCGGTCTCCACATCTTGCTGGTGTTCCACAAGCCTCGCTTGCCACTTGTTGGTCTCTGCAGTCAGTTTGGTCTGCCAATCCTTTTCGCATGACTGCAGTTGCTCTGTAAGCTGCTCTACCTCCTTCATGCAAACCTTCAGCTCCTCAGTCATTTGGCTGTTCTCACGCTCAGCTCTCAGCTTGTCTCGCTCTGTCAGCATGGCCAGCTTTAACACCTCCACCTGCATTGTGGCACAGGCATAGCAAGTGGTTTACATGTACTTCAGCACCAGTGGTTATTCACATTTATGGATGTCAATTGTGTCTTTGTGAACATTTATGTTAATTATTATTATTATTTTTTTTTTTGGTTTCTTGGGGTGGGGTGAGACTGGGTCCACTTCCTACACCGGCTACTATTTGGCCTTTTGTATCAGCCCCAGATGATAGATGATGGTGATTGTGGAGCAATTGGTGGAATAAAGATTGGCAGGGAAAACCAAAGTGCTCGGAGAAAACCTGCTCCAATGCCACTTTGTCCATCACAAATGCCATATGACCTAATCTGGGCTCAAACCTGGGCCACCACAGAGGGAAACAGGCGATTAACCTCCCTGAGCTATGGCACGGTCTGTGTTAATTATTAACTCAATGACCCATTACTCTTTTTGTTCCTCCACAACAGAATGACTACATTAATTTGAATAATTGTTTGAGTGATATTCTTTGTGGATTACTTTATGACGCTTTCAATACTGCATACTACATAGTGTGAAATGGTACAATGAGATGAAACTGGAAACATTTTGGAAGCAGTTTTGGCATAATTGAGGCAGTATACCAGAATGCTGCGGAAAATCATGAACAACTTGTCAGGATAGTCAATGTCGTGACTGAGATTCAAACAGAACACCTCCTGAATACAAGCCTAAAGTGTTACCACTAGGCCAACCTCTTTGTTGTTAAATGTTACTTCTGACTTTCTTCCAAAGAGATTTAGTAAAACCATGATATGTTTCACTTTTGTACAGTTCCTGTGTGTTTCTTGCTGGGTGCTTGCCTGACTTAGTTCCTCTAAAATGCTGGCAAACTTCTACCAGACTATATAGCATCACATCACAGAAGACAGAACTGCTGGAATTATGTTTCTGATAATGCAGTAGGAATGGCATGGTTAACTCTTGACATTTGTCAGCTGTAATACTGCAGTGTGGCTGCATTGCAGGAACTTGTCTGGGATGTGATAATGTGAAAAATGTTCCGGGTATGTGTATTACACTACATTGTGTTGTTAAACATAGCAGAGGGTTTAACAAATCATGAGAGAAACAAAAGCATCGTCATGCATTCTATTTCTCACTACCCACCTCATGTGTCTTGCTGTCTATGAGATCCCGAAATGTTGCCAGGTTACGTGAATATTCCTCTTCTGCTTGTTCTAACTGTTTCTGATGCCGTGCTTCACATGCTGAGATCTCATTGGCCAGACATCGTACGCTCTCCTGCTTCACCTAATCCCGACAAAATGTGGTATAGAAATAAATCAACAAATGGATCAAAACTTGAACACTTTCAGTTGCACATGAACAAGACTGAAGTGAAGTTCTGTAAGAATTACACCAAAATATCTTGACAATTATTCGTTGTAATGTCAGTACAATATATCAAGTATCCCGTAAAAGTAAAGTAACAGGCTGTGGAGGCCCATAGGTTTGTGAGACGTTGAGGGTACCACATTATCTAGACAATCGGCTTAAAGATGGCGGTAAGGTTGTCAGCCTTACGTGCCGGCCGTGCTTTACTCCCTAGGAAAATTATTTAATTAATTCCTGGTACTCATTTCTGTTAGAGGCTGAGTTGACCCCAGGGCCATAGTGCGGCTGGAAGGATTAGGTCAACTGAAAATATCCAATGACCTCATTGGTACTTGAACCTGCGACTGTTCTGTAAGAATCACACCAAAATATCTTGACAATTATTCGTTGTAATGCCAGTACAATATATCAAGTATCCTGTACCTGATTCTTTTTAAATTATGAATACACTCTTGGACACCTTGTTATAGAACACCTTTAACCTCTAAAACAGAGGTCTTCTTGGATGTGAGGTTGTGTACATGGAACCTGCTGCCTCCTCCTACTCTGAAGATGAAGCCACCAGATTCCACTGAAACATTGCTAACCACTTTTCAAACAACACTGCATCATATCCAGAAGACTGGTCTTAACCTTCTGAAGCCTGATTCATCAAAATATTCATAATTTTAGTTCTAGCCTCACAGAAAACATATTACATATTTATTACCAAAACTAATCAGTAACGTTCTTTATGGAATTAATCACTCTTTACTGTGAGAATCAAATGAAGCCCTTAAATGCTGTGTGTAAGCAGAATGCAGAATCTCTGAATGTTAATGCAAGTGATGAATATAATTACTATTATGCCTGAAGGGTTAATAAATTGCCACAAGAACCTCATATCTCAAATCTTCCCTCAGGGTGAAACACCACCAAGTTTGTCAAATGCAAGGTGAAGAGCAGTCAGAAAGGAAGTTTATAAGTTGCATACACTGAGCTGATTCAATTAGATCTTCAGCCGAATGATACATCATTGTGTAACTCCTCACAACACACAATTTATTGCAACTTTCTCCTACCTGTTCTATTTGCTTTTGGTGCTGGGCTGCCAGTTTTGCAACAGCTATGGCTACGTCGTCCCCTGCTTCCTTGCAGTCCCTCATGGGGGAGCATGCTCGATCTGCTACAACTGGGTGGGTTGGCTGACAGAACACAAATTACATCTGTCAGATCAAATATAGAGCCAGCAGTTTCTATTTCTGTATTATCTCGGGACTACTGCTCATCGCAACAGAAACATATCTCTTGCTACCCGAGCATTGCAGTGTTCTATCTCCACTTCTGGGCAAAAACAAGATAATACACGAAAAGTTCTATCTTATGGGATATAATGTTATGTAGTCCTTTAAAGGTTGACAAACGTTTCAGAGAACCATGTCAGGTCTGCTTGCCACCTGCTTCATCCTGGTTTCAGGATTGGCTTATTCTTCGAACCTGGAGATGGAGACGATATGTTCCCCTGAAACACTGGTTGACTTTCAACAGATTACATAGCATTATATCTCATATGAGAGAACTCTTCATAACCACTGGTGTGATAACCATAAATCCCCCCCCCCAAATCATATTTTTCTTAGAAAATCTGTTTCTCTCTCTCTCTCTCACACACACACATTTTATGTCCCCAAATAAAATGGCCCATTAATTATGACCATGATAAAAACTAAATATAAATTTCATGCAGGCACCATCTTTTACTTTATTAAGAGCTGCATATTCTTTGAAAATCCATTTCAGATTGAGGCCATAGTATCACTTCCACCTCAGAAGTTCACACAGCTACTATGTTGATACTGTTAATGGTAAAAGCTGAAAACTACAGTTGTCCTGGTACTTAATTTAACACCAGGTTTCGGACATATTTTACACTAGACACTACATGGAAGTGATGCAGATATATTTTATAAATTTAACATCAATGGATGTAAATGAAACCAAAATGCTTATGTGGAGTGATACGATTTTGAAATATGCAGAAAGGTTCCATTACAGGTTGTACACGCGTCATAACAACAGACAGACACTCACCTTTGAGGTTAGCTGTAGCTCCTGCATAGCTTCGATTTTTGCTGTAACATGAAAAATGAAACCCAAGTTAACATCTTTTACAGAAATTTTAACAGTCAGTCCAGGAAAATCTTGGACAGTACCTCAAAGTGTGCCACAACCACTTTCATCTGTATCCTTTCACTACCAATCCTGCCATTCAATACTATTATAAGAATTACTGAAGGCATCTTTAATTACATATTATCACGTGTATTAGTAACTAAAGCTGCATGTTTGGATCTGTGAGTCAATTTATTGGATATTATTATTATTATTATTATTATTATCATTATTGTTGTTGTTGTTATTATTATTATTATGGACACACAGCTTTATGCTTAATCTCAACACCACATCAAGGTGTAGCAGCCTTGTCCCTGGGAGAAGAGCCCCCAGTACCCTTTAGACAGGAGCCTAGATGGGTCCCAGAGTAGGGACACTGGAGAAGAGGAAAATCTCTTGTCCCTGATGGGAATTGAACCTCAATTCATTTTTGTTCAGCCTGTAGTCAGGTCACTATACTGAGCTAATGTAGCTCCTGTCCCCACCAAAAAAAAATCTGCAGAAGTGATATGTGATTTACGTTCAACAGAGTGTTTAAGGCACATTTACAAAATGACTGCTTGTTTCAGAGCGTACCCACCTTTCTCAATCTCCTCTGTAACAGTCGCTGCATAACGGTTGTCTCGCTCCCAGGCAGCTTCCAAATCCCTCTCCAGAGCTTGCACCTTGTCCCTTTCAATATGCAAAGCTTGCCTTAGTTCCTGCACTTCAGCTGGATCTGGGACCGATGACAACTCAGCCAGCTGTACATAGCACAATATTTCATATTCTCAGCCTCCTATCCAATGCATATCAGGGGCTCTTTCCCCATGGATAAAGCGGCCGGGGCGTGAAGCCGACCACTCGCCTCCAACTAGTGCCAAGGTCAAGAAAACATGGATCTATACATCCACTCCTCTATATGTGTTCATGGCATAATACTTGATTAGTTAAGCATGGCAACAACCTTACCTTTTTATTCTATGCATAAATGGGAATATAATGGATTGATTCAAACCAGCTCAGAATTTGGTCCAGTGGTGAGCTTTTGTGAACATGTGGGCTAAATAAAAGCAGGGAATTACTTTACCAATTAAGTACCAACTTATTCTGTAAAGAGAGAGAGAATGTTCAATACTGCTCCAAGAACACATACCTTCTGTTTCTCAGTGTCTAGGTCTGTCTGCATCTTCTTTAACCGTTGAGTTTGTTCATCCAAAAGGTTGGCAAGATCTCTCTTTGCTTTCTGCTCACATTCCAGAAGTCCTGTAAGATTTTCCTTTGAACTACATACTTCGATATAGAGTTGCTTCACTTCATCGCATTCCTTCTGAGCCTCCCTCAGTCGAATACTGCAAAGTTGAATGAGGCAGAAAAAAATTAATGCATCTTGTTCAAGTTCCAGTTGGAGCATTGTCTATCCTACTGTTTTGAAGTCAAGCAGTTCCATTCAAATGACGGGACCCTACCTTGCTTCAGGCTGCAACCTCTTCCATTCCAATTCCAACTTACTAACCACATTCAGTGGTTCCTTTAAATTTGGGCAGGGGGCAGTATGATATTATGCATAAATATGAAAACGTCTACCTACCTGAAGTCTGCATTCATGGCCTCTATCTGTTTGTTTGCCTCTTGTCGGACCCTTGCAACTGCCTTGTCATGCCACTGGATGTACTCCTCGCTATGCTGGTCAATAGCCCTCAGCTTCTCCTCCACGCTTGCTTCCCGCAAAATTACCAGCTCGCCTTCCAAACGATATTTATCTGCCTTTACAGCAGTGAGTTCAGACTGCAACAACATAAAGTCACATGTCACTGTAGTGACTTTTAGAAGATGAGGAGCTATAGCTCCACTGTTCTCAGCCTTGACAATAAACAAAGGTGAGTGGTCATTTCATGTCCCTTCCACTTTACTCCTGGTGAAACAGACTCCAGTGCCTCCTTGTGTAGAAGGCTGGGTTGGTCCAAGAGCTGGTCTAGACATTATGGAGAAGACAAAAGCCTCTTGCATCTTCTGGAAATCGAACTCCAACTCCTTGGTCATCCAGCATGTCGCCTAGTCATGATACTAACTGAACTATCCCCACTTCTTGAAACAGAAACTGTCTACAGCGCATGTTAAAATCTCAGCTGGGATGACGGTTCTGAGATTTTGCATAGGACAGCTCAGTCAGCATAGGACTAGACTATGGGCAGGATGATTGAGAAGTTGGGGTTTGATTCCTGGTAGGGGTAAGAGACAGTCTGCTTTGACACAACATCCAGATCAGCTCTGGGGCCTCCTATACAACTGATAACAGGGATTTTCTTCCTGGGGGTAAGTGACAAGGCTGTGAAGCTGACAACTCACCTCCATCCAGTGCCGAGGATAAGAATGGTGGAGTTATACCTCCGCTCCCCCATATGTCTTCACGGCGTGGTGCTTAATTAAGCACGGACAATTTTACCTAACAACTAGATCATGAAGTGGAGTCCTCCCTTGAAAGTAATACAGGCATTTCAATCTTCACTACTTGTCGAACTGAGAAGTGAAACCTGAGCCAGACAAATCTTCTACATTCTGTACAAGAAAAAGTTATACAGATCCATTTAGCACAAGTTCTACATACCTGCAGCTGAGAGATCTGTGACTCAAGTTTCATTATGTCCTCAGAGTTGCCCTTTGCACTTTGACATTTATGTAACTGGTCCAACAGGTTCTTTGCATCTACCTGAGGCATATAACATACATTCCTTTTAACAGAAAAATATTTTCATTGTCAGAATGTAAGTCAGTTTTTCTGCATAACACTTATTTCAGAAACTTCCATGTTTCACAATAGATAATTAGAAAGCAATGTATGACACAAACTCCGTCCTAGGTGCAACAATTTATTGTAGTCCTTTCGTCTTGTTTTCTTCTACACATGTTTTGGCCGTAAATGGCCATCATCAGGTGTATACTCTCATGTAGCTGTTACACTGCACGTAGTTTAAAATTTAAAAACTTAAAAAACACCAGCCTTCCCAATTGTTCACTTCTCCGTTGCTAACAGGTCCTGATATATCATAATCCCCCCGCTGATATCTGTCAGATATGTACAAAATCTTTGTCATCCTACACACATCAATTTGATTTTCGAAATTTGGCACTTTTAAAATCTTCAATTCAAATTTAAAAATTTTTCTTTAAAGTTTTTTCAAATTTTAAAAATTTAAAATTCTCAGGGGTACCCACCCACTCTATGACTACAGTGCTGCAGCAGCTATTTCTTGTTTTCAGCACTGTTCAGAGCACAAGTATTAAAGATAAGCAGTGGCACCCACACAGGGAGCCTACACAGAATAATACCTGAACAGTGCTGAAAACAAAAATTAACCGCTGCAGCACTGTAGACATAGAGCGGGTACCCCTGAGAATTTTAAATTTTTAAAATTTGAAAACTCTTTAAAGAAAAATTTTCAAATTTGAATTGAAGATTTTAAAAGTGCCAGATTTCGAAAATCAAATTGACATGTGTAGGTTGACAAAGATTTCGTATATATCTGAGAGATATCCGAGGGGGGAATTATGATATATCGGGACCTGTTAGCAATGGAGAACTGAACAATTGGGAAGGCTGGTGTTTTTTAAGTTTTTAAATTTTAAACTACGTGCAGTATAGCAGCTACGTGAGAGTACTCGTATACACCTGATGATGGCCATTTACGGCCAAAACATGTAGTGTAGAAGAAAAGAAGACAAAAGGACTATAATAAATTGTTGCACTTAGGATGGAGTTTGTGTCATACATTGTATAGAGTGTAACAGGATACTTAAATATAATATTAGAAAGTAAGTTTACAAGGCATATGTTGAAGCAATTTGCTGAATCTTTGAAACAGATGTCATTCTAGGCATGTTCATGTATACATACACACACACACATGCAAAAAAGGGTAAAGCTATCCATGTAACAGGCCATGGAGGCCCACAGGGTTGTAAGATGTAAAGCCTCCCACATTTTCTAGACAACTGACCCACACATGGCAGTGAGGTTGTTATTTTTGTTATCCTGCATCATTCCCCTCTTCATCTGACCTCCACCTATTGTATGCCCACTCATCTGCTACCATGACAGAGTGGGGGAACAAGCCCTTCCCTCCTAGGAACTCTTATCCCCACCATCCATGAGAATGCTTTCGTCAATAAAACAATAGTTGGTAATTGTGTGCACAGACTTGGTATGAGCAGTTCTATATGTTCCCTGGACATTCCTTTACCCTCTTTAATCATTCAGGAATGTGGATTAGTTTATGAATTATGATCTCTTTGTAACAAGACTTTGACAAACGACCAGCTCTCAAAAGTGCCAAGATAAGTACACAATAACAACATACAACTGGACTTACTGGGTAATATTCATCATTGCCCTGTTATAACAAAAGTACACAACCAAATAACATTCAGTTCTTTGTTTTTTTAATTTAAATTTTTGCAAAATCTTATTTATTATCCTAATAGAACTGACCTTGAAACTGTCTGCCTGAGCAAGATAAGCTGCCTCTTGATCTCTCATTGTTTGAATCACCTTGTCTCGGTCCAAAAGCTGAGCCTTCAGTCGCTTGATTTCATCGCGTTTCATCCGCAGACCTAAAACACACAGCATGGGTTCTTCACCAAACTTTACAAAATACGATACTTTACACTCTTCTACAAGGGAAGGACACACTATTGGACCTGGCTCTACGTTGCATGCAAGATGTTCTAGAAGAAGTAGCGGGCAGTGGTAGGAGCTGCTCTGTGGGAGAGAGGTTGACATGCTGTAACTAAGCCCCCCCCCTCTCTATCTCTCTGCAACAACTGATATTTGCATCAGTAGTATGTCTTTTGTCTACCTCTGTGGTCTAGTGGTCAGAGTTCCTGGCTACAGATCCAGAGGTCTGGGTTCGATTCCCAGCGCTACCAGGTTTCTTTCTGAGAAGTGGTGGGTCTGAAACAGGGTCCACTCAGCCTCGTGATGATAACTGAGGAGCTACTTCAAGGAAATAGTAGCTCCGGTCTAGAAAACCGAAATTAACGGCCCTGGGGATTCATTGCGCTGACCACGCGACACCCCCATCTGCAAAAGTTGTCACCAATTTCGCCGATAAGTGGCGGTTGCTCAGTCGGTATAGTTTGCTTGTGGACTAAAATCATGGAGTTTAGTATGTCTTTTGTTTATTGTTCATTATTGTGTCTATGAAGAGAAAGATTACAATCAAGAAAAAGGTTAGATTTAGCTAGAATTAGTAGGCAGATGTAATTACTGCATAACCTCTATTCAGTGAAACACTCTGTTTATTGTAAGAAAAGCATTCCTCTAGAGACCTGTTAAATAAGGATTTCACTGCATTACAATGCTATTGCCGTGCCTTCACAACAATGGTATATCCTTAACAATGTGTGCTACAATTGGTTGCTCACCCGCCAAGCAGCGCTGCAGTTCATCCCGCAATCTGATATTTAAATCATTGGAAGGTTGAGGCTTAGAGTCCATTCTGAAAGAGTCTGAATCCTCTGGCCCCAGGAGTCCGAATTGCGCCATTGCCTCATAATGCTTCAGGTCTGAACGTACAGTGTCCAACTCCATCTGCAGCAGACAGTGAGACATATCTGAAGCCAAAATCTGTATTGGCAACATTTAAAAACACTGTTTCATGAGACCATGCAGGTTGATCTAGCATTGACACCCTAGACTTGTATTCGATAAGTGCTTAGCACATCTCTCAGCTGGTACACCAGCCATCCTGAGGCCTTTTCAGGTTTTCCTCATTCCTCTCAGGCAAATTCTGGGATAGTAAATCAATTACACCAAGACCACTTCCTTCTGAATCCTTTCTGATTCATCATTTGATCAACCATCTTCTCATTCCATGCCATGTGGTCTAGACACTGACAACAGAAAACTATGTTGTGGTAACTCTGTCACATACTATCTCTGCATTTTTACTGTTTTCAGTGCCAGTCTTGACTCACAACAACCATCAGTGCCATTCATGTCAAGTGGTTGTGTTTCTGAGGCTATTTGCTTTCTACTCACTAGACCTTTTCAGTGAAAAAGGAGGCAAAGTTCTATCACACATGTCCTACTCCTTCTGCCTTCTGTCCATTCTCGAACATAGGGAAACAATCTAATGTATTCAACGTTGATCTATCAAGAACTATGCTGGAGATAGCAAGTTAGCAAACGGGAAACAACAATAACAATAACCCCTAAAATGTTTCCAAAACTCTGTACATAGGTGGCCAATATGCACTGGGAAGAGAACACTACACTGCAAATCACACAAGATTTGTGCATTCTGAGTTCAGTAATAAATAAATGAAAAGAACTGATTTCCACATGACTGCATTCATTAATTCACCGCCTCTCATACACAATTACAACATACTTTCAGTTTATTGACATTTTTCTCCAGCTGCTCCTTCTCAGCAACCAACTTCCCATTATCCACATTTGCCACCAATTTTTGGCACTGCCGTTGACTCTCTTCTAAGTTTGCCATCAGCTGATTTATGGTGTCTGTCTTCTCTACCAGGAGAGCTTCGTGGGTTCGAGTTAAGTCGGTCAGACGTTGCCGCAATCCATCACATTCGCTGTCCTGAAAGAATAAATAACACAAGCAAGGTTATGGTAAGATAAAAGAAGACTTAATTCCTTATATCAGTTCTCATATGCTGATTCTAAATCTAGACATATCACAGTTTTGTTTACTGAGTTTTGAGCCAAAATAGCAAGTTCTCTTCACTTTCGTATTTTCTTCTTACCGTTCTTACCATTCTTGACAGCCATAGTATGCGATGTTCTGTTACTGAATAAAACATTGTTCTCATTTAAATGGCATCATTATTTCAAACCATGTAATAATGGCATGTTCATCCGTGTCTTGACGACAGAAAATATAACAAAAAGACTTATACAATGCAACAGGCATATTTAGTTTTGCCATCTTTTGGGGGCATGCGGTAGCGTAGTTGGTTGAGACACTATGCTACAAGCCGGAAGGTTGTGGGTTCAAGTCCCAATGAAGTCATTGGATTTTTTCAATTGACCTAATCCTTCCAGCCACACTATGGCCCTGCGGTCGACTCAGCCTCTAACAGAAATGAGTACCAGGAATTAATTAAATAATTTTCCTGGGGAGTAAAGCGCAGCCAGCACGTAAGGCTGACAACCTTACCGCCATCTTTGAGCCGATTGTCTAGATAATGTGGGACCCTCAACATCTCACAACCCTATGGGCCTTCATGGCCTGTTACAGGGATACCTTTACTTCTTTTTACTTTTATTCACATTTGCACTTTTCTTCTTCAAAACAATATCATGTCTAGAAAAGACTTTCCTTCCTCAATATTCCATTTCCCACCTGTAATTTAAAACAGTACATCCTTTAAAAGGGCCACTTTCCTGCCTATCTTTTGTACTGGCATGATGAGGCATCGACATCCTGTTTTTCCATGCTGGATTTCAGTGATCATGGTGACCTGCCTATATAACTGTGCCAGTACCTCAGCCCATGTATTTCAACGCTGAAGACAGAAGCTCTATGTTTCTGCAAGAAGTCAGTATCCACCTGTGACTATTGTATATTTTCATTTTCAAAATTTTAGGTCAGAGAGGAACATAAAAGGTTCTGAACTGAATGGCACCAAGCATCCCCCCCCCCCAGGCTGGCATATCACAAAACTATGTAAAAAAAATAAGAGGCCTGTCTTCTAGGATGTAGTACAGCGTGGTTCAGTACAAGTCTACCGATGTTTCAGAGGAATGTACTGCCCCCACATTCAGGGTCAAAAAGTAAGCCAAGGAAGAAGCAGGTAGCAAGGAGTTGGTTCTTGCTTGGCGTACCCTTAAACCATGAAACTGGAGGCAGTGCATGCCTCTGAAAAGTCTGTGGATTTCTATAGTATTAAACAGTATTTACTCTTCACAGTCACCAGCACAAGAACCTCAAATCAATTTTACAATTACAAACTTACAATTCCTGATAGTAACTCTAAAAAGATTTAAGCATCTGTTGAACATCAGGCATCTCAAGTTCGTCCCAGAACCAAATTTTGCTTAAATGCACACCTTGGCACTGAGCTTTGCAGTAATGGATTCCATCTGGCTCTTGAAACTGAGGATTTCCTTGTCATGTTTTTCCTGCACTCCACGAAGTAAAGTGTCTCTGTTACTCACGCTGCCACGCTCCAGCAAGGACAATTTCTCTTCTAAATCCTTCACCAACAGATGTGCCACATCCAATTCTCGTGAGAGCTACAACACACCACACATAAGAGACATAACATATGAATAATACAACATGGCTACCACATGGCATGTCTGTGCTCTAAAACAAGATCAGGAATTTCTATTGGACAGGCAACTGGATTGAAGTGGGGGTGAAGAACTTAAAAAAAAGTCAGGTTTCTTTTCTGTAACATACAATCATGCATCCATTCCTGAGAAAATGTTTGCATGAAGTTAAGACTTAAGAAATTGCAATGTTCCACTTGTAACATTCCTGTCTTCATACTGTTTACCTTCAAATTGGATTGCTGAACATTTTCCAGGTTCAGTCTGAGGGTCTCCACTTCCTTCTCTAGCTCCAAGACCTTTTCTCTGCTTGTTACTGTAACACAAGAGAACTTCTGAATGCATACACAACACCACTAAGCTGTGGTGAAGAAAGCAGGCTACAGATATCTTTATTTCAAGCAGAGACAGGCAAATTTCTTTTTGACATTTTCGTCCATAATATAATCATCAAAATGTTACGTCATCATCATCATCACCACCACCACCACCAGTAGCACTATGGCACACTATGAGCTGGCTTTCCTGTCTTGTGGCTCTGTATCTCAAATTTCTTTCCTGAACAATCCACTTTATCCAACATAGCCAACTGCTAATAATGTCATGTTACTGAGACACTAAAGCAATCCTGCAACAAGGAAGAGAAGCAAAGCTGGGAAACAACTGTATATCACTCTTTTTTTTAAACAATAACTTCTGCGTTTTACCATACTGTATAATAAATGTTGCATTCAATTAATTTAAAGTCCACTGTTCAGTTCATTTAACTGCAATTATTTATTTCTTTATAGTTCTGTAATCTGTTACATCAGTTGTACTGTGTTATGCCACCAGTTATGCCGTGGTGACAGGGGGCGTGGAGGTATCCCCACTGTCACCTTCTGTACTGCAGTCACAGGGGTAGGGCTAAGGAAACGACTGAATTACCTCCTCTATCGTTGCTTCATTGGCTAGGGGCTCACTGTTCACCGGGCTTGGCTGGAGGGCGCAGGTGCGAAATGTGGTAAGAGAGGAAATCACAACAGAAACCCACATCCTCACCCTATGCTACCCTATATTAGTATAAATACAATCAATATACAGTTATACACATTTTGGTACTATCACAATGAAAGAGCCGACTGGTGTCGGGTTACACATTACACTTGGCTACCTCTGCATCACTCAGTGGATCTCTCTTACGCCCTGTACACTTGGTGTAACGTTCCTAACTCAAGTCCCACTGGAGGAGTTACACTTTAATAATATCACAATTATTAAGCATGGTGATAAGAGTAGTTTCCACTTACTTTGCGTTGAGACGGCAGACGGGTGGTGCAGCCCGGCGCTTAGTCGGCGCTTCTCCTAGCATAGCCTCCAGCGACAACTGCCCAAAATTACTGTTTGAATAATCCCTTATTAATTTGGTCTCTGGGTTATATACCTTTATTTATGCTAACTCATTATTTTCCGGGGGGGGGGTGTAAGTCCGCCTCCAATGACGTCTTATGCCAAGGTGGGTGATCTCGTTGGCTGGGATCCTAAGGGGACACACCCCTTTCTACTCTAGACCCTTTCGCTAACACTTTTACCTTCAAACGTTCCCCCCATCTTGCTCAAGTGTAGCTTCTGCAAAGTTAGCATTTCGAGGTACCTTCAATGTCATTCTGCTGACTGGGCATTCCCGCATGGCAAGCCAATGTCCGTCTAAGTCCATACGCAGAAATTCCTTTAAGTTGTTTAACCCTTCTTACATCCACATTCGTACATCTTACAAATATTTCCCCAAGACTAAATCTATTCCAACCAACATTTTTCCCTAAAATACAAAAAGTTAATACTCTGTTAACATATTACCGGGAGTTGGCCTTCACTCCACAACATACTGTACAATAGTTAATAAACCTGATTTCATACTTATTCTGGACTTCCAATAAATTTGCCATTTGTTTCTCCCCATCCCCCCCCCCCCCCGTTTTCTGGATTATCTGACATTCGTTAATCTGATCACATATTGGTTGTGTTTAGGTCGATAATCAGGACTCTACTGTGATTGGATTACAATTAATCTTCAATTTCAATTAGCCGGAGCCCTTCTTACCAACATTTTGTGCAGACTGCGCGTACTGCAGTGTGGCACGCTCCTTCTCAGCTTGGGCAAGGGCAAGTCGTCGGTACATTTGGTCCTTCTCGTGTGCTGCTTGCTCTTTCAGCTCTTCCACCTGCTGAGCAAGTTCCTGCACCTCCCTCACACGCACCTCATACAGCACTTGCAGCTGCTCCACACTGCCGTAGTCTGAAGCAACAGAAACCTGCTTGTGCCCCACTGCAATGCCAACACTTTCCAAATGGGCTGCTTGCTATATTACATCCTTGATTGCCCAACTTGTTTGTACAATGGGGAACTTTTTCAGACGATTGTGATGTGAGATCCAAATAAATAAAAACTGGAGGAATAAGGTCAAGCAGCCCCCGTGGAATAGTGTACATAAGGCTCCAGCATTCTTAAGCTGGGCGCTGGATGGATTTGACTGGACGGCTTCATATTCCAGCCAATTTACGCCCCAGGAAAGAGTTCTAGATACTACTGGATAAGAGACTGGGTGGGTCTCAGAGTCGGTCTGGACATAATGGCAGCCTACACCAGGAACTAAACCCTGGTTTTACAGCAGGGCCATTCACTAACATGAATGAACCATCTTGCCAAATGAGTCCAATAAAAAAAGTAAGTAAAGGTATCCCTGTAACAGGCCATGGAGGCTCATATGGTTGTAGGATGTTGAGGTTCCCACATTTTCTAGACAATTGGCTCATAGATGGCAGCAAGGTTGTCAGCCTTACATGCCGGCTGCCCTTTACCCCCAAGAATATTCTAAGAATATTCCTGGTACTCATTTCTGCTAGAGGCTGAGCCAACCCCAGGGCCACAGTGCAGCTGGAAGGATTAGGTCAATTGAAAAAATCCAATGACCTCATTGGGACTTGAACCTGTGGCCTTTCGGCTTTTAGCATAGTGCCTCAACCAACTATGCCACTGCATGCCCCTCCAAATTAGTCTGATACAAATTACAATTAAATTACCCATCAAGGATCAATGTGAAGAAATACATACAAAATCTCATGTAAAGCTATTCAGTATTTTCATAACTAAAGCAAGCAGATGACAAATGGCTATGTTCTTCCATGTCTGAGGTTTGTTTTTATGGACTGTTTAATGCCACTTCCAGTATTAAAGTTATACAGCACTAGGTTTCAGGATGAGATGAACTGGAAAGGATTTGGAAACAAGAAATCCTGATTTAATCAAGGTACTATTCCAGCATTTGTTTGGAGAGGCTGAGGAAAACCATGAAGACTCTCAGTCAATATAGCTGGTGTCCCAAACGCGATTCGAACGAAGAGCACAATATTCTTGGATTCCTCCTGTTACTGAAATGAATAAGTACAGAAGCCTGTACCTGTTCTCCGGTACTGCTGGTTGCTCTCATCATAGGGCGTATTTCTGAAGCAATACTGATAATGTTCAGACACCTGTGAACTGTCTCCAGTATCCTTCAGGTCTGAATGTCGCCCACTAAAATTTTTCTTCCTCTCACTTGCTGGAGGCTGCTTCTCCATGCTGACAGAAGGTCTATTTTCAGTGCCTGAAACAGAACCAACAGATACATGTACCTCAGATGGGTGACACAAGAAACATATACAGAATTCTGGCAAGGACACTGCAAGCAACACTAAGAAGAAAATAAGATGACATTAAGTTGCATTCTGAGTGAAATAGGTTGTGAAATTGGAGTGTGGGTGGAACTGGCTCAGGATCATATTTAATTGTGTGATTTGTTACCAGTGGTGTGAATCTTTGACTTCCACTGCCAGAGGCTGGTATGTTATACACACAGAGCTCATTTCAGCCAGTACACATACCAGCAAACACAAGCACACAATGGAAAGCCTGACCAGAGCCACAGGTTTCACAGTGTACTGATGTTCCAACCTTCAGGCTAATGCCAGGCATGACAGAAACAACACATGTTTCAAAAAAAGTGTTGCTTATACATATATCACATTCTATTTCCCTAAAATCCATATTAATGTTATCTTTCTATCTCCTTCTTAGTCCTTTAAATCACTGGTTTCCAACAGATTTCATTACCAAAATTTTGCATGCATCTCCTGATCTGAGCTACACATTCATCCCACTGTGACTGCAATTCACTACATTACCAATGCAACAAGCAACAAAGTTTCTCAGTATGTAATTTTCTCAATGCCCCATGTACTATAGCCATATTAGGTTCAAATATTTTCCGCTTCAATGACTATTATCTTCTGGGATGCAACTCTGTGTGCTTCAGTAGAAGTTCACCAGTGTTTCAGAGGAAAGTGCCTCCATCTTCAGGGTTAAAGAGTAAACCATGAAAGCAAGATGCATCAGTAGAATCACCAGTTATGTCAATAACAGAACTGCCAGTGCCATCAATAACAAAACAATTCACACGTCCTCTGACAAGTAATTTCATATGCATTGTGACACCAGGCCTCAGATGCACACTTCTCTGTTACACTAACCTTCAATCACATGAGATGAGTGACAGGAGCTGCTTAGTGAACTTAAATCATCATCCATCAGATCATCAAATGCGTTTGTAAGAAGGTCATGGAGCTGAAAAATCAGTTCATTAATGATGACATATTAGATACTGTTACATCACATTTTCTAAAATATAAACTGTGAAGAATTACAATATAAACTTCCCAGGTTTATTCAAGCCTTTCCATGCTACAAACAAGATACAGTACAAGATTATAATTTCTTTTTTGGATGTGATACAATATGGAATGGTAGATGTGTACTTATGTATCACAGGAGCCTGTTACCTCCATCTTCCAGGTAGAAGACTAAAGGCATTACACACTGTCACAAACTGGAAGACTGCAATCTTGAAATTCATTGCTGCTACAACCTCAAATCTTAAGTACACTGTTTTCTTCCTGGTATATCTTTCATGTATTGAATCATCAGTGAAGAAAAACCAATCCTGCCATGTCTTTGACACTTCAAGATAAGCACCTGCACTTCTGGAAAGTGGGATCTGTAACTTACCATGGAAATAAAAATCAAAAGAACATTTTTCTCTGTAAAATCACTGGATATAAAGGGCCAATGATGTTTCATTAACTGCATGTTAGATGGGTGCAACTTAACATTAGTCTTCTGAAGGTCAATGGTTCACCAAGCAAGTTGGCTCTAGTACTAATATTTCTGACTTATATCACGGAGATGCCTGGTTCAATTCTTGGCTGGGGTCCAGACTATTCTGACTGAGGACTTTCATGGTTTTCCTCCTTTGTTCCAGGCAAATGCTGGGACATATCCTCAAAATTGGCCATGTCTGCTTCCACATCCTTCACAATTCAAGATTCACGAATCATTTGATCACTTCACACTACACAGCGTGAGCTGCTGCCAGTGTTGTTAATTAAATCACCTTGTTTGCTCATGGTCCCAGCCCCAAACCCTCCACTGCCCTAAATTATATACCATTCTTTCCCCATTTTGTTCTTTTTCACCTTGAAGATGGAGGCACCACAATCTTTAGACTCAATGGAAAATATTTATCACACAACTCAGTATCACTTCCCAGAACACCATATTCTTAATCTGTCTGACACTTTTGGCTGAACTCTTACACATTAAATGGAATAGGTTTCAGTACCTCCTTATTCCTACGTTCTTGGTCTTCCTCAGCTTCATCCTCCTCCAGGTGCTGAAGACTTGTGTCCAGCTGCAAATCCTCAGAACCTTGAAATATACTCATAACAGGGAGAGGCATATTAAGCCAACATTCTTTGATATGTATGGATGTATGGTAAATCTTGCCTTCTATATCCTCTGAAAAATAAAGAGCCAGTTTATCACTTAAATGTTCAATGATGAACATTAGAAGTGGGTCAAATTTTGAGTAGTTTTTCCCTGTAATTAAACAATGCTTTATACTAAAGAAATGAATGTTCATCTCAGATTCAGAAGGTCAGGAAAATAAAGCCTGATTTTAATTTCTTGTATAACAATTTTAAGCGAAAACTTTCAGTATCAAATATTTGGGAAATCAGTTGTAATTCAAGGGTTGGAATTTGAGAACTGGAAACACAATATCCTCACTGTACACTTACTTTTGTGTGGTCTGTGCAAGAACGTACAAGAAATATCATGGTAATTGATGAAGATTGTACTACTGAAAAATACAGCAACATTCAAATTATGTCGATTTTATAATGTATGTGACACCGGCATTTTCAAAACTACGCCGTTAACCACCATAAGTAATGTGAATACTTTGTAATAAATTACCAAATTAAATTAACTACACATTTCCACCAAACCAAATAGTCTTGGCTGAGGGGAAAAAACAGAAGACACAATATAACATATACCACTCAACAGTTCACTAGTAAACTTTACCCCCACAACATTTTTACATTCATTCTATGGAGGAATATAATTATTAAATATACACAAACAAAATTAACATATGTTATTGGTCATAAAAATTGAAATATACAACCATTACCCGGTCTGCAAAGTGTTGCCACAAGAGCGAAATGTGATGAGAGAGAGAAAAAAAGAAATTCCCTCCTCCGCAATATACATATTCCCTTCTTCGGCTAGAATCCTGTACGTTCATTAATGCGTCATCTCGTCTCATCTTGATGGGTGTCTTGATAGACAAATATTTCGTCAGTAAACACATTTCTCTTTTCAGATATATTACAGTTACAATTCCAATGTCGTCCACCTGAGAACTTTGCATGGCATCTACGATGTCGGCTTTTCTTGTAAGTATATATTAGAATGTACAAAGTCATAGTTTTTAATTACTAGGTCCATGCAAAGGTCCGTCATTTTATTCAACTAGAACATATTCTATAGAGAACTGTCGTAAATATATATTCTGACACTAAAATTTTCTACTTTCGAATTTGTATTCAGTCTCGGTCTATCTGTAATAGTTTCATGGGCTTGTAATTCTGCCTTTGGCCGCGTACAGCCCTAGTAATTCCAGATCACACAAAATAAGTCAAACTAGGTAGTAATCTGAAATAACATGCAGGTCGGCTAAATGGTTTGCGCATATCTTCCTTATCTATTTTCTCATTTCTTTTTTCCATAACCACAATACCTCTACGAAAATTGCATACCAGATGAGAGAACCCTTTGTATTATTTTATATAGCATATAGTGAGCCACATATTACAGCTGGGTATTATACACTTCTGAAAAAATATTAAAATTTAATTGAACACTGTGCATTACTTATAAAAATACAGAAAATTACATTCCTTGCCATCTGGTGGTGGAGACGGAAGAAGTTTTCTGCCTTGATCGATATTGAACGGGACGGTCTTGACCATTTTTAGTTACTAAGTGTATCGATTTGGCAACTGTCGAAAGGTCGAAGGCGGTCGAATGCAACAAACGTGATCACGTGCGATAATATTAATGTTAGTGCTCTGCTCTGGATCCTGGATCATTGTTTCGTTTTTGTATGTGTATGAAGAAGGTGGAGAAATATGAATAACAGGTCTCTACTTGTAAGTAGCATAGACCTTAAACTTCACGGCTTTAATTTTGTCGTGCAACAGGTAGAGTGTGGATACTTGTGGTAGGAAGCGTAAGATGGTTTGAAAGATTCCAAATATCGAATGTTAAGTATAACAGTGGACAACTGTAATAATTAAGTTTTGTGTTTCAGGAACAGCCAGATCTTCAAACTTTTAGAACGGTTTTCCAGTATTGTTTTGTTATAATTGTGACGCCAGTTGCATCGTTTTTTGGAGCCAAGAGTATAATCTTTGATGGTAAGATGGGGCACGTTAGGAATGTAAGATTTTAAGTTTCGCAGAAATTGTTTCTACAATTAAATACACTTGGGAAATTCAACTACTAACTGCATGTACATTTTTATTAACCACCTTGGTCAGTGAGCCGTATCGTATCCGAAGTTGAAATAGCAGTCTTAAGTAATGTAAGATTCAGCCAGTCCAAAACTGTTATACGTAAGGTAAGTATGTGGGTTATTATTACTGGGAGGGGTACAGTAATTTGTGCATAAAACGGGTTTGTTTGTAGTGGCTGTACTAGAAGAGAAGGTTTTGTGTAAATAAATAACTATGACAAATTTGTGGTCTTTTGTTCATTTTGACCTCATATTTGTCAGCCATGACAAGATATTCACTTCTGAGGTAGCAATGTCCATATAAATGAATTCTTTTTATTTATTCACACCTCTGAATATCCAGTGTAACAGCATGATACATACATCAGCATTTCAGAGTATTCATAAGTGTGCAACCGGCACTGAATTTAAAACTTGTCAAACAACAGTCACAAGACAATCACAGATAAAATCGCAGAGACATCAATTCAACCATAGTTAAAATCTAAACTGAATACCTCAATTAAATAGATACAATGTTACACATACAATTATACCAACAAGATAATTAGCAATACATAATAATTCTTCTTCCTTAACTTACACTTAATGTCTATATTGATGCCTACTGTGGGACATCCATCAGTCAGCATGCACTCCCCTTCTATTCCTTAGCTGTTGATCCTGACATAAGAGAAGAAATTCATCAACAGTATATGATGGATTATGTATTAGGACATCTCTTATTTCTTTTATAAACTGGTTTTTATCATGTACTAAATTAGTTAAATAATCAGGCAGACTGTTAAATATTTTTATGCTTGTGCAATGGACCCCTTTCTGCCTCATTGCGAGATGTGATTGTAGGACATGTAAATTTCTTTCATGTCTTGTTGCTGTCTCATAAATTGAATAATTAAAAGTAAAATATTCCAAGTTATTTATCATAAAAGTCATCAAAGATAAAATATATTGAGACACCAATGTTAATATATTTAACTTGATAAATGCTGGCCTACATGACTCTCTATGTTTCATCCTTATTATTATTAAAATAGTCTTCTTTTGTAAGAGAAAGATCTTCTTGGTCTCTGATGAGTTACTCCAAAAAACTGTTCCATATCTCATGAGTGAATGAAAGAATGCATGATATATCATTTTAAGTGTTGTAACATTACTATATATTTTCATAATTCCTATTGCATAACATGCCTTTCCCAATCTGGGTAACATTGATTCAACCTGTGTCTTCCAATTCAAGAACTTATCAATTTCAGTGCCCAAAAATTTAATATGAGTTTCCTCTTGTAAGAGGAGTATACTCTTATGAGTATAACACACGCAGTCACAGGAGCAAGACACAACACAAAGCACAATACACACACGAAAGTAGGAAGAATGCTCCGATAGAAGAGGATAGGTGTGACTCGCGTATTGAGATACGACATAAGGATGACAAATCATGAACAGTTTTAATATTTGAAATTTATCAATATATATGACGAATATATATTTTAGTATAAAGACAACAGGGCATGCAATGAAGTAGTTTAACGTACATCGAAAAGCACCTGAAGATGGCACTTTTGTGCTGAAACATTTAGTGCAGGAGAGAAGAGTGGGGTGAATAAATGTATGCACTGTAAGACGGTTAGAATAAATAATGGCCATTACTCTTCATCTGGTATATAAACGATATCCCACATCTAACACAAGGCAGATCAACAATGTATGCTGATGACACATCAATACTGAATGTAGGAAATGATATGAATGAGCTCCAAAACACGACTTCAAATAATATAGGAGTGTTAGAGCAATACTTTGAGACAAATAATTTATTTATAAATCCATCTAAAACTCGCTATATTCTCTTCCAGACAAAACAATGCAGGCAGGAAAGTAATCTAAAAATCCCAATAAAGAACAGGGAAATATTAAATGTAAAAAGCACAAATTTCCTGGGGGTAGTAATAGATAGTACCTTGAGCTGGGAATTACATATTGAAAAAATCTGCAGTAGAATTAGCCGTAGCCTATTCATAATTAACAGGCTATCTAAAATACTCGATCTAAATGAAAGAAGAATGTTGTATTACGGTTTGATCTATCCTCATCTATCTTATGGAATAATAGTATGGGGACATAGTGCTAAGACCCTCACTAGAAGAATTTTTGTACTCCAAAAAAAAAGGGCAGTAAGATACATTGCAAGGCTAAAACATCTGGAATCATGCAGGGATAGCTTTAGAAATCTAAAGATACTAACAGTATACTTGCTATATATACAAGAAACAATCCTATATGTAAAAAAAGTGTAACTGCACAATGAATGAACAAATACATACATATAACACAAGAAATAATAAAGACTATCATATAGTATATGGGCACAACTTAGAACTTTATGATAGTAATCCTTCAGTAGCTAGCTGTATCTTTTACAACAAATTGCCTAACAACATAAAATAAATTGCTACCTATCTAGCAGATCACATGGCATCAAGTCCCAGAAGATGATACCCTTCATAATCCACTGCTACGACAACCTCAGGTCTCACATGCATAATGTTGTTTCATATTAACAGGTGTACTAGGACTTTCACGTGTACAGAGCAGCGTGTATTCCGCTATAGTAACTGTTGTTGTCCTTCACATTATATTGGCAGCCTATGTCCACCGAGCATTTACATCGGACACACCAGAGAAACCTACCAAACAAGATTAAGTTGTACAAGAAGACGAAGAAAGGTATTATTAAACAGATTCTAGAACTTAACTGCATATAGTTTAGTATGATGCATGTATTAGAATAAATTCCAGCTCTTCAAATTAGCAGCTGACCCAAGTAACTGCAGGCTTTTTGGTTTTGTTTTGGAAAAGAACCTAAAGGTAGGCTTCAGTTTTGGTTTTACAAATAAACTTGTGTGCCAGTGCTAGTGTGATAGCATATCAGTGAAGTTTTAAAGTTTTTTTTTATTGCTGGTGGGGTGGGACAAAGTCCCTTGTACTGCGGCCACTTCTGGCCTATATTGTACCAGCCACAGATGATAGGTGAGGGTGATTGTGGAGCAGTTGGTGGAATGAAGATTGGCAGGGGAAACCGAAGTGCTCTGAGAAAACCTGCCCCAGTGCCACTTTGTCCACCACAATTCCCACTTGACCAGACCCAGGATCGAACCCGGGCCGCCACGTTGGGAAGCCAGCGACTAACCGCTTGGTCTATGGTACAGCCTTAAGTTAATGTTAATGTTACTTCAGTTATCCATTAATGCATGAATACCAAATTCCATTTTACAGTTTGTTTTTGACAATTCATGAATTGTTTATTCCCTGTACCTGGAACCTCATACAACGATTTGATCCCTGTCTCCCTAGAATGCATACATTTGCTGCTTCATTTTGATTGTGTGCAAATTTGTGACACTTGAGAATTTGTTACATAAGGTTCTTCAGAAAATGGATATCAAAGAGATGGTCAGGGGGTGTGGGCAGGATTAATTTGGCTGAGGGTAGGAACCATTATTTTGCTGTTGTGAACTCTGGATTCCATAAAAGGCACTAAATATCTTGACTAAGTGAGCAAGTATTAGCATCTTAAAAAGGGCGCTGTTCTGTGGAGCTTGCCTCTATATGTACATTGCATGCATTTCACCTTTTTGTAGTATTTGCTACAGGTTATGTGGTGATTGTATTCCAATCCAATATTTCTGCCTGAAAATCCAAGGCTGCAGAGACACATTTTGAGAAAGGGAGTGTCATATGAACAGAGCATCTGAATTTATCTTCCTGTGTTCTTTGAATGAAATGAACATATAGCAAGGAAGGCATGTGTGTATGTTTCATCTCCAAAATTACTCAGTGGATTTTGAAGAAATTTGGTATTTCTGGGGGTCTACACCAAGTTCTTCAGGGGTATGTGGTAGTGTAGTTGGGTGATGCACTATGCTACAAGCTGGAAGGTTGTGGGTTTCATTCCTGATGTCATTGGATTTTTCAATTGATTTAAGCTTTTCAGCTGCACTGTGGCCCTGTGGTTGACTCAGCCCCTAACAGAAATGAGTATCAGGAATCTTCCCGGGGGAAAGTGTGGCCGGTCATATAAGGCTGACAACTTCACCATCTGTGAGCCGAATGATTAGAAAATGTGGGAGCCTTGACCTCCCACAAACCTATGGGCCTTCACAACCTGTTACAGGGATAGATTTACCTTACTTTACCTACACCAAGTTCTTCAGTGAATTTAATTTTCATTCTCTTGTGTTATATCTTAGATGGATCAAGACTATACCAAGGGTCAGAGATTGTTCGTAGAGACTGCAGTTGGAACGGTGGAAGGAGTTTTCCATTCTATGGATCCTGGTCACAACAAATTGACCCTGAATAAAGTTGTTCTCCATCCATCAGGAAAGAAGATAGAAGGCTTGTATCATTACTATAGAAATGAAGTTATCAGTGGTAAGTTTGTATCTGAACGTGGATAAGATATATGCAAAAATGAAGTCTTCAACTTTTTTCTTTGCCTAAGATTTTATAAATTTAGGACATCCATAATATATTGGCATTGCCTTCATTGATTGTATATGAAAATATTTCTGAGGCTGTTGTCTTTGAATTTTATGGCTGTACAGTATTTATTGTGGGTTATTTTATGGCATTGCCTGTAGTAGACTATATAGCGTCGAATTGCAGGCTAACAGATGAATGATGAATTTGAAAGAATTTAAGAGAAAGCATGTGTAAACTCTTTTGGGATATAATGTCATGTAATCTGCTGAAAGTCGACCAATGTTGCTCCGAAATGCTGATAAACTTTGGATGGATTACACAGTATTATATATCCCACGGACTGAAGCGCAGCCAGCGCATAAGGCTGACAACCTTACTGCCATCTTTGAACCGATTGTCAAGGTGGGACCCTCAACGTCTCACAACCCTATGGGCCATCACGGCCTGTTACAGGGATAGCTTTACTTTTACTTACTTACTCTTCATAACCATTGAAGTAAGAATCTCAGATCTTATGAAGTATTTGTGGTCTAATCAAGGCACTATCCCAGCATTTGCATGGAGGGACCAAGGAAAACAACAGAAATCCTGTCGGAATAGCTCATTTCCTGACTGAGGTTCAAATTGAGCACCACTTAGAGATGAGTCAGGAGCATTACTCCTTTGTTAACCCATTTATTTGATGTTCAATCAATCAATCAATCTCCGTGGCCTATAGTCTGCAAGCACTCTATACCGACTGAGCGACCTTCACTTATTGGTGAAGTTAGTGCCAACTTTTGCAGATATAGGGTGTTACGTGGTCAGGTCAATGGATCCCCACAACTGTTAATCTTTTTTTTTTTTGTAGAGTGGAGCCGCTATTTGCTTGAAGTAGCTCCTCATTTATGCTCACGAGGTTGAGTGGATCACATTTCACACCCACTACTTCTCAGAAAATCTGGTATTACCTGGAATCGAACCCAGGACCTATGGATCTGTAGGCAGGAAGTCTGACCACTAGACCACAGATTTGATGTTATGCAGTAAAAAGCCAGTCATCCATATTAGCCAGTTTTACTGGATATCAGAAAGGATTAAGGGGTTACAACTGTGTTGGGAATTAATGCCTCTTGTTTCAGTTCGTGCACTGGAACCAGGTTCATATGCAGGGGTTAACAAAGAGGATGAGGCTGCTGGAGACTGGAACTTGATGCGGCAGACTCGACCAGTACTGCATATCGACAGGGTTCCTGGAAAAGTAATATTTTCTGATGTTGTTGCGAACTACAAGCGAGGACATGGCCACAGGAGACAAGCTGCTATGAGTGAGTTTCTAAGCACATGCCAGAATAACGTTTGCAAATCAAACCACTGACAACATGATAATACAACGGTTAATTTTATACTCAGCCATTACCCACGTGGTTGCCTTCCTGGCAGGAACACCTGCAGCATAAAAGTAGCATTACAGTTTAAGACTCTTCACATATGGTGTATGGTTTTATTATTATGTTTTTGTGGCTGAAGTCTAATGTATGACCAGCTTTTGAGAATATACCACATAGAATGTGATGCACTCTTTTATAAGATTCTATCCTATCCATATATTATAAAAAGAGAAACTTGTAATCTGTTCTCGTGAAAGCCAAAGTCATACGTTTCATATACATGTGTTTCAGACAGAAGCCAAATAAGTGAAGAAGAATATGATGCTCTGAATAAACTTGTCAAGAATCATGTGCTCATCAATCGCTTGGGAGATTTATTTAAGAAAGCTGTGAGTACTACACGTAATGAATTGAATGGAACATGTCAGCTTCTGGTCTGTGCTGATTGTGTTAATTTATTGGGTGGAAACATGTCAGTGAGCCAGTAAGGAGGTTGTTGTGTAAGTAAATTCAGAGAAAAATGGTTTAGGTTCATGATAACTCCCCAGAATGGAGGACAAAACCATATTGTCTGAAACATCTTCAAGGGTACATCATACCTTCAGTAGGTAACTTTACAGGAAAAGACGCCTGTGTTTTCAATGAGATTAGTATTATGACAGTTTTAGTGCTCGGTTTATGCTGAAAATATAATCGTAGTAACTTCCTAATGATGGTGTAATGATCTGATGATGGTACATACAGAGGAATATTTTAAGATGCAGTACAGCACAAAGAAAGTTAACAGATCCTTTGAAAATGTGGCAGAATTCACATATTTGGGAATGACAATTTACAATCGAAAGCGCATTCATGAAGACATCGAAGAGCATATTAAATTCAGGGAATGCTTGCTACAGTTCAGTGTTTTCCCATCTGTTATCCAAGAACATAAAGATGAAAATATACAAAAGTGGTAACAGTTCTGATTTTCATCCATGATATGTATACAGTTGGCGTCTTGTAGTGCACTCAGTTTCACCTGTTACTTCACGACGTGTTTCGGCAACATAGTGCCATCATCAGATGCCCTAATTACGCTAATCTATTTCATTGCTTGCCTTTATAAAATTATTTAAAAAGTATTAAAAGTGCGTATTTGTCAACTATAATGAATATACACACACTAAAACTTGTTAAGATTATTCATCTTATGTGTCATAATTAAAACTTGCGTGTGGTTCTTCCACTATGGGGGTCATTTTTCTTATATTATGTGTAAACCGTGTCTTGTGATGTGTGTTCCCTTCTTAGCTGCGAGTGTTGTAATGTTCACATGTCGTGAAGTAACAGGTGAAATTGAGTGCACTACAAGGCGGCAACTGTATACATATCATGGATGAAAATCAGTGCAACAGGACGCTAAAATACAACAGTTCTGATTTTATTTGGGAGGTGTCGTTTGAATCTTGATCAGGACACGGACTGTCCTGACTGTGGTTTTTCTCAGTCTTTCTAAGCAGGTGCGAGGATAGCACTGTAATACATGATTCTTCCTTCCACATCTTTCCAAATTATTATTCATTTTCTTTTAAGTTGGTTAATTAATGACACTCTCAGTACTGAGACTATATAGCAGTCATCTGGTCAATAAACAGCATATAAAGAAGGCAATGTTAACGTTTGTGAGTAAAATGTTGTTTGAAGAGAATGGTATTTTGGGTTCGGACACCATGTACCCAACTTTTGGAGGAAAATGTAGCTTCTATCTTCATGTTTGAAGAATAGACCGAGCAAGAAGCAGGCAGGAGGTAGAGAAGTAATGATTCCTGGCTTGGCCTACTTTTCAGTCATGAAGATGGAGGTAGTATATTCTTCCAAGATGTCAGGCTGTCTCTGAACTACACGGTGCTACAATCACAAAGCCATAGTCACTGGCGTTGAGAGCCTCGGCTGCAACGAAATGTTACTTCTTGGTGCTTGTTATGTTTTACAACAGGTAAGAGACATTAAAGCAGAGTCAGCAGTTGGTTTCAGCGTGGAAGGAGCCATGTTTGGACGGCACAGTAAGGTTAGCCTACTGAGCATTGCCACTCCCAGCTGTGCTTTCGTGTTTGACATGTGCACTCTTGGTGATGCAGCCTTTGACAATGGACTTCGTGATGTACTGGAAACAGAAGAAATTGAAAAAGTCATCCACAACTGTCGTCTTGTTTCTGATTGCTTGTACCACAAATATCGTGTTACAATTTGCAATGTCTTTGACACACAAGTAAGTAGAATGGGGGCACCCAATGATCGTGATTTGAAAAACTGATTTACCACTTTGACCATTCCATTTAAAATGGGGTGTGGTGTGTAATTCCAGATGTTTCTTAGTATTTAAACTTCAAATTATATTTAATTATGTTGTAAGAGGCAGCTAAGCAGCCTCCGTAGTCTAGAGGTAATGTTCCCACCCACGCGGGTTCAAATATCCGGCGGAGGTCGTCGAATTTTTAAGGGCGGAAAAATTCAGGGAACAAGTCCTCTGGGAGGGACTTTAACCTGTGGGTCCCGTGTCGTAGATTTACGGCACGTAAAAGAACCTCATGTCTCTAGGAGACCTCTGAGCAAAATTAGGCCAAGTTTCCCGCCCAAGTAGTTTCCAATTCCTCCGGTAGATGGGGGAAGTATCAGGTACCACTGCCAGAGGAGGGGGGACCTCTCTGACAGAAAGGGACTAAAGTATTAGATACCACTGCCAAGTAGAGGGTAGAAACCTTGCTGGGAGAAAGGGACTAGGGACCCCTGCCAGAGGAGGGACGACCTCGCTGACAGAAAGGGACTAACTATTAGATACCACTGCCAGTAAGAGGTTGGAACCTCGCTGGCAGAAAGGGGCTGATAGTAAGCACCAGTACCGGTAGGGTATGGAGACAGTAGAAATTAAAGGGGGACGCACAATGGACCAGTATCAGTCTAAGTGCATGGGGAAACCCACCCCCCTCAATACGGAATACGGAAAGAGGCAGCTATGTTCTGCTGTGTTAGCAGGAGGGAAAGGTTATGAAACCCGTCCAAAAAGGAACATGAGTGAAAGGATGTGCTACAGTCTAGAGTACACATTTATCAAATGCGTTCTCTGCTGTTTTATATATGGTGAACACCTATTTGACTGTGGTAATGGAGAAGCAGCACTGACACTTAACAACAGGTAATCCAAAAATCTGGGATTACTCCACCATCCATGCTATTTGACCCTGAAAGTCACGTATTACTTCCTGGTCATGTTACTGGACAGAAAACAGTGAGAAAGATACCTTGATAGCAGAAGGCAGTGACCCTTGTCCAGTGGAGGAAACAAAATAGAAAGTTGTGAGAGGACAAGAAGATGTACAGTCTGTTACAAATTGTTGTAATGCATCAGATCCACATTACTGAAACATACATACAATGGGTAGCATTTAAATCATTACAGGAAGCAGTACCCAATAACTGGGGGGTTCTGAAACATACTGATTACTCCACAAAGCAATTAACGAAGAGTCTGCTGTGCCTCACTGATCTTCATTTGTTACAAGTAAATGTACTGAACCCCACATTTAATGGTTCCTGATTTAAAGTTCTCCCTCAGTTTATGCTCCATTTTAATGATCCTAACTCAGTAACCTCAATGTTAAATTGACTCCATTTAAGATTTTCCTCAATCTGGTGTTCACACCGCTGATCCCCGGGAAACCTTAAATAAATATTGCACTTTACATTGTCACAAAATATCACCTTGAATAACCCCCATGTTCTTGAGATCAAATATCGGTTTGCTTGTCACTTCACAGCAACACGACAAAGTCACGGTACTGCGCTGACTCACTTCGCTTGATTGAGCTGCACAGGACTACACAAATGGGTGACTGCTCACTCACTAACAGTACTGAACTGAATACTGAAGAACTCTGTTTTTTTTATTTTTTTGGGCATATCACCTGTAGTGAAAGCTGTAGAATTTGAATGGAACATTTTGGAACAGGGATAGGTCTCAGTTAGTAAACCCCTGTTAATCCGGTGTAAAGGGGAGGGGAGTTCATCTGGATCAGTAACGCAAAAGGTAGCCCTAAAAAATACCCCAAAAGCTTAGAACACAAAAAAATGGAAAATTTAATGATGTAAGTATTGCTGATGAAAATAAATAAAAAATATCACAGTAGAGCCTCTGTTTAAAAACTATAACAAGATGATACATTTATTCATCAACAGAACGCTCAGAAGTTGTACTTGTTTTTTAATGTAATGGTGTAGGTTTGAAGAAACTGTTAAGTTTTGTCAGAACAGACAAGTGACTCTTCTGTGCCAGGTGTCTTTTAAGTATGTACACAACTGTGAACAGTATTTTTCATATTTCAGTCTGGATTAACTGTACCCAGATAAGTGAGTGTGTTCTGTATTTCAATAGAATGACAGGTGTGTGGAAGCCAGGTAATGTGATCCTACTACCCTGCATTCTGACAACAATATGATAAACCAATATTAAGAAAATGAGAACATTTAATTGAGTTTTGTGTAAAGTAAGAGTTATATTATACCAGTGCAGAACAAAATTAAATGCACTCTCTAACGCAGTGCTGTCCAACGTTCTTATATACTTGGGCACAATTCACTGATGCCTTTGGAGGTGCGGGCGCCACCACACACTACTACTACTAGCACTTCTACTTCTACTACTACTACTACTACTACTAATAATAATAATAATAATAATAATAATAAAAACAATAATAATAATAATAATAATAGTAAACTTNNNNCTTTAACATTCGTCTAGTACACAACAGGATGCAAGGAACAATAAAAGTCAATTATATGTGGTTACGGAGGGCGCCAGAAAAATATACCACGGGCGCTGCGTTGGACAGGGCTGCTCTTAACGTTTGGTGTATATCCAAAATACTGAATTTTATTGGATTCTTTTTAATAGTTATGTATTCAGGATCTGCAGGCAGACATGAACACTTATAAAGGTTCTGTTGTAAGCAGGTTTTACTGCAGTTATGTAAAATATAAGGCTTCCATAGGCAAATAATTCTGAGTTACAATATGTGAGTGGTATCAGGGCTGTGATATGGTATGACTGGTTCAGGTTGCTGACCTAATGGTGACAAAGCAGCAGTGTGGGCAGTTCCCTCGCACTGTGCGCAGTTTGCCACAATGCCTGACAAGATACCTGCATCTTCCAGAGGACCTCCTGTATCGCCCACAAATTCGTGATGGATATGTTGTGGTAAGTCAGTGTGGTACGATTCTGTACCAAGGAATCTTGTTTCTGTTGCCTGATCTTTAAACTCTGAACAAAACATTTGTTTCCTAGAAGAGCTAATAAACTGGTTTCACGTTATGTAGAGAATAGGCAAAAATGTATTCCCTCAAAGATGTTGTCAGTTCAAAGAAGGGGGGGAGGAAAGGAAGAAATTATGAGCACAGTTCCTGAATATATTAAAAAATGTACTTCAGTTTGAGGTAATGGCTCTTACTTTATATCATGTACAGTTTTATTTTTATAAACACCCATTTTTGATGTCCCAGTTTCTGTGAACCTCATACAAAGTAGGAGCTGAATTGAGCCAGTACAGATTAAAATTAAATTTGATTAATTTTTATTATATTTACATGTATAGTGTATAGTGTATTTGATAACACTAATTCAGATACTACAGCATTGAAAGAATGGATGATAGTGAATAATGGATTAGAAAGGCTGAGGAAGTAAGTTGGTATGACCTTGTTTAAGGTACTACCATGGCATTTGCTTGGAGGGACTGAAGAAGACCTCACTTAGGATACCAGTGTCCCAGCTTTGATTTATCTCCCACATACAAGCTAGAAATGCAGCCATTTAATGTGACTTGATCAGTAACCTTTTTTATAAAACCACTATTTAAAGTATTAACATTTTGCAGTTGTGGAAATTGATAACAGATGGACAGTTATATTCATTTATTCAGTGAGTGCACATAACACTATTTGGTTAGTAAATAACTCTGGATTATGATGACAGTGGATATTCATTTGTTTTCTTTGTTCACAGACTTAGCTACAGTAGTGGATATTCTATTTCCCGCATTCACAGACTTATGGTGATCCGACATTCTTCTATTTGTTCACATACTTTTTTTTTATTACAGTGGAAGTCTTTTATTTCTTATGTTCACAGGTGATCATGATGACACTAAGTCAGTTTTCTTTTTCCTGTGTCCTTAGACTTCACTGTGGATGGACATTCTTCTATATCCTGTTTGCAGAAACACCATTGTGATGGTATTTCATATTCTTGTGTGCTCTGTTCACAGCTTGATTCACTGGAGTGGCATAAACGCCCTTTGCCTATTACACTGGAGGCAGCTGCTGTGAAGAACTGCATTTTTCTGCTTCATCTCCAGAAAAAAGTTCATGAGGCACTAATGCTTCCATTCTATCAGTGTGTTGATGTCTTCCTGAATTTAGTGCGGGATGCAGAGCAGGCTGAAGCTAGTGAACACCAGGTACGAAACCCTTGTACAGAAGTTAACAGCTTTTATTTCTTAGCCTTGAGAGTTACTTCAAATTCCACAGGAAGAGCAAAGCATTTCTATACGTTAGAATACTATGAATATAATAAATTACCGCATTGAGCACAGACAATTTAATGTGTTTTTTGAGCTGTACTATCAACTCTCTTCCATTTTACTTGGCAGAAATATGGTTGTTTTTGATGGGTGATGAATAGTGATATAATAGGAAGAAAATTATAGAGGTGTGTCATGAAAATTTTTGATAATCTGGCACCTGAAATTTGTGTAGGTGTGAACACAACCATTGTGTAAATTAAGGAATACCTATTAAAATGTTTTCAGTTTATTGTGCATAATAAACATTGAAATCTGTGCTTTTATTTCTGCAGGCCCGTGATGCATTGGTACCCTTTGAGTTGCTGTCTCTGAATGACCAACCAGTTGATGACCAAAAGACATTGGAATTTCTGCCTGATCCAGCTACGAGTTAAATGAAATGAGAAATGTTTTATGTAGTGTAACTCTTTGTTTTCATTTTTTATTGCTGGTAAGAACGTGTTAGGGGAAATGAATAAATCAGCATGCCTGTGGCTTTACTGTGACGACCCTTATCAGACTGTTATTATGTTTAACGTAATTTCATGTACTGTAGTGAAGTAAAACTTAAATTATTTTCTTGTGTAATAACACTGAGCTAATTTTGTCTCATTTCTTTGCACTTATGTAAGTCCTTTTACAACAAAATCCCACAGTTAATGTGACTTAACCTTTACCAGCCCATGCTGCTCTCCAGGTGGTCGATTGTTGCATTTTTCAGTATTTAGAACATACCCTAAGTTACAGTATGATATACAAGTTACCTTGTACCGCTGGGAGATTTAGAATACCGTATTTCCAGATGATAAACGTTTACCCACAAATTAAAATATGGCCACAAATCTGTAGTAACGGTGATAAGGGGTAAACATGAGATGTAAAGTTTCATATGTGCTGATTCCGCCCCCCCCCTTAAGTTTTATATATATATATATATAATTGTGCCTAGTTTCTTACATCTATGGGTTCTAATGTTTATTATATGTTCACTTCAAATGATTCCTATGTAAGTTACATGTTAAAATGGTGAATCTGGACGGAAAGAGATTTTATACATCTCTATAGCTACAACACATTGTAGTTTTTTAAATGGATGTATCTGATCTAAAGTGATATTCCTTAATAAATGCCTGAAAATGTGTCTTGGGTTCTTTTATATTTACGTTTCTACCAAGATCTGGGTGATGGGAATATCTCTTGACCAATAATGAAAAGTGAAATTAAGTTGCTCCTGCACTGAAGGACATCGTCATGGAGGAACATGGATAATGCTCCACTTAATTAGACCTCGGCATCAGATGGACCTGAATGGACAGCTTCAGAACCTGATTATTTTATTCACCAGAAGAGATTCTATGGTACCCATCAGACCGGAGCCTGAGTAGACCTCCAGAGTCAGATTGGACATGTGGACAAAAGTCCACACTCCTACTAGGAACTGAATCCCAGGTGCCCAGAATCCAGATATGCCTGAACTTACATGAATTTAGAGTTCACACAATTTGATCATATTTGTTTTAATGAGGATGAAGCAATGAAACTGAAACAGAAAGAATTAAGATTTGTAAATTACTAAAATGAATGGCATTAAAGTCAACTTTGATGCTGTATAGTCTGGTAGTTCAGCAATGTCTCCACCTTGAAGACTGAAGAGTAAACCAAGCAAGTAACCACCCTACACATGACATTTCTGGTGACCGAAGTTGGCAGCTCATATTATATTGGATCAGATTGATCAGATCATTGGATTTACAATTGCATTGGGTAGTATATAGCCTCATTATTGAGATGGAACAAATGATGGAACGCCTGCTGGCAAATATTGAAGCCAAGATGGATGCCCATAAAAGAGCCAACCAAGACCACATGCAAGAAATGATGGCAAGAATGGAAATCAACCAAGCCAAGTTAGAGGCCAACAGAATAGCTGACCAAGGGCACATGCAAGACGTGCTGACCAGGATGGACGCCATTACAAAAGTATTGCAAGAAAAGGTGGATGCAAATCTAAAGGAAATAAGATCCAGAGTTGATGCCTGGATAGCAAACATGAGGGCATGCTGAAACAAGAGAACAGCCTGCCAGGAAGTGATGGAGGCACATCTGGAATGCAAGGAGTCGACCTCAGCGAACATGAAGGCCTGCCACGAAGCGACAGAGGCCGATATGGAGAAGATTGAGCCTGATCCAGGAATGATGCAGTCTGTAGGGGAGCATTAAGAGGTCCCCAAAAGAGAAGCTGCAGTGATGCCGGTTGGTGGACTGAGGAAGTGATATAGGGACTGGAATCTGGCCTTGGAGCGCTGTCAGAAGCTGAAGGAAAGGACTTGGGGATATTGTGGATCCTGGAAGAGGGTGACTCTTGCCAGCAATAGAATGACCTGCTGTGCAGGAGTGGTATGGCTCAGGAGAGGCGTTAGAAAGAATTGCAGGTGGACACAGTGAGCCTCTACTAGGCTATGCCACATCACATCCAAGAAGGTAGTACTCTCCATATAATCACTGCTATGAGAACTTCAAATCCAATTATGAATGGATCACTTCAGCATAAGTTGTACTTAATGTCATGATATTCAGTAATTATACAAGGATGGATGAATAAAACTTAATTATAGGCAATTATTTACATACACATACACACAGGCAAAATTTCTTCGAAAGTTTAAAAAATTAAGGTACTGAATAAATAATATACAGTGAGGCCAAAGATAAGAAAGACAGATTAAGCAGGAAAAGATATGTACAAAAGAGTAAAGAAAGAGAACACAGATACAATGAAGAAGCTAGAATGGAAACAATTACAGATGTCTGTTGTCCAAAAACATAAAAATTAGAATATACAAAACTATAATTTTGCCTGTGGTTCTGTATGGGTGTGAAACTTGGTCTCTGACATTAAGGGAGGAACATTGACTGAGGGTGTTTGAGAACAGGGTGTTGAGGAGAATATTTGGACCAAAGAGAGATGAAGTGACAGGAGGTTGGAGAAAACTGCATAATGAGGAGCTTCATAACTTGTACTCTTCACTAAGTATAATTAGAATGATCAAGTCAAGGAGGATGAGGTGGGCGGGTCATGTAGCACGAATGGGGGAGACAAGGAATGTGTATAGGATATTGGTGGGAAAGCCAGAAGAAAAGAGACCACAGGGAAGACCAAGGCGTAGGTGGGTGGACAATATTAGAATGGTATGGACTGGACAGATCTGACTTAGGATAGGGACCAGTGGAGGGCTCTTGTGAACATGGTAATGAACCTTCGGGTTCCATAAAATGCTGGGAAATTCTTGAGTAGCTGCAGAATTGGCGGCTCCTCCAGAAGGGCTCAGCTCCATGAGTAAGTAAGTCTGTATATAAATGCAACAAAAAAACAAATTCCTTTACAAGGTAACCAAAGAAAAGCCTGAAATAATACAGTATGTTATAAAAATAACAGCTGTATCTGTGGATGGGTAGTACTGAATTTCAGAAGCCACAGACTTCAAAGACAATATAAAGTTAGCTCCTAATAACTTACAAGTAAAATGTCCAATTCTGATGAACATATATATATATATATACGAGTATATATATATATATATATCCTCATTCCATCAAATCTCCACAGGCAGTGGAGTACCAGTAAAGGTACAATAGGACATNATAGATGGCATGTTGCTGAAAGTATTTTTAAATTACCTTTTTAAAGCACTATATTCAACAGCTCAACAGTTCAAATACTGAAAAAATGTGGAATCTTGGAATTTGTACTATGGCAGACCTTTAAAAAATCAATATTAAGAGCACTGATTTTAAATGAGAAACAACAAAACATAAGATATTTCTGATTTAATGATCATAACTGCTGAAACATTGCAGATACGAACTTGAAATTTGAAATGTGATTACTACTTTACACAGCAATTTTCTAAAAGTGTGATATTTTGGGACCATTACTAGCTCCAGTGAGTATTGCAGACTGGTTCCATGCATTGAGGCTGAAAGGCACTGCAGTCTGCATTACTCTTGTGCTGTTATTAGTGATCTCCCAGACCCCTGTTAATGCATGCTGTTAATAGTAACACCTTAAATATGTGCTGTAAAGTTCAGTTTCAAATTTCTCACAAATAAAATTAAATAATTATGAGGAATCTATAATTTGTTAGTAATACTATATATTTAAACTTTCCCATTTAATAATTTATACTTATACAAAATCATTTTACTGATGATTATTGTTCTCTGGGATCTAACCATGTCATCTGGTAGAAAGATTCCAGAATTTTGGTAGGACTTGCTGGTCTGTGTTCAGGGTACAAAGACATGCGAGTATAGATGTACACAAATGACGAATGCAAGTGACACTGCAAGTGGGCCCATCGATCTGCTTGGAGAACAATTACAAATTACTAAGTTTAGTTCCTTTAAGTGGTCTCTTCTTTTAAGATTTTCCAACTAAAATTTTGTAAGTATTTATGACATCTCACAGGCAGCCCATTTAATTATTTTTGATCTGATAAATTATTAAGTTCACTAATTACGCACTTTTCTCCTACCTCCTGCTACTTTCTCCCTCATAAAAAGGTAAGGTTGTCTCTGTGCTTGACTAATTAAGCACCACACCATGAAGGTTTAAGGGGGAGTGCATGTATAGATCCACATTTTCTTGACCTCGGCACTAGCTGGAAGTGAGTGGACCCCAGAGCCAGTCTGGACCGTTTGGACAACATAGAGAAGTGAAAATTTTTTACCCCTCCGGGACTCAAATTCTGACCCCTTAGTTGTCCAGTCACAATACCGACTGCGCTATCCCAGCTCACTTCCTCTTGCATGGGTTCAAATATTCTACTCAGAACTGTTCTCAAAGGAAAGGCACATATTAAAATCAAAATATACGAATATTTCTCTGGTCTAAAATAAAAGTATGCAAACCCAATGAAAGGTAGGTTTGGGGGAAAGGAAAGGTAACCCAAACAAGCGAACATCTAAATATGTTACTCCATGGTGCTGAGCCCTTCTTGCGAAGCCGCCGGTTGCACAGCTACTCAAGAATTTCAAATGTTCTGGAACCCAAAGGGTCATTACCATGTTTACAAGTTCACAAGAGCCCTCCACTGGTCTCTGAATATATTATAGGAAATGAAAAATTGGCAGAAACATTAAAATGTAACCACAGTACCGTTACAGGTCTCTTAATAACGCATTAAAGAAATAATCCTATATGTACACACTCGGGAACTACAGAAAACCTAAAAATACATAAATTAAACGTTGGTACAAAAATACGTACCATTGCGCAAATATACTTCGACAACTTGTTGATAAATTTCATACAAGTTTAAGTGCCGCAATAAACTCCTGTATTACATGTGTAAGCTTACAATGCGGTGAGGGAAAACATCAATTCTGTTGGAATATCAGAAATATATTACGTACACAAAATCGAAATCACTCCTGACTGTTGCACTGAATAAAACAGATATTCATGTTATACGAGAGAAGATATATATTATGATTCAACGGATAACGTTAATGTCAACACCTTCATAGGCACACGTACTGTCTGTATGGTCTGTATACGCATATTTTGGTAGAATTTTCACTTTTAAGTACCACCTTCATTTCATAGACTTCCCTCCATAACTGACCAATATGCACTGCGCTCGCGCGTGTCATTTTGAATCGGTGTGTGTCGATTGCTGTCATTCTTACAAACAATCGAATATTGAAATCGATATATGGAATATGCATCGATTTCTCTACAGTGCATAGGAATCGATATTTACAGTGGAAAATTACTCGTTAACGCTCGTTATGTCAAAGGAGAAATCGGATATGATTCTGTAGTATGCTAACATTAAATTTTATTTGAGTGTAAGAAGATATTTGCGTCAGAACAAGTCTTTTAATTCTATGTATATGAAATATGAGAGTTCTGCTTTTTACTTCTCACAAAATATAAACTGTCGTATGAACTCGTTTCCCACACCATCCTTCGTAACCACTTGCATTCGAAAATTATGCCACCTTTATTGAAGTGGCAGAGAAACGAGTCGCGGGATGTGTGTATGAATTGTGGTTTACTGTTGTGTATTCGCGCATTTGAGTTGCGTATTGGAGAATTCCGAGTCTGACGTAAGGTATTAATTTTCCATACAAGCATATTCTATACATATTTCAGTTATAATGGCAAGGATTAGCTGGCCTGTCAGTACATGTTGGAAAGACACAAAATGCGAACGGCCTGCCGGTATACAATATGATGAATTACATGCTAACGTAACAACAGTACAGGACGTGGAAAATCAGTCCGAAAAGAATAGAAAATATCGAACGTCTCATATCTCATCTAATGGTTATTACGGATATTTGCCAGTAATACCGGATATAGAAGATTACGCAATGGATACAAGTGATGCGGGTGCAGAAAATAGCATGGGAAATGGAACAGATCCAAAGAACGGTTCTTGTACTGGTGGTACACTTACAAGTACGGAAAATGTTAATGTCCTGTCTATGGGAGTAACCTTAGGTAGGCGGAAACGTAATAGTGAAGAAGATAATTCCACAGATGAGCCCAAGAGACAACGAAAAGAAGGTAATTTTTTTTTCAGTTTCGGACGAACTGTATTTGCAAGTCAGTTTGTGTTCAGAATTTCATTTGCAGTGATGGGTTTTCTTTAGGAGCCAGAAAATTGGGAAAAGGAGAAAATCATTTTAGACACTAAATGAAACATACTTTTTTATACTACGGTGTTGCTTTTCAGAATTTTGTGGCCTTACCCCATGTCAAGTAATGGTGCTTCCGACAACTCGCAGCTTTGATGCTCACTATCCACGGTGCATCATGGGTCACTACGTGTAAAGAGCAATAAATAGCTAACAGGGAATTTTATTTATCAATACTAAATTTATTTGATCCTTTGCAAAGTACTTATTCTAAGAGCTTTTATTTCTTCTCTAGAACAAGATTCTTTGAGTGAAAAGGTCAGTGACAGCAGCCTACAGTTCATCATTGAAGGATGTGATTTGGATTTGATGGAGAAGTTGCTGAAAGAAACACATGGCTGTGATATGTATCACTATGATGCTTGTGATATTTAGTATGCCATATGGACTATAATCGTTGAATAATATCACCTGTCGATGTGAAGTTGTATTCAGTTGTTTTTTACTAACATTTTAAATATTACTTTTGTACTGAAATAAAAAATATAGACCTATATGTAACAGAATAATTTTGAATGAACATAAAAAGTTACCACATTAAATAAAGAGATGAATCTGTATTAATGTGATCAGGTGAGTGACAGAAAATCCCAATTGGATCTCAAAAACAAGCATGAAGAAATATTTGTCTGAATTATTATTATTTACTGAAACAGGTATGTTCAACATGGTGACACTTTGGTTAGCAAAGTGACATTATGGACTTAACAGCAGTTAACTGTCCCCATATTCACACTAGCTGTGGGGCCCAGATATCTTATCTGATGGGTACCACATGGCTCCTTCCTTCCTGGGAGAGACATATGCAACCACAGCAGGAAACAGCTTCAGTCAACCAATGACTTGGTATTGCTAAGTACCAGATTGCCTGTTACATTGAAAGTAGTAAGTTACACTTCGTCTAATGCCATAATATAGCAGAACCCAAAGCTTCAACACCACAGATAGCAAAGCCAGCCACTGGACAGTTCCATCCACCTCCCATTTCCCTACGATCCTGAGCCAGTTACATCCACCTCGCAGCCTATTTCCCTAAGATCCATCTTATTAATTAGCTAACTCTCTGGTAGCAGAACCTGAAGGTTCAACACAGCTAATACCAAAGCCCGCCACTGGACATGATCCTGAGTCAGTTCCACCCACCTCCCATCCTCACTTTATATTTCCCTAAGATCCATCTTACTAATTAACTCTTATGACAACAGAACCTGGAGGTTCAACACTACTAACAAAAGAACACCTTTGGACAAGATTCTGAGCCAGTTGCATCAACCTTACACCTTATGAATCTATTTCCCTATGATATATATTAAAATTTATCTTCAGTTCAATTGTGACAATTGTCTAAGATGCTTCCCTGCCAAAATTCTGTACTGGTTTCACCTATCTGCTACATGGTGAGCCTCTTGTAGTCTGCTTGGGGTCCTGGTCCTTGTGTGACTGTATGAGTCACTGAACTACTAACTTCAATCTTTTTGAGTCTTCTGAAGACTTAACTGTACTACGTTTATAGGACATTTCCTATAAATGTTAACGACATTGTGCATTTGATTTGTGAAAATGCAGTACAGATCACACATGCCATTGTGTAACATTAAGGTACCAAGTAGGTAGATAAATAGTAGTAGGCTTATATTTATAAATAAACACCATTTTACCAAAGGGCTAATCTTTTATTGTCAAGAAAGTTTGAAAGAAACAGTGGGCTAATTGCTACATACATATCCAAAACAATGTTTACAGTTGACACTGTTTATTACACTAGTATTTTTTTAATGAGATGTCTGCAGTATATTTTCCATATTCAACTCCATTTTTACTTAAAATCAAGATAAAATAATGAAACCTTAAATAGACTCAAGCAACAAGAACTGTTTTAATACAACTTTGCATGTTCCCTTTCTTTGTTTTCCAGAAATGAAAGCTCATAGTTTCAATTTGTAATTATATAGTTGTCTCTAGTACGTGTTTACTTATCCAGCAACTGAAGAAAGGCCACTCCAGCTGAAATCTTGTTGTATCACATTGAAGTCCTACAGGGATTGCACTAACTGCACAACGCACTAGAGCCAGCAACATCTTCATAAGCATCATGGATTAGGAGCATCTGAAAAGCATAAAATAAGTTCATAAAACTATATTTTGCATAAGTAATTTTTCAAGGCATGTATATGGTCTCGGATCTCTTAACAGCTACAACCTCAGGTTTGAAACTGAGTCAGAGAATGGGTTATGTTTATAATTTTCAATGTTGTGTCATGTTGTCCTGTGTAATTAGAGCTTTTAGTGGGCTGATTCCTCATACAAGGAATCCTATGAATCAGAATGGATTCAAACGGAAAACTGCAGACACTTTGAGTATGATGTTGGTGACGGACTGCTGTATGTTAAAAGGCGCCAATGTACCTGGCTGGTTTGCTGGATGTGGTACCAAGCTGTGACCGTCTCGCTCTGGGATGCTGCTGCCGCTGCAGGATGCTGCTCTCGGCTGATCAGTAGACAAGCGAGTCGGGACTTGGTCTAATCCTTGCTCCCTGTCCTGTTCAACCTCCCACTCCTCCTCTACCTGATGGCAAAATACCAAAGTATAAGATGGCCATATTTACTTTAGAATGTGACAGATATGAGGGATGAGGTATAGCTCCACCATTCTTGACCTTGGCACTAGATGGAAGTGACTGGTCAGCTTCACCGCTTGGAAAAGAGCCCCCAGTACCCACTAGACAGGTTGGGTGGGCTCCCAGAGCTGGTCTGGACAATGGGGAGCTGAGAAAAATTTCCCCTGCCACGAATCGAACCCCAGCCAACCAGCCTGTAGTCCATCACTATACTGACTCAGCTATCCCAATATGAGGGACAGCTTAGTGAAAGAATCAAATGGCCTACAGTGGTTACTCATTTAAAGCCATGTTCATAAAACTGAGTATGAAATACAAATTCTGGGTAGTCATCATGTTTTACATTCTATAAAAGATACAGCCATAAAAAAGTAATTTCTGCAGATTTATTATCTCACAAAATTTCAGTGTCTCACATGAATTAGCACTGGTGTCACTCCTACCTCAGAAGTTCAAACCATCTCCAATATACCACATTCTAGTTATTAACGGCAGAGAATTTAAACATATGAGTGGAATGACCTCTAGTGGCACAACTTGTATACACTGTTTTATGAAATCTGTTAATTTGTTCAAAAGTTACTGGGAGAGACAAATGACAGATGTGGATGGCCAGACATAAATATGATATATGAGACTGATATTATCACAGCAGTGAATGATAATGACCTTCTGGCATGTAATGTCATGTACATTGGTACAGTCGTCCTAGAAAACTGTAATCTTAACATGAATATGATACTGGAAGTCCATATATTGTTATAAGTAGTGTGTAACAATGATTCTGATATAATGTCCATGCCTAATCTTACCTCTGTCGTAATGAAATCTCCAGTATCATCACTGGCTGTGACCATGGCCTCTGCTTGTATCTGATTCTGAGAATACAGAGCACACAATTTATATGTTGGGTATAGGATACATTACACAATCACACAGACAAAACATATGCAATGAAGTTATATCTTGGACTATCAGCTATGTGAAGATGGAGTCACTAACCAGCATTTTGGACTATTGCTGTTTCCATCATCAGGGGTTCATGTGATGAGTTACAAGGCCCTTGTGCTTGAAATGTGAGGATGTTTTGAGTGACTGCTAGCATGCTGAAGTGTCCATGTTAAGCAACTGCAATGTCTGTCCACTGTTCCTTTGGCAGTCTGTGCTAGGAGAGTCCAGACCATGCTTTGTGGCCACATCGCTCATCACATCAACCTCTGATGATGGAGTCAGTCTCTGAAACGCTGGATACAAACACTGTCTGTAGATGACTGCCTGAGAAGTCTTCATTATATCTGACAATGTCTTTATCAAATCTCGCGTGCAATGAAATCATCTCAGGCGATCAGCCATGTCAATATGGAATGAATTTATGATGTTTTGGAGACCCTCTGACTCCATTATCAAGGACTGACTGTATCACTATGCGGAGATAACATTTTACCTCTGTTGCATTTGTCGTGTTATTCATAATGCAAGAATCAGGAGTAGCTACACCTTCAGCCTGGGTGCTCTGCCCCTCACTGGAGACCTCCTCTGCAACAGACATGGCTGCAGCACTCTCTGCTTCTAGTTCTGGTATGCCAGCATCTGCTGACTCTTCATGATGTGACTGATCAGCCTCTGCTAGATCTCCATTGTAAGCCTTGGTACTCAGTCCAGCATCTCGGGAATCATGGTAACCCTGGAAAAATGGTTAAGAAAATGTAAAAAAAAAAAAAAACATTCATTTTTGTGGAAATGTTGTTAGCAGTAAAATATGGAATATGATTTGGGCAAAGAAGTGACATGTTGTGTTTCAACAAATTTTTATGGTAATTTAAGCTGAAAACAAACATTCCCTAACTGTCTAGAAGCAGAACACTGCTAACACAAGAGACCACAATTATGAATAAGCCTCAGCTGGGTTCACTGACCTACCATCCTTATGATCTATCTTCATGTTATTTTGCCACCTACTCCTTGGTTTTCTGAATGGCTACTTTCCAACAGATTTTCCCAGAAGCATTACCAGTACAGTAATGTTCAAGTAAGCTGACAGTTGCTCAGCTGATCAAGAAATTTTCTGCTTTTATATGTGATGATTCATCACATTGATCACAAAAGCTTGCCACTCAACTCTGATCAGAGCCAGTTTAATCCACTGCTTAGTCACAGTTTCTCTAAGATCCATTTTAATACCATCCTGTCTGGCAAGTTGTGTTTTCTGCTAATGTTTTCAGACTATAATGTTGCTGCATGCATTTTCATATCTCTCATGCATGCTACATATACTATCCAATCTCATACTGCTTGATATTCTAATGATATTAGTTGAAGGATGAAAATTAAGAAGCTCCTCATTATGTAGTTCACTTCAGTTCCCTGTTACTTCCTATTTCTTAAGTATTTCATGTTTCAAGTTGTCCCCAGCAGACAGCGACATAAGCAAATGATACAAAACTGGCACTGCTGAATTAAATGCCAATGCAAGCAAATTAAAATTAATGCATGTGGGGGAGGGGGCACAGACTTAAAATAATTGGAAACACACTCACTGGTACATCAAAGAAAAAAAATAAGAATAAAAGTGTTCCTTTATTGCGAATAGTCTTTGTGGAAGATATATGCCCAAAATTTGAATTACTTACTAATAAAAATATTACTCTGGGAAGAACTGGTCTAAAGAAACAATGAAAACTTCACGGGCTTTACTTACACGACTGCCAACTTCTGAGGTAAAAAATTGTTGAGTTGCTTCAGCTGGTTGATGCATGGTTCCACTGCTTTCTGTACATTCCTCAGGATCATGGTCCCTCATTGCGGGATTCCTGCAGCATTCTTGATTGCTTTCCTGAAATCAGAACAGAGTGACATCAAATTTAAAAATAAGTTCATAGCTGACTGCATAAACACGGTGTTCAGATTGAGATTTCTGATAGAAAAGCTGTGCATTCATACCATGCCATAACTTCTGAAGCATTCAACAGATCTTAATTCATTTAACACTGCACTAAAAGCACAGAACGCAACCTCTGCACTCCACACCATGGTGACACTTTATAAATGTGAAGGAAGGCTAACAAATGGGCTGCAAAATTACATTACATAACTCACATTATTGCTGTCTCCTCGGCTGACAGTATCGACAAGGCGCAGGAATGTGAGCTCACTCAGCAAAACTTCAGCAACTACAGTCAGTAACTCCTCGCTGATGTCGCGGAGTCTGAAAACAAGACACAGGTCTGTTTATGTCTCACAATTACAAAACTTAAATTACCAGTGTTAGAAAACAAAGTACAGACCCTAGAGAGAAACAAAAGCAAAATTCAAGTAATGCATACAAAATTTTTTAAAAGTAAAGAGGGAAAAAACAAGAGGGAATAGAATTAGCAAGGAAACTTTTACAGAAAAAGTTGGAATTTACCCATATATCAGGAATGGACAAAGCCAAGATAGTGAGATGTGCTGTTCCATATTCATCTATCACCACTCCTCTACATGTGTGATGGCCCTGACCAGACAGCACATTATCACATCCTTAGTCTTTAAACTGGAGGCTGGTTCAGTATGTTATATATGTGAGGAGTTTCCAAGCTGCTGTTACAAATACCTGCAGCCCTGGAACTTGAGAAGTGCATCTTCCAGCAGAGCATCAAGTTGTCCCTGGTAGCAGCAACCCAAACGAGATGGCTGTGAGGAATGCTGGGCAGTGCTAGCAATAAGGGACAGGTTCTGTGCTCGCACCAGTTGCAGTGTGAGCCTTCGAACAGCCTCGAGGAGAGATGAGGAACATGTTTCATCCAGATGTGTATTCAGGAAAGGCAGCAACTCCACCAACACAGCCTGAACCTCCCAGTCCAATTTGCTCGAGCGGCCCTACAATATAAATAAAAGTATTATACAGTACGTGTCCTGTGTTGTATCTGAAACTGTGAAGCTCAACATACAAAAAGTACACAGTGTCTCTGAGAGTGTGCTATCTGACAGTGAAACAGAACATCACATGATCACCAGGAAGTTACTACATTCTATTTTGTATACACAATGNCAGTAACTGGTCTTCTGACAGCCAGTGTTCTGTAAAACACAGTACTTTTACCCTGATATACCCTGAAAGATGTTTTAGGCAAACAATAGAAGTTCAATTAAAGTTTTGTATGGGCTGAAACTTCATCTCTCACGACAACAGAAAAACATAAATTGATGATCACAGGGAACAAAGTGCATGAGACAAAATGTTGAGAGAAGCATATAGAAAATTACATAAGCAAGAGCATCATAATTTCAAAATGAAATACAGAGGAGTGGAGTGGATTAAACTGTTTCAGGGCAAGATCCAATTATGGGCATTTCTGAACATGATGATAAACCTTCAGGCTCCAAGACGGTAGGGAACTTCTTGACCAGATAAACAACTACAAGCTTTGCAAGAATAACTTCACTCTGTGGTGCAAGTTACGGTAGATATTTTATAGTGCTACTGGTATCTGCCCTCTGTGGCTGTTGTTGTCATGGTTACAAGGTTATACGTATAACTCAGTTTTACTTCAGTAGATGGCAGGTCAGCTAATCATGTCGTGGTATGTTACATAAAATAGTCACACTTGGTGGCTAACAGGTTGTAGGTATTATGAAGAGAATTCATTAGAAGAATTACTGTTTCGTCTATTTCTTTATTTAACAATTATATGACGATGGCATAGGTAATATAGGGTTCAAAGAGAAACAGAGATGATTATAATTTAGAGGTTAGGAGGGTTGTGAAAGAAAGTAGTCAAAGGACCAATTCTAAGGTACCACAGACACATATCTAGAGGAACCATGAAAACTGTCAAGATAATCGGATCTACTGGCTGAGACACATTGGAAACCAAAGTTGCAATTGCTACATAAACAATCATAAAACAAATTAATGACACATGAGGAATTTCCTACTTACTGGAAGTTCGGTGGGTAAAGAGAGTCCATCCTTAATGTTCCAAGCTGCATTCTTTGGAAGAGCTCTTGGTGAAGAATGGGCAGACGGCAACAGGGCTGCTGCCCCTTCCTGCAAAAATGTGTTCAATACATCAGCAGTCTTGGATTTTAGTCAAAATACAGACTTACTGGAAACCAAACAACGAAGAACAGTGAAGATCACATAACAAGAAACTTAAAAATTTGTGCTCTTTACCTGATACACCTAAGGGTGATTAAAACAATGAGGATAAGATAGGTGGGGCATGTAACACACACAGAAAAGGAACATAAAATATTGGTTGACTGGGAGACCTAGACATAGATGGGAGAATAACATTAAAATTAAGAAAAAAAAATATGATGTGAAGGTAAGATACTCAGTTCAACTGACTTGGAATAGGATCTTTGTGATGAAATGTTTGGCTTAAAAAATGCAGCAAATTTCTTGACTATTAAGCCAGATACCTCATATATTGAACTCAGTTTGTGCAGATAGCACTCACCTCACTCTCTGCAATGCTGGGAGGTCCAGAGCATGACTCATGTCTCGCAACCAAGTTCGGTAAACAGTGTGCCTCGCTACCTGGTCCCATCAGTGAGGATGGCAAAGATTCTGCCAAGTGATAACGGCCTCCTTCGTCCTGCAACCAATGCATATAAAGGAATGACATTACAGAGGACTGAAAAGCAATACATTTACAAACAGGATGGTGCTCCTGTGACAAACTAAACTCTCCGCTACGTAAACAGTTTTGCTTTTGACTTGTATTTGGAACATGACTGCTCTGAATCTTGGCAAGGACTCTGACCATTCTGAATAAGGTCTTTCACAGTTTTCCTATCCTTTCAAGAAGATGTCAGGATATTCCCAAATTAAGCTATGACTGCCTCCTCACACATTCATTTCACTTTATCACTCACTAGTCACCCTAACCTTACATTATTCAAGGTGGATGGGAAGTGAATTTCACAGATAATTGGAAACCCTGGATAATCTGTAAAAGCAATACATAACTTCCTTGTGATTTTCAATTTAGTTATTCATTCATTATTGGAGGGGGTGGGTTTCCCCATGCACCATGACCAGTTGCTGATCTATTGCACGTCCCCCTTTGATATTCTACCAGTCGCCATACCCTTCCAGTATTGATGTTTGCTGCTATCAGCCCCGTTCAGCCAGCGAGTTCGGCCCCTCTACTGGCAGTGGTACCCAAACTTTTTACCTAATTTTGCTCAGAGGTCTCCTAGAGACATGAGGATCTTTTACGTGCTGTAAATCTACGACACGGGACCCATGGCTTAAAGTCCATCCTGGAACACTTGTTCCCTGAATTTTTCTGCCCTTAAAAATTCCACGACCTCCGCCGGGTTTGAACCCGCGTACCTTGAATCATGAGGTGGGAACGTTACCCCTAGACTACGGAGGATGCTATTTTAAGTTTATATACAACACATACATTTATAAGTGTATTTCATTTGAATGCTATTGGTAGAAACATGAGTGAGGTTTCCCAGAAGCTCCTATGCTCTTTCTACACATAACAACAATAATAATAAAACAGCGCCTTCTTGAGTTTCCAAGCATATTTATTAACGTGAAGTAAAACTCCCTTCATATTGTACTTGTTTCCATTTTAAAAAGTAATTTCATATGAACTTTATCTCTTGATACTGAACACACCTGTCAGTTTTCTAAACAAGGTTCTGGATCATCCGCAATGCAGATAATTGTCAATTGGAAGTCCGCTGTACTCTGAGATCCTGATACCATCGTTACATAAACAGTCTATGATAAAAAAGAAAGCAGAAGGCCATCTTTTGGATCCCTGGCAACAAAGTATATTTAAAAATGACTGATTCCAGTAGCACAGATGTTCCTGTGTTCAGAGGACTTCCCAACTGTTTCTGTCAGTCTGTTATGCAAACTGTCAATGTTAGGCTCAGGCAGAAAGTAAACTGCTAAAAGCTTTTTGCTGTCCCAATAGTAATGTGCCAATTCTCACCTTGGAAATCTGTTCATCACAGGACACAGCATTCTCATCCATGATGTGCTCATCTTGAACTGGAAAATTTTCATTCTGTAACCACAAGGAATCAGTACATGAGACAATGCACATTGTAGGTTTCCCAGTTAAAAAACATACACACAAGATGGCAATTCAAGTGTGTTTACTCCATTTTGGGAAATTGCAGGTTCGATTCTCGATGAGGTCATTGTATTTATCAATTGACCTAATGCTTTGAGCTGCATTATGGCCTTGGGGTCAACTCAGCCTCTGACAGAAATGAATAGCAGGAATCCCCCTGGGGGTAAAATGCAGCTGGTGCATAAGACTGACAACTCCACCACCATCTGTGAGCCAACTGTCAAGAAAATGTGGGAGTCTCAACATCTCACAATTCTACGGGTCTCCACAGCCTGTGACAGGGATAGCATTACCTTTTCTTTTTACTCCCTGTCATTCAATTATCTCCAAAACTGTACAACTTACAGAAGAAGTATATTCAGTATGAAACGTTTTTTATATTTGTCTAAAACATCTATAAAAATAATTTTTGATTTTGATAAATATTTTGCAAGTTACACTTGTGATGCATTCAGAAATGCACATAGGTCTTCTTGTGCACTATCCATTACTACTGTCCAATTTTGACCAAAATTGAAATGAGACGACAAATGTTAATAGAGCTCTCCAATATCAACTTTCAAGAAAAGTTTCTAGACAGTTTCTGAATTTTTGCAAGCAGATAGACTGATAGGCTGAATCTCACAGATGCTCGTTTGCAAATATATCATAAACAAATCCCATTTTATGGCAAACGCAACATTTTATTCTGAGGCTAAGCATCACAATATGAAGGCATGGAGTTCAGTACCAGGTGGAGCTGTCTGGAGGCTACTATTAACCCCTTTACTATTTATCAGCCAGTACAAAACAGACAGGAGGCTGGGTGCATCTGGACATACTAACCTAAAACCCCCATTCCTACTGCAGATCCACCTCACAGTTATTTTACTTACTGAACTAAGCTGTTTCCATATACACGGTGTGTCCAGGATCTGTTAGGATTCCCCCCCCCCCTGCAATGCCATCTGTTGGCGAGTTGTAGTGTTAAGATTCTTGAAGTTTCAGCTGTGGCTGTCTATAATTTCAAAGTGCAAGCATCGCTGCATCATGTGTTCTGACCTTGAATGTAACAGTACTGTTCTGACGCTCGTCGGAAAATGGCGGTTGAACAGAGAGGCAACATCAAATTTTGTTTGAAGTTAGGCAAAACAGCTGGAGAAGCATACAAAATGATGAAAAGTGTGTATGGTAGTGATTGTTTGAGTCGCTTGAACATTTTTAGATGGTATTTTTTTTATTGTTAGTGGGGTGGGACTAAGTCCCTTGTACTGCGACCACTTCTGGCCTATTGTACCAGCCCCAGATGATAGGTGAGGGTGATTGTGGAGCAATTGGTGGAATGAAGATTGGCAGGAGAAACTTAAGTACTTGGAGAAAACCTGCCACAGCGCCACTTTGTCCACCACAAATCCCACTTGACCAGACCAGGACTGAACTCAGGCTGCCGCAGTGGGAAACCAGTGACTAACCGCTTGAGCTATGGTGCGGTCCTTTTTCGATGGTATGCTGTATTTCATGACAACAGGGAGGACACTGAAGACGCTCCACATGCATCAAAGCCGAGAACAAGTCACACTGAAGAAAATGTGGAAAAAAGTGACCGAAATCCTTGCATGAGACAGATGTGTTTCTGCAAGACTCATCAAGGAGCTTTTGGGAATACCAAAAAGTACTGTGCATCAGATTTTGACCGAGGATTTGGGCAAATGGAAGGTCTGTGCATGGTTTGTACTGCACGCGCTGTCAGGTGATGAAAAACATGTCAGAGTTGAACAACTGCAAGGACATGTTAAGGTTGGCCCAAAGTGATACAAAATTTACAAAATCGATTGTTACTGGTGATGAGACATGGGGTTTTCAATATGAGCCTCTCACAAAGCGGCAGAGTGCAGCGTGCAGCGTGGTTGAGCCCAAAAAAAGTGCGCGTGCAAAAGAGTCGAGTAAAGACACTGCTAAACCGTTTTCTTCGATTCCAAAGGAATCATTCACAAGGAATTTCTGCCAGAAGGTCAAACAGTGAATTCTGATTATTATCTCGGAGTCCTCAATCGTTTGTGAGCGAGAATTCTTCGAATTTGACCTGAATATTGAGAGCAAGGTTCCTGGTCGCTCCTCCACAACAATGCCCCACCCACAAATCAAAAATCTTTTTTGCACTATAACTTCAGTTATTGAACAAATTGAAAGAAATCAGATTTTCTGCACAAATTGTAAACTTCCTCATCATGCAACAACGTCAGTCCATCACTCTCTGAGAGCACAATATTTTGAAACATTTGCGAATATGCGAACTTCTCTCAAGATAAAAGAATGCACTTCAGTCCCTTACGAAGCACCAGCTGTATCCAAACTCATGCTGTTTTAAGTATACTAATAACTATTTATGCTAGAAAAATGATTCTTATATTAATAACAGATTTTATGTAATCTACATGGTGCAATCCAAAAGTTCCCGAAATATATTAATAAAAACTATTACATCTTATCTAGATCTTATTCTGCACCATCACCATCAAAGTAGTCTCCTTGGCAATGCATACATCGATCCCAGCGTTTCTGCCACTTTTCAAATGCATCCTGGAAGTCTTTCTTTGTTAGGGTGTTTAGTACCATCTGCATTTCCGCTTGAATTTCCTCAACTGTATCAAATCTTTGCCCCTTCAACTTGATTTTCATCTTGAGGAAGAAAAAGAAGTCGCAAGGAGCTACGTCTGGTGAGTACGGTGGGTGGGGAACAACTGCCATCTTGTTTTTAGCCAAAAATTCCTGCACAATGTAAGCCGTATGCGGTCGTGCGTTGTCATGGTGGAGTACCCAGTCGCTTGTGCGCCACTTCTCTGGACGTTTTCTCCTCATGTTCCCCCTCAAACGCCTTAGAACATCGCGATAGAACTCTTTATTGACTGTCTGACCAGGAGGGACAAACTCCTTATGAACAATCCCGTCAATATCAAAAAAACAGATCAACATGGACTTAATGTTGCTCTTGACTTGTCGAGCTGTTTTTGGCCGAGGTGAAGAAGGGCTCTTCCATTGCGACGATTGCTGCTTGCTTTCAGGGTCGTAGCCATAAACCCAACTTTCGTCACCAGTGACAACCTTCGAAAGAAAGTTTGGATCCTCTTGAAGCTGTTGCTGAAGTTCCCTGCAGACTTCCAAGCGATGTCGCTTCTGTTCATTGTGCAGCAGTCATGGCACAAACTTCGCCGCAATCCTCATGTTCAGTTCCTCTGACAAGATTCGTTGACATGTATCATATCTTAGTCCCAAGGTGTTACAGAGGTCTTGGATGATCAGTCTACGATCTTGCAGAATCAGATCCCTAACTTTCGCGACATTTTCTGGTGTTTTGCCCGTTGACGGCCGTCCCGAACGATCATCATCATCAGTCAATGTTCGACCATTTTTAAAATGCTTATACCAGTTGTAAGTTTGTGTCTGGCCTAAACTGTTTTCACCAAAAGCTTGCTTCAACATTTGGTGCGTTTCTGCAGCGGTTTTCCCAACTTTGAAACAAAACTTTATACAGACACGATGCTCTCTCAGGTCAGCCATTGCAAAACCGCAAACTCATGGAATCACAACAATGGAAATACATTCACCAACAATAAACCTAACCACTCAACTCGACGCCGCTTGCCACACTGATTCAAGAAGGATGTGTGAGGAGACATCTAGCAGTATTTCGATGTACTCATAATCATTCGTGCGCAAAATTCAAATTTCGGAAACTTTTGGATTGCCCCACGTATTTCGAATAAAAAGAGTGAAATTTTGAAAATAATCCACATCTTGTATTTTTAATGAACACAGTCCTAACAGAACCTGGACATACTGTGTAGATGATATTATATTCCTGTCAAGACAACACTATTTCCAGCATGTAGATTTTGCTAAAACATGTTGTCCTAGATAGCAAACTCCACCTGAAGGAAACAGTATTGTGTCAATATGAATATAATAAATATTGTGTATAGTGATTCACACAGTAGGATGACACAACGTATGAGTATGCTGTTTGTTCTAACGTCAAGCAAGACTGATAATGACACTTACTTCACCTAGCTGTTGGCTGTCAGTCGGGGGCTGATGATGACCGTTCACTAATGTGTTGGCAAGGTACTGGCTCACAACTTCTTGGATGGACTGCAATGTCCTCTGGCGAAGAGGGTCAGAGCTTATCATCTGAAGGTCACGGAAAAGTTGGATCAGGAAGTGAGGGCGATTCTCATTGGATGAAATGAGCGCTGCAACTTCTGAATAAACAGACTCACTGAGGGCTTCAAACAAGGCGTTCCCCACACTGAAAACACACAAACACAGGCAATGTGCTCCAAATCATCATTGGTGATATAACATTTTACATCACCGTTATCAACTTCATTCCCACTGTTGCTACCATCATTGTTGTCATCATCATCATCATCATCAGATGAGAAAACAGACAAACAAATAAATGCTTACATAATGGAAGGAAGGAAAGGATCATGTCCCCCCCCCACACACACACACACACCCTGCTTGGACTAACTGTCTGTGTATGAGGAAATGATTTAATGGGGATTTGAGAGATGTAAAATGAGACTTCGGAGCACATCAACCCAAGCCTACAGGAAGCAGCATTACCAACAGCTATGTACATGAATAGCAATGCACAACATAATACCATCTCACAGAAAATAGCAGCCAAAAGTGGAACTGATGCAGTTCAGTGCTAAGGAGTAGAGAGAGAGAGTGAAGTTAAACAGCCTGTATGCTTAATCTCAGCTCTGTATGGAAATGAGTGATCAGCTTCATGCTCTGGCCACATTATCCCTAGTGAAACAACCTTCAATAAACATTGGATAACAGATTATAGTAGAACCCACAGACAGTTTGCTTGTGACAATAAGAAATGTCTCTGTTCCCACCAAGAACTGAACACTGGTCATCCAGCCTACAGCCAGTCACTTCACTAAGTGTACTATCCTGACTCATCACCAGTATGTAATAGATACTGTCACATATTTGGGGTGCATAATTATAGGAAGGGTTTTGGATTGGATTTATTGACACCTTATACACATCACCCAACAATAGGCAATTACAGCGCTACTGCTAATCTCGACACTGCTGCAAACACTAGTGTCCTCAGCATACTAGTCTCCACTATCCACTTTCTGGCAACGGATTCCAACACAGGAACTATAACAGTCTCACTGAATTACACACTCCAAACATTGCAGTACTAAAGCACACACAGTTTTCTCTTCACAGCCAGACTTTCAAATCCACTGAACTGCATTCTGTAATTCTGATGCCTCAATTCAACTCCTCTGCTTCAAAGCTCATATACTGGCAGGCTAGTGTCTTGAAACTCAACTGCCTTAAACAAGTCACAGTCAAACTCATTGCGACTGATGGTCAGTCAGTCAGTCAGTGAGTAATTATTTATTACTGTTTGACAGTTACGGTCTTGTTCTTGTGGGCCGACCTCTCTGACTAGAGGACGGGCCTGTCTTTTGTATATGCTGCTGGCCCTTGCCAGCGCAGTCTTTCTTGGGTCAGAGTCCCTTGGGACTTGTGACCATATTTTACAGTCACAGATATGAGACTTTCCTTTTCATCGCCTCCTACAACTCACAGGGTCACAATGGAGGTGTTCAACCCTGCCTCCACACGGGTTGCCTTAAATAATTTTCTCTGTCCTTTTTATAACCCCTTAGCATGGCAGCAGTAAACAACACAGGACAGCATTGCTAGCAACACGGCGCCAGGCAACAAGGGTGCCTATTACGTGGCTGTTTTCTGCGTTGTCCGCATGAGGCTAGATATGGAGCAGCGAAGACTATTCACAGTCAGTTCTCAGTTCTCAAGGCAGCTACCTACGAGTTAGTTCCGAGAGAATTCTCAGTTCGCAAGTTACGAGTTACAGACGAATGTGTGGGAATCAGGATAGTTCANTTTACAGTCACAGATATGAGACTTTCCTTTTCATCGCCTCCTACAACTCACAGGGTCACAATGGAGGTATTCAACCCTGCGCTATTAATACGTGAAGACTCTTGAAGATAGTGTCAAGAGATTTTGTTGTAGGGTTTGTAAAGTGTGGAAATCCGTAACATTGTTATCATTAATTGTAGCCGATACTTGTAGATTGTTAAATAAACCAATTAACAGTCCGAACGGCGTTTTCAGTAACTAAACACGTTACAGTATTATTGACCTCGGCATTAGCTGGAGGTCAGCAGTCAGCAATATGTCCCAGTCATTTTACCCCCCGTACCCACTGGATAGGAGGCTGGGTGGGCACCAGTAATGGTCTGGCCAACGTGGAGAAGAGAAAAATTGGAATGTTTACTTTCTTTTACTTATAAATTATTTTATTATGATTAATTAATAAATATTTAATAAACATTTCTTAGTTTCTTCTTCCTAAACTATTATGTGTCTCATACACCACGAAATATTGTACTTACTGTTGTGGTTTTGCATCAGTCATATTGGCAGTAGAATCACAAGTAGGCGCGCATTTCTGTTGTGACTCGGATGCTGATGATAACAAAATCTTGGGGTTCTTCTTCTTGATGACTGCAGGAACTGATACTGCTTCAGACTTGATGAGTGAGAATTCAGACAATTCTTCTCTGGACTCTTGGGTACACCGGTAAGATGACAAAGGTTCTGATGTCGAAGCCAAATTCTGATGACTTTGAACAGCCTGTCCCGCAAGTGCCATATTCCTGACATCAACTGCAGTATCAGAGTCAAGATGTAACCCAGACACACAACTAAAACTGTGTCCTCCACCTTCAGTTGAGCTGCATCCAACTAAATCACTAATTCCCAAAACATTTGCCTGGAGCCTCAAATCCTGTGGAACATTTTCATTTACTAAAATCTGTCTCTGTGTCTTAGGTGTTGCAATATTCTGTTGAGGTTGGATACCACTGCACTGGGGGGGCTCCCTCAATCTCGGACAGCAGCTGCATGCACTTGGTGCTCCCAACAGTTGGTACTGCAGTCCAGTAGTGTCCGACACCTTGCTATGGGCTGGCTGAGGGAGACCTATACTGTCCTGGCTGCTCTGATATTGTTCTGTATTCAGCTTTTCCTTCCGGGACCTGAAACACAATCAGAAATAATGGATGTTCTTGTAGTTCAAAATGAATGTTCAACACCATTAATCATAGAATCTACTATTATGCATGATTCTGAGTCAGGTTCATCCACCTCCTACCTTAGAAAATACTTCCCTAAGATCCATTTTAATATTATCCTTCCATCTACTTCTTGGTAACAAAACACTATGGCACTCCTGCTTCTGGACATCCTGGATTTGAATCTTGGCATGACTGAGGATCATCACTGTTTTGCTCAGTTCTTGGTAAATGCTAGACCAGTTACATAAAATACACCATGACAACTTTCTTCTATATCCTTATGATTCCAATATGTTACGTTATGTGATAGATCTAGTATCACACTAAAGGTAAAATTTTAGTATTGTATATGGACACAGAAATGGAAGCAAAATCCAAGCAATCTCTGAGAAATGTTGAGAGAAAAACAAGAAGGGACAGAATTAGAAATTAAATTTTAGGGAAAAAAACTTGGAATTCAGGATTTGTTAACAGAGTCAGAAGACGAACCATTACATTGGTTTGGCAATACTTAAGGAATTTACAGAACCTGGAAACTAAGAAGGGGATTACAATTAAAATATAAAGCAAAGAGACCTGTAGGATGATGGTTTAGCCAAGCACTGGAAGACATCAAAACAAGATTGGAGACCTTCATCCATCAACCTACATAAAATGAAAATGTTGCCAAAAGTAGAAGAAAAATATTTTAATCTTTACATATTTTTAGATATAAGACGAAAGAAAAACAGGTTCTGAACTCAATAAGTTTAAGGGAGTTGAGTTCAACTGAACTCAATGTTAAGCAGCACTCCCCAAATTTAAACTGTCCTTAATATAAGAGTATTGATTTACTATTGTACTCACATGTTCTGCTCTGGACTAGAAAATATGGCTCCTATGCCCTGCGACAGGACCACTGTACTTGGCTGTGGGTCCACAGTCGTTATGCTGCTAGAATGAGTAAAAGAACTCCGCAAGGTGTTGTGAGACCGATCCACCAGGGGGCTTGGGCTGTGTGAGACACCTTCATTACTCTTTGTGCTTGTTGACAGAAGGTTCTGACGAGAGTAGCTGGCAGGAAAGAAAGAAGAGCTTTGTCACTTCAACTTGTGAGATGGAAATGACATTCAGCATCCACGGGAAAACAAGAGACGTATACAAAATTTTAATCAGGAAAAAGGAAGGCACAATATTATTTGGAGGAATAATATTAAAATAAATCTAGAGGACACAGGGTGACAGCATGAACTGAATTCACTTGGTTATTTTACAACTAATGACTTATTCATTTTAATTTCCTTGTAGACATGACACGTTGTGCTGAACATCACTTCCTCTTCCACTTTTGATGTTTAATGGTATAACAACCAAACTGTGAGGATGTGCCATGTTAAACCTCTGAAGCCTGAAATTCTTCTAAAAATTACATAAAATTACATGAAAAACAAACTCTGTCTCCATTACAAATACCATGTGGCAAATGCTGCTTAGGAAAATAGCCATACTTATTGTAAGAATTATATGAAAACCAAATATATAGTGTGTGGGCAAAATGCAGACATTTCTAACTTTAAAGCAAGTGCTACATATAGTAGCCACTGTATTCTAAAGGGCTAAAATGATAGGCCCTTCGCAACTGGATATGGCAATGTGAAATATTTCACACGCCCCTGTACATAATATTTTATTGTGAATATGGGTGACTGACATCCCCCCAATTTTAGTACCACAAAAATATATCTTCAGATATATTAGTAGGGAAAGTGGAACCCACACTTAATTCTCAATTACAATGACGCTAAGTCAATAAACTCAGTGTTACATTTTGTCTGATTAAGATTTTCCACAGTTTGGTGTTCAAATTCACTTGTCTCCAAAGGAGTGTTAAATGGGGCTTTTCCCCATAATTATTTTTGAAAACTATTACCTGAACAGCATAACTTATGGCTGAAGGGTGGTACTACACCCCACACACTGCACTGATTTTTAGCCTCTATAAATCAGAAGCTAAGAACCATTGCGTGTAATGAAGCAAACACAACAGACAATGTTCAAAGAAGCCTGAACACTAAACATTATGGCAATTCCTGTCTTCTGCGATGTGACACTGCACAGCCTGGCAGATGTTTATGGCTTTGCTGGGGATCCTGTATTTTATGATGCTGTCAGTATTTAGGCTACAGAGCATCAAATGGTGGGATGACTGATGAACTAGAAGGGATATGGAAGGAAGTGGTTCTGACATAACTGAATTGCTACTCAGCTTTTGTCACAAGTAAAAGTATAAAAAAAAAGTAAAGCTATCACTGTACCAGGCCGTGAAGGCCCATAAGGTTGTGAGACATTGAGGGTCCCACATTATCTAGACAAAGATGGCGGTAAGGTTGTCAGCCTTATGCGCCGGCCACGCTTTACTCCCCAGGAAAATTATTTAATTAATTCCTGGTACTCATTTCTGTTAGAGGCTGAGTTGATCCCAGGGCCATAGTGCTGCCAGAAGGATTAAGTCAGATGAAAAAATCCAACAACCTCATTGGGACTTGAACCCGCGATCTTCTGGCTTGTAGCATAGCCCCTCAACCAACTATGCTACCGCGTGCCCCCTTTTGTCACAAATAATTGAGAAAATTCAAGGAAAACCTCATTCAGGATAGCTGGTACTCCAGCCAAAATTCAAATCAAATTCCTGCCAAATACAGGTCTGCAGTGTTACCTCTGTATCACTGTGCTCAGTTGTGTGGAGGGCTGTACTGCCAGGCAACATGGTGTCACATATCAGCAGACAGTGATCTTCATAGTAACTGCTACAAGAACCTCAAAGCTTACAATGACTTGATGATATTTATTTGAGACTAATACAGCCATGCCAGTGAGTCATACCGTGTAAATATGAAGGTGGGATATAAGTACAATTAGTGAGTTACTGGTGCAAACACACACACAACAGAGTGACAGCACTTACCAATGAGATGTTTCAAATACTGAAGAATTTTGGTCACAGCTATAATTTCTTCACCACCAATGAGGACATGTTTGTGAGGATGTGCATGTTATGTACTTATATAAATGGAGTATGTACAGGACAGGAAAGAAGTGAATGGAAAAGTTATAAAAGCATGAACCATAGTATGGTAAACTGTACAGTTACAAGGGATTAGATCTTGCAGGTTTCAGAGACACCAGTACAATGCAATGTTTCCCAACATGGGATTCATGGCACCCAAAAGAGCCACGATGCATTTATTTGGAGTTGTTGCAAGTGAGCCAGTAAGAAAAATGCTGAATTAAATTTAATCCTGAATACCGATACAATGACAAAAATTATGCTGCATTAATTAAAATTTTCAATAAGTTGAAAGTTAGCATTTTTATAGGTTTGGAGGCCTCAAACTTCTTTATCCTCATGGAGGGCACTTCAGACTAGTAAAGCGCTTGGAATCACCAAGACTACAAGATGTTATCTTATGGGCTGTTACTTTCAATTGTGTGTCAAATTTTCTGCATTTTTCTGTGATGTGGTTACATCTATTCTAAAAGGCATTAAAAACAAGTCATAACTTACTCGTTCCGACAAAAATTTTAAGCATCAAGCATTTCTTTTTTAATTATCTGTTTACTGAGAGCTTCTTTAAAGACTCTAGACAATAATTCAGACTAAACAATCAGCAAATGAACTGGAAAGAATGTGGAAGGAGGCAGTTACAGCCCAGTCTGAGGCACCATGCTAGCATTTGTTCCGAGAGAATGAGAAAACCCACAGACACCTCTATCAGGATACCTAGTCTCAGGTCCAAGATTTCAAAATGCAACCTCCTGAATATGAAACACACAGCTGCTGTGTTCACTTTTTAATTATCGGTGCCCTGTTCAACAAACAAAACAGCTCTCCACCAATATCTGTCTGCTTTCACTATGTGGACAGTCCAACATGTTACAAAAGATTGTATATAATTTTAGTTTATGTTACTTTCAGTGTCCTTTGCTTTAGCTGACGAATAATGTAGGCCTCCTCTGGGACCAGTCCTAAAGGGCTTCAATCCAGGAACAAATATAACAGTTACGGATACTTGGTGAGAAGGCTAGTGGAATACTGAAGCATCAATGTCTAAATTAACACCATATACTTTCATCATAAAAAAACGCGTGGACCTTCATAATTAACACCTTCTGTAATGGCAATTTTAATTAGGAATATAGTCATATATTTCTCCAAATATTAGTTCTGTGTCAGCTGAAAATTCAAGAACAGATAAAATGAATTTTACAGAACTGACACATCTATGTATATGGGTCTTGCAATCATGACTGTGAAACAAGTGGAAGGAACAAGCTACTTGGACTGATTTATTATTAGGTCATTTAATGTTTTCAACCAGTAGGATGACTATGAATGATAAGGAAAAAGAAGGAAGCAGTTTGGTCCTATTTCAGGGTCTTATACCAGGAAATGCATGGAAGTGAAGGAAACCATGATAACCTCAATCATGAGTCAGTCTAGACACAAAGTATTGAAACTGTGACCCCCAGAGTATGAAGTGGGAATGCTAGATTAGATGCAAAGGGTAGGCAATAAATGAGCCTTGTATTGTGACTTTCTTCAATCTACTGTGAATTCCCCACACTAAGATTATCCCTTTTGCTGTCCTGCATTTGGAATGAAGAGAAGTACTTTACCAGCTATACACTTGTTGCTACTGGCAGGTAATTCATGAATCAGAACTGACCTCATGAATATGATGGACAAGAAAAGAGGTATTAATATTACAATTTCATTATCACAAAATCTTCAATGTAAGGTCTTCTGGGTACAACTTGTTGGAATGGTAAAAATTACTGTTTCAGAGATATGCCTAGCCTCCCTCTTTGGGATATGCTCTGGAGGAGGAAGCAGAAAATTCCTCTGAAAAGTGATTTTTACAATGTTTACTCAACAACTCTATAATCAATATGGACTACCATGAAAACCTTAATTTACTCAACAAATGTTGATAATGAAGTGACTGTAATAATAACCATCACAATGTACCCAGTTTCTTCAATTTGTATGACTTAAAGACAGAAACCCTAACGAGAAGGCTGCAATGAACAAAATATGTAGTTTAAAAAGCTTGAAATAATGATAACCCATTTATATTTTTATCTTTAACTTCTAAAAGTATGTTTTTGGAACTTTTGATTCAATCTGCATAAAGTACTACAATTAAGACAATACTGAGGCTTCGTGTCCATCTGTCCTTGCATTTAATTTCTGTGGCTACTGAACAACTTATGACTATACTTGGTCTATACTGAACAATGTCGACCAAAGTTGATTTGGGTGCATAACGGCTCAATTCAGCCCCCAATTTAGGTGAACCTCACATCAAACCTGTATCAATTTTATGGGGGGGGGGGAGAGAAAAAAAAGAAAGAAAGAAAGGTTTAATCATATAAAAAAGTGTGTGCATGAAGAAAATACAGGTATCACTGACACTAACAACTTCTATTTGATATATTTTTAGATAAAATGAACATCTAACAAAACAGAATGAAAAATAATTTATGCCATATGCAGCATAAATAGGGTTGCAACAAACTGTTTGTATTAGGCATATGTGAAAATTACTTTCTCAATTTGTGATGTGATCAAAAAAAAAAGAATTTGGGAAAAATTCTGAAAACTGTTTTTTACCACACCAGTTATGTCACTGTTATCACAACACTAGTCAGTTTTTCACAATGGACTAAAATGTGATACTTAATCACTCTTACTATAAGATTCTTCTTTCAAAGGAAATTTTTCATAAATTGTACAAAGAGAAAAAAATTTTATTTTAATTTCAGACTCACATATGTGATACATAAATATAAGGCCAAAGAAGTATCAGAAAGAACAGATTTGGGAACAAATGTGTACTTAAACCAGGGTACAGCTTTTGACTGTGATTAAATATAGAACTGCATAAACATCGATGAAAGAAAACCGAGAAATGTGTTCAAAAAGAATGAATGGCGTTTACCTTCTAAAATTATCCCAGTAGTTGTTTGCCCTGTTTCCTGGTGGGACCTGATTGTTGAGGGCTGGTACAGGTGAGGGGTTTGTCTGCCCTTGTAGGAGTCCTGGTGTTCCCCCTGTAGCACCCTGCTGCAGCCAAGGGGCACATGAACCTGGCTGAGGGGCACAGCACTGGATCAAAGAAGAGAGAGTTTGCTGTTGGGATCGGTTGTTGAAGTTCGCATTGTTATTCATAGGAAATGACAAGGCTAAGGAGCCAGCAACAGGAGAATTTGGTGCCAGGCTCAAACCGAAGTTCGGAACTATGTTATTCAAGGGGGCATTTGAAGGGACGGCAGCATTATTCAAGGGTGCATTTGAAGGGACTGCATCAGCATGGTGAGGGGAGAATACGGAGTTGGCAGAGGTCGTCTGCGAAAGATTCGGAAGGGAATGGGCACTGGTTACTCCGGATGAGGCAGTCATTTCCTCGGGTGACTGGAACAGACCTCCGCTATAACTTGGTTTCAGATTCTGGTAGGGAGTAAAGGAAGTCATGGTAGGACCAGTTGTAGGCTGTTGGAGTCTTGTTAGGTTTGACTGGGATTGATGTGGTGTTGGACGTGCACTGTTCTGATTGGAAGTGACGAGTACAGCTTCTTCAGACTGCCCAATCATGACAGGTGATGAGTAACCTTCGGCTCCACGGCTGCCATTTCCATGAGATGCTTTCTCTTGAAGCTGTGGAAGTAATGATATATAAACAGCCTCATTTTCTCATAGAATGTGCAGCTTTTCAGGCCACTCATGCTTCTTCAAGAAGTATTATGTTTCACTACTAGTGAACCATGACACATTTAATATTATGGTCTTTAGGGATGTGACACTGCAGTCTTGTAGACAGGCACTAATGTACTGGCCCATGTTCAGATTAGAAGAGGCAGCAGGTTCTGCTGAAATACTAGTACCTATCTGTGAGACTACACAGCATCACACCCCAGAAGACTGCAGTCTTAATATTAATGCTGTGAGAACCTCAAGTCTCATGCAGCGATACATTTGAAGGATTGGTCTGTAGGTCATTTAATGAAGCTGTTTCATCTGCAGAGGTTAATACACCATNCAGATCCAGTCTCCGAAACGTTGTGGTTTTTTGTCTTTCACATACCAGACGATAGGTGAAGTCCAAAATAAGCCAAAAGAAGTAAAGATGATCATGTTTCTAACTGAGTAACATGTTTTACAGCCCAGAATAAAATTCATTACCAAAAGCTATGTATCATCATAGATTTATTGCCACAAAAAATATCAGGATTCTATGCTCTTCCAGGGCCACAGTAACAAGCCCCATGGAGGGCGTGAGGGCATGATGATTTTCACTCTTAACCCACAGTGGCATTCCCCCTTCTGCCCCCTCTCATCTGTGTCAGTCGGCATAAAGTGCTTGTTGCTATGACAGTATGTTGAAGGGGCAAGTGTAACAGCTCAATGGAGATGATGAGGCAGCCACTACATGGGACTTAATTCTGTGGCCTCAGTTTAATATTCTTGTACTGAGCCCAGAGATGCTTCAACTTCACAATTCACACAGCTGCCATGTTGGAATTACTCATGGTAGGACAGACACACAGACATCACAATACTAAAAGTATAATGAGCAGGTTGGTCTAGCAGTAACGCTCAGGGTTTGAGCTTAGGGGAAGCTCAGTTCAGATCTCATATGGGACACTGGCTATTCTGGCTGAGGTTTCTGTGTTTTTCCTCAGTCTCTCCAAGTAAATTACAAGACAGTACCTCAATTAGGCCACAGTCTTCCAGATCATCAATCATTCTACCATTCAGTAAAGGAAAGTGGGTGAAGACATAGAAGAAACCTATCTGAGAGAATATTATGTTAATAATTACAAGAAGTATAAAATGAAGAACACAAACGGTTCACACAGCAAGTATACTTACAGCCTGAACTGCTGACCTCAGAGCCACCATCTCTCTTTGTTGCAGCCACAGGAGTTGGCAACACTGAGTCACTGTTGTCAGCAACATCTGCTGCTGCTGTAATTGACTGGCTGCAAGCAACTGTTGATAATAAACATCAGAAGCAACACTTGTCGGAAGGAGGTGACCGCCAAGCCCACCTAAAAAAAGAACAAGCAATATTTTCATTTTGACATCAGGCAAGCACACAAAGGATATTTTATCAACGACCAACTGAACATATGCTAATAATTACCGCAATTTTAACTGTACTTGAATGAATTAAACATTTTCACATCAAAATAGTTGAACTGTTCATGCAAAATTAACTGCAGTATTTGTTTCCTCATGCTATTACAAATGTTTTCAACGAAGGAGCTGCATAAGGGTAATAAAGAACAACAAAAACAACTTTGTTTAAGATTACAATCAAATAGGATGCAACACTGAGTATGTATCTATATATCTACCAACTACACAGCATTGTATTCTGAAAGACCATAATCCTAATATTCACCCCTGTGAGAACCTCGAATCTCACTTTTAATTTTCCCTTACCTAATGGAAAATTTTAACAATAATAATAATAATCAGATATACATGTAATGAAAGCACTCTTTGAATTTTGTGGTTATGTATGTTCTTCATTTACGAGGGGGGACCCAAAAATAACCGGAACCGACCTGTTGCGCGCGCATGCTTTGTAGTTACGAGTTGTGCTGCTAGGTTGTGTTAGCTGGGGGTCTCCCGCGACTGTTAGTGAGGTGACGTCAGTCTGAGTTAAGTGGTTTGTCTGTGGTGCTCTGTTGTGTGCGTTCCTGTTTCAACCCTTTGGCGATTAGTGAGATGGCCGACCAGAAGGAACAAAGAGTGTGCGTGAAATTCTGGATCGTTCTGCACTTCACTCTTCAAGTCGGGGCAAACATTCACGCGGTTTTCTCTTTGGTCATCTCCGAGCAAGCGAGGAACAAATTTTGCAGACACCCGTCTCATGTGCAAACCTTTGGTTAAAATTCGCTGGACCGTGCTCCATGAGATGTTCATTTCCTCAGAAAGTTTGTCAATGGTCTTTCGACGATCTTCATCAAGCAAAATTTCACGCACACTCTTTGTTCCTTCTGGTCGGCCATCTAACTAATCGCCAAAGGGTTGAAACAGGAACGCACACAACAGAGCACCACAGACAAACCACTTAACTCAGACTGACGCCACCTCACTAACAGTCACGGGAGACCCCCAGCTAACACAACCTAGCAGCACAACTCGTAACTACAAAGCATGCGCGCGCAACAGGTCGGTTCCGGTTATATTTGGGTCCCCCTTCGTATTCTTGGTTTATTCAATGGTGTCACCATCTCAGGCTACATATCATCAAACATGATCAGTGAGTGAATGGTTGTGAAAGGAAGCGATTCTGACCCTGATTTGAGGCACCATCCTAGCGTTTGCTTAGAAACTATGGAAAAACCATAAAATACCTCAAACAGCCAGTCTCTGGATGAAGATCTGACCTCAAGAGCTCCCAGACACAAAGCAGGAGTGCTAACCCACTCAAGCATATTATTGTTAATACTTCTGGAGACTGTGATCACATTTGCTGGGTAACTAAAACATGTAAAGTTCTAGTATTTATAAGTGACAGTCCAGGAACAGCTGCGCAGTGGATGGGCAGGTCCATTCATGAAAGTTGAGGGGTGTTGTGATTAGTCATTTGTCTGCATTCAGTGCGAGCAGACGTCTCGTGAGTTTTGACTCTTGGAGTTGTATTTGAGTGTATTATTCTCTAATTAATGTATTAGTATTGTAACGTGTTTCGTTACTGAATACGCCGAAGAGATCGTTAATTGGTTTATTCAACAATCTACAAGAAACGGATACAATTAATTATCACACAGTTGCGGGGTTTCACACTTTATAACCCTAATCGCATTAATCTGTTACCACTGTTGCGGGGTTTCACGACTTATAACCCTATGCGCAAATCAGTTCACTCTGTCTTCAGTAGTCTACACGTATACAGTAGGGGAGCTATGTATCACTGTATCACACACTCCCAATTACACAATCACACACACGTCCGGTTCTTCTTTCCACGACGGCTGCTATACTCCAACTGTTGTCGGCTGACTGGAGAACTGTTGATAACACACTAGCTCGTAGGCTTGCTCGGAACTATCTTCGGCGATGGCCACGTCATAACTCGGCGGCTGTCACAATACAACTGACTCGGCGACTGTTACTTTACAACTCGACACGGCGACTGTTACTTTACAACTCGGAACTGTCTTCGGCGATGGCCAGGGTACAACTAACTGGTAGCTGCTGTGCAGTTTCCTTATATAGCCGCAGTGGTGCCTGTTGCGTTCCACGTCACAGTAGGGAGTTGATTACGGGTACGTAGCGTTGCGCGTTACGTCACAGCGGAGGGGTGGGAGGGAGCGCTACGTTACTGCCACGCGCCTGTGGCCTGAGTTGCCACGTTTCTGCTGGGTAGGGAGGGGTTCTCCGTTGCGCAACATGTTACAGTATTTTATTTTATTGTTTATATTTGTTCATTTTTTCTATCTCCTTTAACATGCCACCTACACGAAGTAAATTGAGTGGAAAAGTGTTGCATTCACAATCAAGAGAAATTGTTAGTAATGTATATAAGTAAATGAAAGAGGCTGGGCCAACAATTACAGTGAAGAACATAGGAGTGGAAGTAGCAAAGGCAAAAAGGTGTAACAGAAAGTAGTGTCAGAAGAATAATAAGAGAAACAAAAATTATCGAATCTGGGGCTTCCACTTCCTTTTTGACACCCCATAACGACCTAGGAAATCTCCACTAGCCACTTTGGACGACTTTAACGAGTCTGTGGTGCGAAGAACAATTAATGACTTCTACATAGTCAAAAAACAGAGACCTACCCTGAAAAAAGTTCACGAAAAGTTGAAGAAAATATTAGATTTTCAGGGATGCATCTCCACATTAAAGAAAAT